CGAACCTTCAGCGAAGTTCTTCCCGGCAGAGCTATTCTCCGACGTGACGTCGCAAGTAACGGGACGCGCTCACGGTTTGACGCAGGACCATCTCGACAGTGCGGTAGCCGAGTGCGCATCAGTTCCTGTCATCCGATCCGAATGTTAACACGTGGCTCGGATCCTCTACCGAATCCGGGAAATGCTCCCTCCATCGCACCTTGACCGCCTTCAGAAAGAAGAATCAGACGCTCATCCCCTCATGGGTATCCTTTCGGAGCTGGGCGAGAATCGGCAGATGACCGATTGTCCGTATCGTATGACTACTACACCTCAAGTCGACCCAGATCGTACTCGGAGTCGATCGGACGACCGTCGATGTAATCAGAGCCGGTGAGCTGAGCGAACTCATTTCCAGATCCTCCTGTCCTGAATTCCCTCTAACTCAGGTTAGAAGCAGCCGCGAATTTCACCGGAACATCGAACATCTACTCGGTACCCATCATGAATAGTCTGCTTAGCTAATACAAGTTCGCCCGAACACATCGCCACCGAAAGCTTACTGCAATTATCGCCGCTACGAATCTCAAAAACGCTTACGAATAACTGCCGATCAGAAAGAAATTGACCATAATTACGATTCATCGACGGATTGGAACTACCCGGCAGCCGCAGCAGCGGCGGCGGCAGCACCATCATCGACGCTTCGTCTTCTTCTAGTCTATTTCATACGCCACAATCAAAAGAGAAGAAGAAAAAAAAACGCTCCTTCGTGTCTGGGAGTCTCCGTCGACTCTCACTTGCTGGGTTCCTCCATGCCTTGGCTACCTACTACTAGACTGCTCGATCGGTCGGCGGATTCGACCGTCCATGTGTCCGTCTGTCCGTCCGACCGTCATCGAATCGGTCGCTCCGCTGCTCGTTTCGGACAATCAGACCAGGCGAGGAGGGTTTTCATTCGCGGTCGTCATACATGCATGCACGCATGCATGCATTCGTACAGGTGATGTCTGATCATAGGTTGTCAGAGCGCTTGATCGAAGTTGCGCCAAGTCCCGATAAACTTCTGTCGATTCGGTGTCATTCGAAATCCACGTAATAATAACAATAATAACTGCCACACATATATGCACATTCGTAGTCACCTTCGACGAAGGGAATTGCCGGCGATCGAAAAGATGCCTCGATCACCATTTACCCACTGCATCTGGCGCAGATTTTTTTCGTTACTTTTTTTATTTCGCTCCTCGCTCCCCCGAATCCGCTTACGATTCTCGAACTTCGACTCCCGAGCGCTCACATTCAGATACAATATGATCGTCTTCGTCGTTTACGATCATACGCGACCGTTACGCGGCGGACCTCTCGGCCGAGCTAGGGTCCCGTTGAGGAACGAGTCAGTCCGTTTCGATCATAAGGCTGCATTAAATCCAACCAGCCTCGGAATCGAAGTGGGCGTTACTAGATCTGATAACAGCCATTGACGTGTCATTAGCGGTGGGTTTATCATGAATTTTCACTTGAATACAACAACATGCTCGATTCTCTTGTTAGGGAGCGATGCCGTCTCGAGCGCTTCGAGCCGCGCGATGCGCGCCGATCTATTTCCTGTCGACGGCCGTCGATTCGATTAGATGTGACTATGAAACCTCGAACGGTATCACCTGCGACATCGATGGCTTGTGGGCATTGCTCAACGAAATCGACTGGTTGCCATTCGCTCGAAAATGAAACGAGACTCACAGCACCGAACCGAATGCATTTTTCTCTCCGTCTTAGTTTCCTACTCGTGAGACAACCTTTGCACCAGAACGAAATACGGCCCAGAGTCGGTCGCTTTGACGTTCACTGAGACCGGGTCCGTCTCTCGTAGGCCGCGATTCGGGCAGAAGATCCTCTTTCAGAAATCAACGATTACGAGTGGTCGTACGGCAAATAGAGCGACAGCAGTTCGGCTGGCACCTGGTTCCCCGGCGGCTATTGTGCCGGCGGCGTCGATGACTATTCCAGACAGGCGAGCACTCTTCTGAGCATCCAGCGAGCCAGCCAACATCCAAGCATCATCAAACATGAGAACTGACGATCTCATGGGGAAATATGGCTATCACATGGAGGACACACAAAGAATTCTCGGATCTCCGAAGATCACGTCGCATCTCCCTTTTCGTCTGGGAAACCGGCTGGATATCAAGGTGGCCAGCTTGAGACTACCAGGTATAAAATTCCATTCATCCCTCTGTTCCGAGAGCGGTGCTTCCGCTCTTTCATTTTTTCTCTGTCCGCTCCGAAATCCTCCCTTGAAAGCTCGCCAGTTGTTCTGATGCCGACTATCGAACGTTCTATCGGCGGACTAGTAGTAGGCGAACCGAGTTCACCGATGAAATGACACCGTAATCGCCTAGCGGAAATCCTCCGTCGGCTCTCGACGGCGCGGCGGAGCGTCGCGATGACGCGGTTCGGAGCTTTGATATCAAAATCAAGAGCAATGAATCTTGATCAATTATTGCAAGGACGATAATCCACGGCTAATCTCGACGGTACTCGAAGATGATGTTGCAAAGCGCGCGATGAGCTCCAGTGACGAAATCGGCAACTCGACCGCGTCTGTCGTCGAGAGCATGGGATATTTTCTGACAGCGCCAGCCTCCCGAACACGGTGATCAAGGTAAGCATCACCGTCGTCAGAATGAACCCATAGCATGAAATCAACGATTCAGCGGGACACGTCAATATTTCGCCGTAGAGCGGTTAAACCTAAAAATGATGAAAATTGATGCCGGCATTCAGGTCCATCCGAAAACGCGATTCTAGTGAGCCGGAGAGAGAGAGGGAAGGAAGAGCCGAAGAGAGACAGGCGAGTGGACGGACAGAGGGACGGACGGACGGGCGACCAAACAGACTGACTCGAGGGAAGCCTGAAACCCGGTGCGATCCGTTCACGGCCTCCGCAGATCGTAGACCTATGATTTCTTCTGCGAATCGAGTCCAATTTCGCGCGAATGTTCCAAACAAGACGTGATGTGGTTTAATCTCATCAGGGTCGAGAGGAGAAGAAGAAAAAGAAGGAACGAACGGAACTCTTCGTGCTTTAATCGATGAATCGATCATGACCTCTGTATTACATACAGTCTGCTTCTGTCCGGTGTTCGTTCCTCATTCCTGCCCGAACCTGGTCTAGTTTTTCTCTCTTCTCCGTTACGGATCTATATCGGGCTGGCATTTTGAGAATCGTCGATCATTCGATGCATGCAGATAATTGACTTTTGTGAATTGTGTAATTGCTCCAAAGAAACCCACGAGCGCTCGATGGATGGACGAGCGGGCGGGCGGGCGGGCAGGAAGGTAGAGAAAGAGAGAGATTTAGCAAGCCGAGCCGGATAGCGAACTTCTCTCCGAAATTTCCCAAACGAATTCCAAAGAGCGAATATCGCATCGCTATCGAAATGATGCAAGACCTTCGGCTGCTCCGAAGGCTTTCATACATTCATACCCTCTCAATGAAAGTTTTGATCTCGACAACGAGTATCCACTTAGACGCTCCCTCGACAGCGATGGAAACTTCTCGGGGAACGTCGACGGTGGACAGAGGAGCTCACGCGGAGTAGCAGTCGATCTTACGCAATCCCCGCCATCGATTCATTGGCAGAGTCCATTCCGACGAGAACACGGCGACTGCCCATAAATGTTCCGATCGCTGAAAACGGTGCCGTATACCCCGGACCGCAAGCTCAACAATCCGTACGCGGTCAAAAAACAGACGGAGCGGCGACTTTAACGAGCGGCTCCAGCGAGCAATGAGTACATACTGCGTATACCGCTGAAAGACGAGCCCAGGAGATGATTCGAAAACGCTCCGCGAAAGCCTTTTCATTTCCCTCTAGATCATTTTATGGTCAGTCTCCGGCGCGAGAAGAAGGTTCTGCTTGTGCCCACACACAGTTAGAAGTGCAGGTGCCCGCTAGGTATCATAGGGTTGGAGGCAATACCGAAGAACGGATCGAGCGAGCGGGCGGGCAGAGAGCGAGCGACGGACCGACCGACACGCGGACAGACTGCGTGGATGGCTTGGAGAAGTTGAGTCGTAAAGTTCAATCGGGCAACGAACGAATCCCGTTCACCTCGGCTTTGAATTCTGAACTATTCTATGCTCTGATTTCTCGTCCAGTCTCGAGGTCTCGTCCAGAAACCGCAATTCTTCGAGCAATCCATCGGCGCTTCTACCTCTGCAGGTTGTTCCGCCTTCGGGGAGACTCTTTCGCGAGCATAAGAGGGTGCTTGTGGTAATTGAGAATTTATGGGGAAACGACTCCTCGAAGTTGTTGTGGTTGCTGCGAATGCGCTCGATGCAATGAAATGCTTCAGGAATCGATCCAATCAACAATCGATAGCGCGACGCTCCACGGATTGAACGAAACGTTCCGCTCAGCCCACGATCTATCAGACGATGCTCGAAAGTGTGGAGTCCGTGATGTGGTCACGAGGGAAGAAGATTCGCCAGTTCCGAGAGTGTCAGTATTTTTATTTCCCGCGATCGCCGCCTTCCAGCGATCAAAGATTCGAATCCCACAAATAGCTCGAGTGTTCCTCAACCAGATCCAGAGACCACTTGTTGTGTCCAACCGGTCTCATATCGTTTCTGAATCAGCTAAATCATTTTATGCCCGTATCGTTGTCTCTGCGATCGTAGAAACCCGGGAGAGTCATCCTGACCTGACTCGAAAAGTATCGGTGATGGATTATGACACCGGCTAGGATTCGGTGGAAGTGGTCGGAGTCGGGGGACACCGACACCGATTGAACCTCGGATCAATCCGAACAGATGATCCCAATATATCGAATCCGCCTCGATACTCCAAAAATGGGCTCTGAGGAAACGCCGATCCGAGAGTGAGCTCGGATTTTTGCCAGAGGTCCGAGTCCCGTTCGAGCTCTCGATTACAAGATCATCATCCCTGTTGACTTCGCCCTCTAATTCATCGTGGGCGAAATCGGAAAATAATTTCATGAGGGAAAGGACTCACCATGTTTTGTTCTACCAGATCTGCCGCGCACTCCATCCTGTGCACGGGGACGGGTTCACGATTTTTGACACGAATTTTGATATCGTTCAAGTTTCACAGCGTGTTCAATCGGCCGCGCCTCACGGCGGTGGAACTTCGTCCAGTGTCACTCAAACAGGGTAAATACCGCAAAGAACTGCCGCCGCCGCCGTCGCCAACGTCCTTTTCCACGCCTCTGTTTTGGTGGAACAACTTTCACAAAATCGTCAAACTGAGTTCCAGGTATTGCCCGTGGGCTCGCCGGCCGGTTGTCTCCACAGATGCCGAGCGTTCGACACACAGAGTAAATCGGAGCTGTCAGCCACGGACGATCTTCTCGGCTACATGTGACTTCGAGCCGCTCGGGGATGCAGGCTGGCTAGAGAGGCGGGCGGAGAAAGCTGGCTTAGACACCGCCCAAGCGGCGAGCGTTGCGCCATCTACATCCCAATCAAAACGGCTTCAGTGGCCGGGACATCGCAGCCGTGGACATAATAAACTCACAAACGATACCACCATCGCTACCACTACCATTGGCAGCACCAGCAGCTCGGCGGCAGCGGCGGGCGCGACGGCAGCGGTGAAGGCAACGGAGTCAAGAGAATCAGAACGACGGTCGTTGTCATTGCGATTATTGTTATTTTTATCGTTGCACTTCTCCCGACGATTCGCCCGTCGCCTCGTCCGATGGCCAAGTGAGGGAGTCGCGATAATTATTCACGAATGCCTCGATCTTCTCAGAGTCTCCGAACGGAGACTGTCGGAATGGAATTGAAGCCGAGGGAACAACCTCTGAATGGAAGCGGGGAAAATATCTATTTTGATAGGGATCGATCCCTCATCAGGCGAAACGAGAGAATGAACCAGCGAAACCCACCCGTAGCGAGCTAAATATTAAGCAATGATACCATCATCCGATCTCCAGGTTGGAGGCAGATTTCGTCACGAGTCACGAAAACACGACCCTATCCCAAACTCAGGCGAATCAATCGCAGGAGATCCGCCGTGGCGGCATGTTCGCTTCAGGCGAGGACTTTTCTCTTATATCGCTCCTGAGCGATGGTCTCCGTTTCGAGGGGCTCAAGATTCTTTGGATGGCCACTCGATTTGCCTCCCGATTCCACGCGTATTCGTATCTTGTCGTCCGATGATTTTGATTTAGAATATTTTTTCGATCTTGATTCTTTCATCCCTGGCTCCTACCCCCAATGTGTTCAGACAAATGTGTGGTCTGGAAAGCTAGAGTCTTCTTGGCTTGACCCCCTTACCGTCTGTCTGTCAACGTTACAATCACAGTCTGAAGTCGTTAAGTCGTCACGGTCCGCCACGATTCGCCTTTGAGTACTCACGCTGGCTGGGCATCATTGACATTCTCGGGTTGTCTCTGCCGCGGCAAACTTATCCATCAGTCGCCGAGTTGACCACCTGTCTGCTTCGTATTTCTTGCGTCTCGACCCCACCAATCGAACCGCGGCAGGGTGTGAACCAATGGATCGAGTTCGAAGCTCCGAGTGCCCTCCCGATTATGCGGTGTCCGTCGTTATTCTCCAGATACATGCTTCTGGTAATACGGATTTCTGTCCGAGATTCACGGACCGGCACCGCGGGAAGGCCCGATCAGGCAAGGAAACTGTTGAAGGCGGAAAGGCGACGACAAGTCGGTGGTTCGGTGTGAGCATTTCTTTATTCTTAGAGGACACAGCTTCTGTCGTTGGCGTCGATCTGCTGATCACGAACGTATTTACAAGCCGACTACAATTGGGAGCCGTCGGCGTCGTCGTCGCTACCTACTGCCAACCGTAAGAGGTTGAAAACAAAAACAGGATAACAGTAACAGCAGCTTCGAGAATGGCGCGACTACGTGATTGACACGCATTTTGTTGAACGATAGAATGAACGATTAAGTCGTTAACAAGCGATTGACGTTCCTCCGAAGATTGACTCGATTTCGATCTTAGCAAGAAGATCAATCACTGGATTCAATTAAAGCACTCGCAGTCGGCAGGGGCAGAAGATTGTTCCTCTATGGCGAGAAAGGAAAATACGTCTGTTCCTGATACCTAAAAACAGTTCTGTTATCTTTACTCAGAGCGGCTGTTTTCTCCGGAAGTTCCGCAGAGCTTGCACGAAGCCGTTATTGAATCCGACGTTGCCAGCTCAAGCTTCGGGACTCGTGATCCTGCAAGACGAAGCCAAACGTCAAGGTTGCGATCGACTCGCCCATTCAGGCTCAAGCGATTTCCACGAGAATGGCGGCACCCGGCTTCCTTCAGGAAGGGCTGGATGAAAAATTACCTGTTGAGGCCGAAATTGCTTAGTAGCATGCTTGCGGTGTCTCTGTTGCGCTTGGCGCGCTCGTAAGTCTGGGCGAACTGCGCGAGTTTCCCGCTCGGGAAAATACAAGCTTCGCGTTTGCGTAGCATGTATTCAGACGGGAGCATCCAACGATTCTCGTAGCATTCCTCAATGGTGGCGCGTTTCCTGCGAAAAAAATACAGCGATGAATACTCAATCGATCCTTCGTTGGAAGCGGAGTCAGAGAGGATTCGCACTGTCGAACTTACGTGGGACACTTCTTGAAAACTTGAATTAGGAGCTTCGTTGCTTCAGACGAGCATTCCTTGTAGATGGATTCAAAGTGGAAGCGGACCATCGAGACGTTTTCCCTAGTTTCCGCCTCAGTTACTCCCAAGAACGGGGAAACTCCCGACAGACTGCAAGGAAATGCATAGAGCTGAGGTCGAGACGTTGAGCGAGAGGCGAGATGTTCCGAGTGCACTCACTTCATCGGTCGATTCACAACCTAGATATGGAATCGATTGAGCGGTAATAGAAGTCCGGAGGATAGCTTACAGAATGTACATGAGAACTCCGGCACTCCAGACGTCGGCAGCGTACGTGACCGGTTCTCCCCTAACGACCTCGGGCGCCATGTATTCCGGGTCGGTATCCATGGCTATCTGGGCGCCGCCTTTGGGCACAGCGTGAGTGGAGCCAAAATCGACGAGCTTCACAATGCACGACTGGCCATCGGTGACGCACACGGAATCGGGCTCCACGTTGCAGAAGACCAAGCCCTTGAAATGGAGGTATTCCAGGGCATCGAGAACCTGTTTCATCACTCGGGAAACCTGATCCTCAGTGTAGGTGTTCCGCAGCGTGAGGAAGGCGAGAATGTTCATCGACAAGCGCTCCATGACTGCAAGAGGATCACAACGACTTCAGCGTCTGAGTGAATATAGCTACTATCGACATATTTGATTTATTGTACAGTAGAGCCGGAGAACGAGACAACGAGAATTCACAGAACGAGAAGAACGTTCCCCCCTCGGGAAACGGGAAGCACTTACCGAGCATGGTAACGTCGCCGTTCTGGAAGGCGTCCTCCAGGTAGACGATGTTCCTGTGCACGAGACTCTTGAGCATATCGTACTCCCTTTTACCGTTCTTCACAGCCTTAACGGCGAGAAGTCGACTGTTGGTCTTCGAGGTGGCAGACATCACCACCGAGAATCGACCGGACGACAGTTCCGCTGAGAAATTGTACTCGTCCTTGGGATCGCTAGTCTTCAAATTGATGGGATTTTGCTCCCTTGAATAATCGTGCACGGGCGCCGAGCCCACGGCAATGTCGGTCGCCTGCACCTGTTGGTAACTGTGCGTTGGGCTGAGCTTGATTTTGTTGCTGCTGTCCGCGGCTTCCGTCGACACCGCTTTGGAAGCGTCCGAAGTGCCGGAATTGCCGAAGGAATTCGTGGCCGTGACTCTGAACTCGTACTTCGTTTCGGGCTCGAGGTCTTCAACAATGTAGAACTCGTTTGTGATCTTATCCGGAATTCGGATCCATTCGGCGTCGGATGATTTCCTCATTTCGAGCGTGAAGAAGAGAGTGCGTGCGTTATTCTCCTGTCGCGGTGCGTTCCACTCGACGTACATCTGCTTCGATGTCGCTTGAGCAACTTTCGGTGCGGCGGGTCTTCCCGGAGTATCGCCCATGCGGAGTCGGGCGCGACAGACGGCCGTTCCCGACGCGTTCCTCGCGACGCACTTGAATACCCCGGCGTCGTAGGCCATGCCCGGAGCGAGGGTGAGCACCGACGTACCCGCGGCTTCGTCCGTATCGATCCTAATGCGCGAGGTAGGAAGGAGTGGACAGTCGTTCCTGAACCAGGTGAACTGAGCTGGCGGTGCTCCGACAGCGACCGCGGTGAAGCTGACGTTGTTGTTGTCCATGATGACGGCGTCGTCGATTTTTTCTCTGAAGAACGGCAGAGTTCCGATCGCCTCTTCCCGAGTCACTCCCCGGAATCTCCAGGCGTCGTCTCGTACGGCATCGGTCTGGTTCTTGATGTAACCGACCGCTCCGACCTCTTTGTTCAGACGGAGCAGGATCGACTTGTGGTCGTCTCCACCCTTTTTCTCATCATCGATCTCCTCATCCATCATGTCGTGGAACTTCCGCCTCTCGCGGATCACCACTTGCGGGTAAATGTGTTCTCTTTCCTGACCTCTCGCAAAGATCTGCAACAATGTCCCAAGGTAGAGACTTATTAGTGGCTGTGCTGACCGAGTGTTATGCAGCCCCGAATTCGGAACCTCATCTTTTCCTCATCTTTTCGTGAGGTCCCTCTCAAGGTCATCTGTTTTACTCACGTCAGATCCTCCCCAATGCTGGCCACGCAGACTGGCCGCTAGGCTGGGGCTTCGCGAAGCTCCGACTTTCATGTATTGCCTCAAACGTAGAGGGAAGTCCGTGTCCCTCAGTTGCAGGAGATACGTGTCAGGACCCTGTGCGTAGCTGGGGGGCAAGGTCCAATGAGCGTGGAAAACTCAAAAGCGTCATCCATTCCGGAATTCTCATTTTTCATCAAATCATCCTGATCGATTATTATTATCATCATCTGAACATGTCTGAAACTCACTTGGATTCGTTTTTGAAGTTCTCGGTGTCGTACGTCCGCTTCTTACGTTCGTAGTTGAATCCGGGGCCGACGTGCTCGCGTTCCCTGCCAGCTGGACTTTCCGGTGGCGTGTAGGGCTCTCCGGGAGGATAGATCATCTTGCTTGGGTGATAGAAGCAAGACTCCAACGTACGTCGACGGAAGCAAGTTCGGCAATTCGCGTTGGCATACCATTTCTTCCATTTCTCTTGGTAGTCCACCAATCGTTCGTAATTGCCGAGCTTTGGGCCCCGGTCGGGCAGGTCAGCCATCTTGAGCCACGGATGGTTCAGAGCCGCTTTGACGTTCAGCCGACCATCGGGCTCGAACACCATCAGCTTGGCAACAAAGTCCCGCGCATCGTCGGAGACACCGTCGAATCCTTCGGGGAGGAAACTCATCTTTCCATCCTTGATGTTCGACAGTGTTTCACGGTCGTGCTCTCCGAGGAATGGCGACACTCCGCTAAGTAGAATATAGGTGATGACACCCACGCTCCACATGTCGGACGCGAGTGTCGCGGGCTCTTTCTTCGCCAGTTCGGGCGCGACGTATTCGGGATGACCGTACTCCTGCACGAAGTTTCGATCGTTGTGGATTCTCGTCGCGAGACTGAAGTCCCCGATTTTGATGTCATCCGCGTCGACTCGAGCTACCAGAAGGTCACCGAGCGTGAGTCCCAGGTGGGCGATTCCGCGAGCGTGCATGTAGTCGAGACCCTGCAGAGTTTGTCGGATGTAGTTGGCAACTTGTCCTTCGGTGAGTCCTCCTCGCTTGATGATATTTCCGAGTAGCTCTCCGCCTCCGCAGAGGTCCATTATGAGCGACATGGAGTCCGGCGATTCGAAAGCGTCCCACATTCGACAGAGTTTCGGATGCGCCAATTGGTTCATCGTGTCCATCTCGTTTTTCATCCACTGCTTGAACTGAGGGTCTCTGTGGTGCATGACCTTCGCAGCGTACGAGTTCCCGGTGGCTCGAGCGACGGCGTGGTAAGTAACTCCCTGAGTGCCTCTGCGGAATTTCAAGGATTTCAGGAAAAAGTGAAACGAAACAAACAACAAAAGAAACAACATACTGACAGAGGATGAGACAGCGGGATTTGATTTCCAGGAATTCCCTCCGACCTCTAAATATTTAGAACTCCTTCTCCTCAATCATAGCCTTACCTCCCAAGTTCCTCGCCGAGATCATAATAGTCTCTGAAAGGTTTGGTGCGGGGTCTGACCACCCGAGGAGCTTTGTACGTTGACAGATCGTAGAGTTCCTCCTCTTGTTCGATGACGACGGTGGCCGAACATGTCGCATCCCCGGCGATATTAGTCGCTTTGCACGAGTACAATCCAGCGTCCCTCATGATCGAGTCGTCCAGTTTCATCACGCACAAATCGGGCTGCTCCCAAGTGATGTTCGTCCGACCGGAAGTTGCGATGGGTTGCCAGTCCTTGTACCAACGGATGTTCGGATAGGGTTTTCCGACGCAACGGCACTGCAGAGTACCGCTCTGGCGGAGCATGATCGTCGTGTAATCGAGTCTCTTGGTGAAATGAGGCTCCTCCGCGAGTTCGAGCCTGATAGACTTCGTGGCCTCGCCGTGCACGTTCACGGCCTTGCAGGTGTAGATGCCCTCGCATTCTTCGCTCATGCGATTAATGCACAGGAGGACCTGTCCGTTCCGATCCTGAATTTTCTCGTAGCGGCCTCCGGACTCGACTTTCTGGTCCTTGAAGTACCACGTGCATTCGGGATGAGGGAGACCGTAGACCCAGAACTCGATGCTCACTGGCCGTCCCTTAATGCCGAACATAACTTCTTCTTCCTTGCGCACGAAGTAAGGAGCACAGCCATCCTTGTCCAATTCGTGGCCGAGATCGATATCTTTTGGTTTGAACTCTTTCTCGGGCTTATCTTTGTCGTCCTTCTCTGCTAATTTGCTCCTGTGTGCGGTCACTGGAGGGGAGGGCTCGCTCAGACCGTGCTTACTCTCCACAAGAACTCGGAACTGATAGTCTTGACCGGGCACCAAACCCTTGACATCGGTTGTGGTATCCTTGATGCCCGACGCGTAGGGTTTCCAGGCCCCTCCTGGATGATCGGCCATCTCGACCCTGTACGTGACCGGAGTGCGCGGACCTTTCGGAATCGACGGCTTCCAGCGGAGTGTGCAGTCATGATCCGTCATACGAACAATGTCTGGCGCGTCGGTGATCGACGGCGGAATGCCTAGGCGAATCAATGAGAATTTTAGAGCGCGGTCAATCGAATTTCGGGGATCAGAAAATGAGCGCGCGCCGTCCGAATGAGCCTTTCTCCAGCCACTGGCTGATGCTCTCATCCGAACTCATGGCGACTCATCCGAGTTTCCGGATTGGCAAAAGGGCGACAAAAAGATTTGGAATGACCCCCGGTCGAAGCGGGGAAAAAACTCAACCTGTATCTGGTTTGAGGTATTTAACAACACTAGGTTTCTCTCCATCGAACTTCGGTCGCTCAAAATTGAAATCGTCCGTATCACTGTGATCTCCGTCATCGGGCTGTTTGTCGTTGGCAGCCTTGTCCTTCTTCTCCTCTTCCTTCGGCTCCTCGGAGATCTGGTAGTTGAGCTTCTTCCACGCTGCATGCCAAATACGTTCTATCAATCATCCACCTTCATCAGGCTTAAATTATTCTTCTAAAATTAAGCTTGATGATCCACTCCTAAATATTCCAATGCTCTTCGAAGTTCGAACGTCCTTCGCAATTCCCTCAGTTATCTTATTCCGAGGGTGCTTCGTTTACGCGCTCAGGGAAGAAACCAACTGACCTGGCTTCTCATCCGTTTTCTTGTATTTGAGATCCGTTGCTGGAGGAATGAAAATGGGGGTTTTGATCGATTAAAAACAGAAATCTCAGAAAAATGGACGCTGACACTCTCAACTCCAATAAAATCCTTTGGAAGCGTTTTGTCTCCGGAAGCTCAGTCGAAAACCGAAACATGGAACGCATATGTCTTCGATCGGGGAAAATTCTCCAGCCGATACTGACGCCGCGCAGAAATATCCCTCAATGGATGGTTCCAACGCATAGCAGTTCGGCAGAGATTGTTTCTCTCGAGCAAGCTCTGAGGGCTTCATGCATTAGTGGCTTATGACGAGGCCAAGAACAACCCGAACAAAACACACAACTCATCTCGACGAGAGAGCTCTGATATGCAGCTCTCTCGTTTGGCAGCCCTCTCAAGGTCACTAGCACCGCTGGCCCCACCCCGATTGACGAGAAAGATGTTGCAAAATAATTTTATTAAGGGATCTATCGATGACTGAGACACTTATCGATTGATTGATCGATTGGTCAGTCGACAGATTAAGTGATCGATCGACCGACCATCCTTAGTTGAATTAACGACCAATCAAGACAGAGCGAGAATCGCTAGATTGTTCGATTATTGTGTCAACATCAAACATTATTCTCCAGAACTGAGCAGTCGAGTTCATGTCAATGAAAATAGCGGTTATGGTTCACGACGACACGGTCGCCGCTGCGTAAAATCCGAACCGACGCACTCGGTATCGCGAGTGAATGACGTATTCTCCGTCTTCGCCCAGAGTGGTAAGTGATAATCATGATGATGGATGGATTGGGTATGATGATCAATCAATCAATCGATGGATACATGAATGATCGAATGAAAGGACGAATTGATTTAATGGATAAGAAGACGAGGACGGATTCTCCTGAGAGCGTTGGTGGTCGAGATCGTCGACGATGACTTACGTCGACGATGAGAACACAAAGATCAAACGAGCGGAACGGCGCAACATTCGCGATAGAAACCTTGAGTACACAGCTCGTGGAAAGTGAAGTTGTCCGCCTGTAGAATTCATCACCAACGCTCGAAGGAGGCTGTCACGCAGGCTACGCAGTGCCGAAACGCCAGAAGACTCTGTACCCGAAACTCTAGAGCCGTGTACCAAGGAAAACGCGTTTGAGCTCTGTTGCGAATATTCGTTACAGTCAGTCCGGGGAGGCTTCTCGCATCTGTCACTGCGGACTCGAAGCCCACGTGGAACCCCATCCTTCAGCGTCGCCTCAACCATTAAAGCATGCTTTGTCTACGAATGTCAAGAAGAAGATGAACGATTAACGAAACTAAAATTCAATAATCTAGACTCCGATAGTGATTACCCTCGCGGGATGATTCTCGCTCGGCCACAGCCGAGGAACACAAAAGAACGAGAGATAGGAAACCATGGGTTTTCACGAATCTGCATCTTTGTCTTTGCAACATCTTTTTCGGGCGCACGAGTACACGGGACCGAGACCGAGATTGGAGATCAGATCGTCGAAATCAGTGTCCGAAGGATCATCGTAATCCCCAGGAAAGCCGGAGGCTGCCCCCCCGCTCCGATGATTCACAGTTAATGATGAGTACGCTTGGCTCACACAGAGACACACCATACACGTTACGACTAAAGTCAGCAGGAACCGGGCATAGGTGGTAATTCGTTCGCCAGCGAGTCTCTCGTCGTTCTGCTCTTCGTCTTCGTCGATCCGAGCCAGAATATTAGAGGAAGCCGACTCGGCCCATTGCTGAACGGCTTCGTTCGAAGACCGCTCCCTGCATTCCTGGGGCGTTGACGACCGTCCACGGGACTCGCGTCGGGCTTCCGCCCGGTACATCATGCGTATGTTCAGCGCCATGGGTCCCTCTACGAATTCGGCCTCGTCTCGTAATTCGGCGACTTGTAGACTCCGTTCTGGAAAGGCTACGAGCGTATCGTCTACTTGGGAACCGTAGCCGTCGGTGTCGTAGTGTCGTCTGCTCTCGGAGGGTGCCCTGTAGGGCCGATCGAATATCTCCTCGAAACGCTGTCGCCGCGAGCCGGTTGTGTCTTTCGCTTTGGTGGAGACGGATTCGCCCGGCGCATCGCTGTCGGTAACATCGGATTCAAATCCGCTCGAATCGCGATCGTACTCAGTGTGTGAGCCTTCTTGAGAGGGATGATCACCTTTTCGCTTTCGAACTGGATGCGTTTCTGACTCACTGGAATCTTTTCGTTGACCGCCGCCACTCTCTTGCTGCGTCTTCTTGCGAGCTCCTGTCGACGACGGGCCGCCTGTTTGAGTATCTGTATCTTTCGGTTCCTCCCTTTGTCTTTGATCGACGAGATCTTCTAGGTGTTTGCTCATTCGTTTTTTATGGCTACTGAAGGCCTCCGCGTCCGAATCGTCGGTTTCGCTGGCATACTTGGCGTATTGCGCGATACTCATGCGACTTTCCTCTATGGCCAGTAGACTTCCCCCGGCCGGACGGATCCGAGCCACTGCCGAACTTGGGGCGTTTTCAATGGGGGCCGTTGTCGCATTCTCGACGACGAGTTCGGACTGCTTAGCGCACCGGACCTCAAGCGGATTTTCGGACAATTCGGACTCGGATGCGTATCGGGCATACTGCGCGATGCTCATCTCTTCTTCCTTGGAGCTCTGTTTGACGTGACGCTTCCGTTTTTGTTTGGGAGAAGACGTCGTTGCGGCATTCTCTTCGGTTCCACCACAGAATTGCGCGTTTTCCGCTTTGCTCACGGAAGCGTTCAGCAGAGTTGTCGTCATCTCGGGGGACCGTTGCCGGCGGGAAACCCATTCGACGTGTCCATCGTCCGCGTCAGCTTCGGAAGCATCACTGGCGTATCGCGAATATGCGGCGATGCTCATTTCGTGAGCCGAAGTTTCTCGGGTGGTATTCCGTTTCGTGCCTTTGTTCGTAAATGATTCCTCGGGATCCGCAGCTGATCGCGTTACGATATCATCACAGTTATCGGTATCACTCGCGTATCTAGAATACTCGGCGATGCTCATTCGATGGTCGCAGCTGTGAGCCGCGCTTTTCGAACAAACTTGCCGGCCCGAAACACGGTTCCTGTTCTCGTGTCGAGCGACGCGCTCGCTCCCAGATTCACTGGCGAGCCTGGCGTATTCACCGATGGTCATTTCATGGGTCGACAAACCCGGTGCGCGGGCTTCAGCCGGAGCGCCGGTTCTAGTGCTTTCTTGGTCACGGATGGTCACGGGGAGTTTCCTCGTCGAAGAATCATTTTCTGATTCTACATCGCTGGCGTAGCGAGCGTATGCTGCTATGCTCATTTCGTTCCGTTCGTCGTGTTCGTGCCTCGCGAATCCGGCCGGGATCGGCATTTTTCTCGGGGAACTCTTGACTGTTGTGGTCTCGCCGATTTCCAGGTCGGATTCGATGTCACTGGCGTACCTTGCATAGGCTGCAATACTGAGCGTATTCTCAGCCGTGCGTTGGTCTACGAGAGAGAGCTCCCTCGGCCGAGACCGACGTGTCACGCTTTCAGGTGATCGGTCTTGTTGCGACTCAATGATATTCTTCTCCGGCTCGGGTCCGCTCACGGGCTTCTCCCGAGCTTCAATCTCAGCTTCGGATTCGCTGACATATCGAGCGTAAGCGGAAACACTCATTTCGGTCGTTGCGTGGACCGCGGACATCGCGGGTTGGACTCGCTCACGGACTTCATCTTTTCGAGTCTGTTCGCGCTCAGGACGAGGAGGAGTCTCCGAGGCTTTCCGCGGTACGAATAATTCGGCGTCGGAGAGCTCTGCTTCACTCGCATACCTCGAATAAGCAGCGATGCTCAATTCTCCGGTATCGATGAGGTCCGGGAGCCGAACGCTCTGAGGGGGCACGGGGGACGATTCTCTGTCGCTCTTGTATTCAGTGATGACCAACGTTGAGGATGCGGGGTCGTTTCCGTCTTCCCGTTTCTTTCTTTCAGCAGCCGCGATATCCACGAGTCGCTCAAAGTCGTTTGGAGTCACGGGTTCCTCGATTCGAATGCGTTCATGCTCTACAGGACCGTCGAAGGTTATGATCGTCTTGCTGGTGTGATTTATCACAAGTTTCGGTATAACTCGCTTGGGAATGAAGAGTTCAGTATCTGACTCGGCTTCGCTGAGACGAGGGGATCGGTCGCCGCCTCGACGGGCCTCGTTGGCCGAAGCCCGAACCTGCTGCACTTCTAACTCGAGACTTTCAGTGCTCTCGATGAGCTCCGTGATGATCGTCCGACGTGTTTTCCTGTCGAGTATGACTTTGTACTTGACGTCGATGTCTGTCCTATTGCCTTCGTCGTCGGCGGCGTAGTCGAAGGACGATCGGAATGCTTTTCGTGGGTTCATTCTCCTCGATGCTTCCTCCCCCAGTTCGGCTTCCGACTCGGTGCCGCTCGCGTAGCGGGAGTAGGCGGATATACTCAATTCATTGGACTGTGTCGCTTCGGTTCTCGGCGAGATCGCCTTTCGGAGATCTGGCGCACTCTCGGTTTTCGTCCCACAGTCAGGTTGAGAGGAATCCTCTCTAGAGGCTCCAGCTGTCAACTCCTTCTTTTTGACCGATGTACCCCTCGTCGGTAGGGCAAAGCGTTTCGCCATGTGATTATCGGCATCTGACTCTTCGGAACCACTGGTCAAAAGCCGCCCGTAAGCTGCGATGGATATCTCGTCCAGAGCGTTGTCCGCGTGCACCGAAATGTACGGTTCTGGATTGACGGCCGCTTCGTCAGTAATTCCCTCTGCTCCGGTGCTCGAACTCTGCACGCAGATCGGTTCGTAATCTTCGTAATCGCTGGCGTATCGAGAATATTGCGCAATACTCAGCTCTTCGCCGTCCTCTTGCACACGAGGGCTCCTCGCCGGACGTGGCGGCAGCGCTTTGGCTTTCGACCCGACGTCGAGATTGGCCCCGGTCAGACTGCTATCTCTGGAATAAGCAGCAATACTTACCACTTCGTTTCCACACTCGACGATGACCTCTTTTAACCTCTCTCGCCTACGGTTCGGGGAAGTCCGATCGCCATCGAGCTCTGAATCTTCTGTTTCGCTAGCGAATTTCGAATACGCGGCGATGCTCATGCTCGACTCGCCATTGGCCTCTACAGCGGGCATTTCCCTCTGAGGTCTGTTCGGCAACTCTTGACGTCTTTTGATAACCTCCAACTCGACGTCCTCGTTTTCGCTGGCGTAGCGAGCGTACTCGCAGATGCTCATGTGTCGTTCCGAATGCGAAGGACTCGATGGAGATAAACGCGAAGGGCTCGATGGGGACTTCTTGCCTTTCTTCTTCGTTGACGATCCTCGCGGCGGGAGTTGAACGAACTCGTTTTCGTCGGTCTCACTCGCGTACTTCGAATACGCGGCTATGCTCAGCTCCACGGACTCGTCGTAGTCTTCGAGCGACCGTTGTTTGCGGTGTCGCTTCTTCACCGAAGATCCCCTCGCGGGGAGGCTACCCGATTGTTTGTCCTGTCTCTCCTTCGATTGTTCGGAGTCGCTCAGGACCGTCCGGTAGTATTCTGCGATACTCGGCTCGTTTCTGGACCGTATTTCGCTAGCCGTCGTCGTCGGAGTCGTGGCTTGACGCCGCTCCCTACGTTTTTCCGACGACCCTCTCGACGGCAGTTGCGGTGGGGACGATTGTTTCCTTTGACGTCGTTTAATTGAGGAAGCCCGACCCACGAGAGAAGCGGGGTTTTCCTTCTGTTCGTGGATCGCTTGACGATAATAATCGGATATACTGATCTCCTCGCGGCCGGAGGTCGCAGACGATTCCAGGGAGCAACTTGTTCCCTTCCTCGCTTCGACTGACCCGCGGGACGCGTCTTCGGTGTCGCTCATCGCCGACCTATAGTAGGCGGATAAACTCATCTCGTTCGAAGCCCCGAGACTGATCTGGCGGCGGACATCGGTGCCCACGTGCCGGTCGTGGTTATTTCGTGTCACGGCAGTGCTGTTAGAGACATCGCTTGACATGCTGTCCATACACTGGCGATAATAAGAAGAAATGCTCATCATGCTTTCGTCCTCGAGTTCGGGGAACCTCGATCGGTTAGTCGAATTATCACACTGGGCGAAACAGCGGTTCTTACTGTCTTCCGAAAGCTTGCAACAACAATCGGCTTTCCCGTGGACGTTCGAGATTTCGCAGCGGTACTTTCCGAAGTCGCTGGATTCGAGATTCTTGATGACGAGTCTGATGATGCCGTTACGGTCACGTTCGAAACTTTGGCGGTCTGTCGCAACGACCTCAACGTCGTCTTTGTACCTGTGGTGCGGGAAAATGTCGCAAGGATGACACGTCAGAGTTGAGCCCGTGTTCCGGAGGCATCGAAAGAAGAACTCACCATTTCACGTCGGGCTCGGGCTTGCCGGCGATGCAGGCGATGAGCTTGGCGGTCGAGCCGGCGGTCAGCTCTTGATCGGTGAGTTTCTTGAGGAATGAAGGAGGTTCTCCACTATCGGGTTTGAGCTCGGCTTCCCTGAAAACGTGGGGAGAATCAATCAGTCTCAGAGGTTTTCCCCCATCGCGGAGCGTCGAGTATGTGGCCGGAAGGCGAAGAGAACGACTCCAACTCACTTGATTGTTCCTATACAGGCGGTCGAATCTTGACCAGCAGCATTTTTGACAGTGCATTGGTATTCTCCACAGTCGTTGACACTCGGGTTGGCGATGAAGAGTTTGCATTTGGTTCCTGTTTTCGTGATGGTGTATTTGGCGCCGTCGTGGATCGGCGCCCCACGGTAGGTCCACGAGGTTTCAAAGTCGTCGTCACAGAGAACTTCGCATTCGAGAACGAGCGGAGCTCCTAAAGTGACCTCGGTGTCGTTGAGAGGCTTGATGAACTTGGGCGGCTTCAGGACCTTGACATTGGCCTTCGACGATTGTTCGCCGCCCGGGCTGACGAGCTTGCATTCGTACTGACCAGCGTCGGTCAGAGCAGCCTTTGGAATCTCGAGCCGGGCAGTCTCTCCGTCGAAGGAAATTTTGGCATCGGCGGTCTCCCGGATTGGCTTGCCGTTTCTGAACCATTTCACCTCGGGGGTCGGCGTACCCATCACCTTGGCTTCGAGAAGGAGTTTGGTGCCTTCGGCGACAGTCTGATCCTTAAGCGGTGAGAGGAAGAACGGTGCTTTTTCATCCTGAACGCTAAGAGGTGCATCGGATCTCTGTTCACCCATCGGATTCGTTGCTTTGATCGAATAGGGTCCCGCATCCTCTGGCGAGCAGTCCTTGATGGTCAGGGTGCAATTACCCTTATCGTCCTCATCCGCAATGACTTTCTTGCCATCCGGCCTAATGGGTTTACCGTCTTTGAGCCACTCGATTTTTGGCTTCGGAGTCCCGGTGACTTGGGAAGAGAACGTCGCGGTCTCCCCTGCGGGCACCGTCACGCCTTCCAGAGGTTTCAAGAAAGATGGTTTCTCTGAAATTCGATCGGGTAATTGAAATATCTATCTGAAGGCATCCCTCTTGGGGCCGCGAGGCGGACTCCCGTGATCGGGGATACATCTACACTCCATCTCATCACAGTATCCTCAATTCACCCCTCACTGGGAAGGAGAGAATTATCCATCCGGGAATTCATGACTGCTAAGAACTTCGACTTACTGTTCACAGTCACGGGAGCTGACGACTTGTTCTCTCCTTGATCGTTCTTCGCAACGATCGAATATTCTCCCGCATCGCCAGGCTTCACGTCGTCGATTCTGAGCGTCGTGGTACCGTCGGGCTTCGTCTCAACTTTACATCGAGGGTCTGAGATCGGTTTTCCGTCCTTGAGCCATTGGATTTCGGGTTTCGGGGAGCCGCCGACCTTAGCCTCGAGTTGGCCGGGCTTGCCCTCGTCGAACGCCGTGGCTTTTAGGCCCTCGATGAACAGCGGCTTCTCCCGCTTGAGAGCCTGTACCGAGACGTCAGCCTCACTGGGACTGGTTCCGTATTGATTTGTGACTTCGCAACGATATTTGCCCGCGTCCTCGGGCTTGCACTCAGCGATGACCAAGAGAACGGTGCCATCCGGCTCCAACTTGATCGAAACGCGTTTGTCGGCCGGGACCTCCTTTCCGTCCTTGAACCACTTGGCGGTGATGGGAGTCTCGGACTTCACCTTACAGACCAGCTTCAACTCCTCGCCTTCGGTCAATTTCAATCCTTTCAGCTGAGTTTCGAAAACAGGAACCTTGCTCACAACTGGAAATCGAATGCAAGTTCAAGTTTTCGGTCAAAATAGAAGAGGGACCAGCATGATTCGAGGACTCATCTAATGAAGAATTTCGCCAGGGATTCCCATTCGTTCTGACCTTCCGCCGGAGCAGTGCTTTCGGCTGCTCCACCGTCGGGATTCTTGGCTCTCAGCGTGTATTTTCCAGCATCTGAAGGCTTGCAGTCGGGAATTTCCAAAGCCACCGTCCCGTCAGGATTCTTGATGAATTTGACTCCGTCAGCTAAAACCGAAATAATCTCGTGAAATCAATTCTCCCGTAGTGATGGAGTTCGATTTCCTCAATTCCGCACGCAAGGAAGCTCATTCGGGCTTTCGATTCACCTTCGGTCAGCGGTTTGCCGTCCTTAAGCCATTCAACGTCAGGAATGGAACCGTCTTCATTGGGGTTGAGTTTAGCTTCTAGTCGACCCAGTTCGCCCTCACCGAATTTGGTGGGTTGGAGACCTTGAGCGAACGACGGCTTCTTCATCGCCTTAGCTGTGGACATTCATACACCGATTAGTAGGCTCGGTTCCGTCCCTATCGATGGATAGGATCATCATTTCTCAATGACAATGTTCGATTTTTCGGGGGGAGAGAAGGGGTTCTACGATAGTCGATGAGTTCTAGTTCCTAGTCCAAGCATTTATAATTATTCCAAGTCTCTTCAGCACCTATAGCACACATGTCATCATCTGAACACCGGATATGATCTGGTACTTTGATCCACTGCCTCGACTCGAGATCACAAGCGAAGATAATCGGACGTGAAGCATGAGATCGAACCGTCTCTCTCCGCGGGGATCTATGTCCCTCTCCGAACGAGGTCGGAAGAGGACTCCGGAGAATCGGACAATCACTTACGCGACACATTGACTGGCGCCGAGCTTTGGTCCTCTTCATCTGTTCCCGGGTTCCTGAGAACGGCAGTGAATTTCCCGCTATCCGAAGGGATTGCATCGGAGAACTTCAAGCCTATGCCTCCATCGGGCGTAGAAAAGGGTTTGGCCCGGTCGTTGGCTCCGAGAGGCTGACCGTCTTTCAACCATGTGACGATGGGTAAAGAGCCGTCCTCGTTCGGACGCACTTTGCCGCTGATCACGCCCGATGCCCCCTCGTCGATCTCGAGTGGCTGCAGTGCTTGCTCGAACTTGGGAGCTTTGCTCTTCGCTGTTGAGAAGAATTGAAATTTGACGAGCGCCATTCCAATCACGGGTTTTTAGCTTGAAGCGTCAGTCTCGGAGTGGTCACACGATCACATCTCGTGATTCCGTGTTCGCGCTCAAAAATCGAGGCGCGGCTTCCGAATCTAGAGTGCGTGAGATCTTAGTCGAGGAAGCTCAAGATATGAGGTAAAGCATGTTTGCGGGCACAGCGATCGTTACGGTAAGCTGCCGGAAGTCTCAGAAGCTTCTTAGGGCTCCTACGGTAGGGCTTAGAAGCTTCAGCGAAGACAGTTGCAAGAGCCTGCGAAGTCGGCGTCGTTGCAAACAAGAAACTCACGCGCAACTTCGACCGGAGCCGACGATTCGGTCTTGTTCCCGTCGGGGTTCGTCAGCACGGCAGTGTATTTTGCAGCATCTGGAGAGTCGACTTTCGAAAGCTTGAGTCCGATGGCCCCGTCGGGAAGCTTGAAAGGAACTATGTGGTCGTCGGTTTTCAACGGTTCACCGTTCTTCAGCCATGTGACGTCCGGCAGAGATCCGTCGGCATTGGGCGAGATCTTCGCCTCCAGCTGACCGTCCTCGCCTTCACGGAGGACTTTCGCCGTCAGAGGCTCTGCGAACTGCGGAGGTCCTAGTGCGGCTGCAAGTGGATCTCAATTAGATGGCAACTCCATTGGGGAGGACGGTCGAGAGTTCGGATTAGTGCTTTTGCGGAGCCGTTACTGAACGTAGACGTTCAGGAAAGCAGAGAGAGATACGCAGTCGATTGAGGGATGAGAGCTCCGAATTAAAACGTTTGGAAGTCATCTAGTTGACGTAGAATCGGATGGTTCTGAGCCCCTAGCTGCGTACGGATCCGGGGCTCCTCTTCGGAATGACACATCCGTGTTTATCCCACGAAGTCTGTCCTTGATCCTCGTACTCCCACGACGTGGTCCTCGGTGGTAGATCCTCTTGTGTGAGATGGGAGCTGCCCGCCTTCACGACTCGAGCGAGAAAATCACAAGCGATAGATTCCAGTAGGAAGCGGCGATAGAGTCCTCAGACGTTGAGAGAGTCAAGCTCGAGAAAATCAGAAGCAGGAAAAGCTCAGGTGATCAATTCATAAAGCGAACGTACAGACTACATCCACTGGAGCGCTTGTCGCAGCTTCGCCCTCTGCGTTGCTCGCGCAAACCATATACGAGCCCGAGTCTTCAGGCGAGCCCTCATCGACGGTCAGCGTTAGAACTCCGTCGGCGTCGATTCTTCGACGGCATCGAGTATCATTCCCGATACGCACTCCGTCCTTGAACCACTCAATTAGCGGCAGATGACCTTCGTCGTCCAAGGTCACCTTTGTCGTCAATGAGAAGGGATCGCCCTCATCCACTCGCACGGGATGAAGTTTTTCCAGGAAGAGCGGCGCTCCCGGAGGCTTCGCTGCGACGAGTACATTCGAATGTTGATTAAATATTTCCCAGGAAGCGCGATAGAGGTCAAAGCTCACCGCAGACGAGAGTCATAATAATCGCGACAGTCTACGACGGCTCAGATTAAAAAAAACAGCTCATTTTCGCCTCAAACAAGAAGATGAAGCTCCGAATGGAGACTCGTCTAAAAAGTTAATGAAGCTGTAAGGAAGCACTGATGTCTGATACTCGGCCGTATACACATGTGTAAGTAGGTTGGGGCATGGTCTATGGGGGGGGGAAAGAACGCGAAAGAAAAGAACTTGCGAAAAACCCACGTTTCACCCTCAAGCTGGCCGTGTCCCTCACAACAGCTGTTGCGTAGCTCGCTCGAACCGTGTATTCTCCCTGGTCGTCCATCGAGACGGGGGAGAATACAAGCTCGAAAAGACCCTCCATATTCTGACGGGTCTGAACTCGACCTCCCATGGGAACCTCACTGTCATCGTGGCCTCTATACCACGTGACTTCGGGAAGGAACCACATAAATTCCTTGCCGTGAAGTTTAGTTTTTGCTACGAGCTTCCCGTCAGAACCTTCGGTGAACTCGGCGTCCTTGAGCTCGATAGCGAAGTTGTCCCATGGCATCGTGGCTTGAGAAGAACATGGCCTTAACTAGCTGCACACAAGAAAATAGGCGGGAAAAAGATTTCGGGTGGGAGAGAGGCTTCGCTTCTCTCCCTTTGGGATCTCACAAAACTACACACAAACCACAACGGACAAGAGACAGAGTCCGAGTGGAAGAAAACGCTTGATTGACTCACGATGAGGCGATAAGTTAGCGAGGATTAAACAGATCAGCCCCTCAGATCTAAGCGGAAACCGAAAACGGACAACGACACAGGAGGGACCACGGACGAGGGAATTCAAAAGATTTACGCGAAAAACAAGAACACAGCAAGGATTCGTAAGACTCAAAGAATGCTCGAGAATCGACTGAAGCTACCTACTTATAACGGTGACTGCGGATGACGTCTCAGCTTGTCCACAGTCGTTACGCGCGATAACTCGGTAGAGACCAGTGTCCTGGAGGCAAACTTCTGGCACCCTCAGTTCAAGACAACCGTCCGGAGACGCGGTTGTTTCCGCAGATTCCGGCAGCGCCTTGCCGTCCTTCTGCCACTCGACTTCAGGCAGGGAACCATCGTCGTTGGTTGTGACCTTGGTCTCGAGTTTCAGACGTTCTCCAAGCGGTAGTTCTAATGGTTCTAGTTTCCACAAGAAAATCGGTCTCTTCGTGGCTGAAGCTGTCGACAAATATCAAAATTCAGAGTGCTTCCAGGGTTTGTTCCCTTCAAACGAAAAGTTGTTCCACTCCTCGCGCGGAAAGCCCAGTCTAGCACGTCGGGTAAGCAGAAGATATGCGGAAGACGAAGCAGCAGAAGCAGAGAATTTACAGAACCTACTGCCGGATATTTGTAGGGGAGTTTGCGTCTCATCAGTCGCGTTGATAAGTTGCTCCCCGATGTCGACCGCATTCCCTTCGAGGACTGGTGCTGGAGAATCGAGCGTCACGGCTCGGCTCGGTTTCGCGACGTCACCCTCGACGTGAAATTCTCGGGATGGGGCGCCGTTCTCTGTCGATGCCACCTCGGGTGACATCGCGTCCAGTCGAGGGGATCGTCGAGGTTTCTCCGGCGCAGGAGCGGGGTGTCCTTCATCATTCGCGCAAGATGCGGGATTTTCAGTTGGAGTCGGAGCCCCCTCAGCTCCAGACGCTGAATCGAGCGACGCAAGACATGATTTTCCCGGGCATCTCGGGTGGATCAAATGTACTTTTGTAACATCGAAATTATGGTAGAACCTACGCGACGCGGTGATCGAATCTTCCGCCGTTCCAATCTCATCTCTCGCAATCTCTTCCCCGACCGTTGCCTTCTGATCTGCGCGATCAGCAAGGGGAGATGACATTCGATTTTTCTCGTTCTCGTCTCCCTCGCGAGGTCCGACAGATGCGCCTGGTCGGGGGGACTGTTGTCTTTCAGAGACATTTTCCTCCTTGCCGACGCTATCGAGCGGTTCGACAGGGCTCTGAGGTGCCGCCGCGGATTTCGCATCGTCTGTAGATCATGTTTTTTTTTAGAAGGAATTTCCGATCGCTGACCCGAAAAAATCACGAGCGTGAAGCTCCCGGGGTATATCCACCAGGGTGCTCCTCATTGAAATTTCTTCAACACATACAAACAACGTGAACGGGAGCTGAACATCTGGCTGGTTGAGAGATCTCGGTCTCCGCGATCACGGCATAAATTCCGCTATCGGCGGGCGTTACGTTATCCATGTAGAGAGCCATGGTACCGTCAATTGGATTGAACGACTTTTTGTGACGGTCTCCGATGGGCAAGCCATCCTTGAACCACGTGATCTCTGGCAGACCCTGGGGCCCATCTGGATCGACTTTGAGTTTCGCTTCGATTTTACCCGGCTTGCCGAGAGGCAGCGCGGCGTCTTTCAGAGGCGTCTCGAAAGTGAGTGGTGGTGCCGTGGCTGCAAGGAACTCATTTCTATGAGTCGTCATGCACTCGAAGCGTTGAGTCTCCTCACAACGGAGTTTTCTGAAGCGAAGCATCGCGTTCAATGTGCGATGCGGACGCATAGACGTCCGACGACGGAATTAGTTCGCCAATCTCCGATCATTCATGAGAAACTTCGAAAAAATTCGAAGGAGAAGCCGTGGGATTCGATGACAGAGAAGCAACCGAAAAAGAGAGCAAAATGAAACTCAAACAAATGTCCACTCTTCAGGCGAGAAAACGCACGTATGACTCCAAGCTCGCATCTGGAACTAGATTTCCCCAGAGGGTTCTCGGCTACGACGCAGTAGCTGCCTGCATCTGCCAGAATCGGGGAATCGAGCTTGAGCGCCGAAGCGCCGTTCGGGCCAGTGCTTATGCTCAGGTTCTCTCGCGGACTCAACTCGTCCCCGTTTTTTAGCCAAATTATCGTTGGATTCGGCACCCCGGAGAACTTCACTTCGAGAAGTACCGGTTCGCCTTGCTTGACGCTCGTTCTACTTTGCAAAGGCGATTCGAGTCGGGGACGTCTCGCTGTCGATCGAATCGAAAATTATCGCAATCGCCTCCATCGTTCGCACGCGAGAAAAAAACGGATTCAAGCCGTAATTCGAATCATGTGGATATGAATTTTTAGATTCCGTCAAACGTTGAAATGAAGACACGGCACGAGTGACCTTTTTATTCGCTTACAGTCTGGAGGCAAACAGCACACGTCAGACGTACCCTTTTCCGTCAAATTCGCAGTGGCCCCCGCTTCACCTACTGAATTGGCAGCACGGATGGAGTAGGTTGCGAAGTCAAGAATCGTGACTTCTTTGACCGTCAACGAGTGCGTATCGTCCACCGACGTCAGTGAAATGTTCGGCGTTTCTTCGACGACCGAATCGTTCCGCAACCTGTGAATTCATTGCTCCGACGTACAGGTCTTTCATAGTCTCTCGATTCCGCCCATTCTCGTCATGATTCTTAGAATTCCTGTCAATAAAATCGACTGAAGCCATACCACGTCACTGACGGCGTCGGAACTCCCTTCACAACCACCGAGAACTTGATGCGTTCACCAACTGAGGATTGCTGATCCTCGAAGTACTCAATCGACGGAGCTCGGGGTACTGGAAGCGGAGATAGCTGCGTTAGCGAGGAGTAGGTCTCCGGAAACGAAATGATAATGGTAATTGAAATTAGCGCCAGGACCTGATGACATACTCTTAATTGTCAGCGAAGCACTCTCTTGTACGCTTCCGAGAGGATTCGAGGCAACGCAAGTATAAGAGGCTTCGTCATCTGCTTTGACCTTGTTCAGTACGAGACTGAAGACGTTGCCCTCATGGGTGCATTTGGTCTCTTCCACTTCGCGTACGCCGTTCTTGAGCCATTTCACTCGAGGTTGCGGATTCCCTACAATGTGAGCCTCGATGCAGACGTCTTCGCCCTCTATCGTGACGATGTCTTTGGGCTTGCGGAGAAAGGAAGGAGCTTTTTCCTCATCCTGCGCAACTGGAATGGGGAAAATATATTGTGGATGTGTCCGAGCAGAGATCGAGAAAACGGAGTTCCGATCCCGGGAGGGATCGTTAGGGAGGAGGAGGTTGGCGCGAAAATTGTGCAGCACTTGGGAACCCGGGAGAAATCCATCCTGCCAGGCATAAAGTGCTCGACAGTGTTCGGAATTCCATGACCGGAACATGTAGACAGAGACATGGACCGGCTAAGTTGATTCCGGGGGTCTGTCTAGGAAGTTACGAGCTCGGAGCCAATAGTATATGCGACGTGAGCGATTGGGGACGCTTACGGGTTATTGTGAGCTCGGCAGATTCGGAAACCTCGCCGACCTCGTTCTTCGCAACGCATGTGTACTCTGCCGCATCGTCATCTCCACAGTCTTCGATGATGAGACTATGCAAGTCGTTCTCTGATTTGATGACGATGTTTCGTCCGGGCTGCAGCGCGACGCCATCCTTTAGCCTGGAATGGCCGAAAGCAATTGTTACCTCAGAACGAGCCGTATGCCCCGACTCGAGTCGGATCTCTTTGCGGCTACCAAGGCCTCCGTGAGCCAAGAGAACGATCGGCGAAGATGTGTATGTTAGTGAGTTTCCCGCACATTTGACGTTATTCGTCAGTGCAGAGCTGTGACACAAATACTCGCAACGCGCCAAAGAATCTCGCTCATGGAGGAAACGTCGGATCCGCTCACCTATCGAAGTCCTATCTAGACGGGAAACTCACCATGTTACGTCGGGGTCTGGATCACCTGAGAGCTTGGCGCGGAAAATTGCGTGTTCTCTGCGCTTGATGATGACACTCTGGGGTTTTTGAATGAAACGCGGTTTGGCTGCGGCAGAAAAAGAGAGCTCAACCTGAGTGGCTGGTCATTCAAAACATGATTGATAAAAACAGAAATCATTCAGATCACAGAAATTATCTTACTCTTGAGAGTGAGCTCGGCGTCGCTCGAGACTCTGCCGTACGGATTCTCGGCAATGCACTCATAATGACCCTGATGATCTCGCGAAGCGCCATCTATTATCAGGACTTTCACTTCACCATTGCTCCGGCCTTGTATGACCGAATCTATCCTGACCGTCTCACTGTCGCGCTTCCTGCAAAAGAGGCAGCCGCGTCAAACAGCAGCGCTATAGAGAGTTGTACAGAGAGTTGTTTGAATCTCCGACAAACGATCGAGACTACGCGAAAAGCACCGCCTGAGCTGGAGTTTCAAAATTTGTACGACTCGATACACCTGATCGGAAAGGCAATCCGAGTAGGGTGAAGTAGGCCACCATTTTATGGAACCTATGCAGCAGGTCTCCAGGAAAGAGAACCTCCGTCAAAATCTCCAAACATTTCGAGTCCATTGTTTCATAAGGACGGAAAGCTCGACATCTTACCATGTGATAGTAGGCTCTGGAATCCCGCTGACGACGGCCATGAAAGACACGCTCTCTCCCTGAGTTGCCACAATGTCTTTCAGACCCTCGATGAACTCTGGTGAAGCTGGAAGCGAGCGTCGAGAGTCAGTCAGGGGACGGACCCTTACAACCAAATCCAGAGATCACTCTCTGTATTCAAGGAAGGTGAGGAGGCGGGAGGCAAGGTTCGGATCGTGAGGAGAGGCAGCGTCCCGGGAATCGATAGAACCTCGAGAGAGGTGCGGGGTCGCTTGGATCGAGTGCACGTCCGGACCGAAAATAAATCATTCCTCATCCCGACTACGAGGTAGTCTCTTCTCCAGAAGGAAATTAGCCGAGCCACTTTATCGACAAATCCAAGCCGATAGCTCATCAATTCCACTGTTTGAGATCTCTAGGGCAGCGTCACCATACATTTCGGTCTCATGACATGTGCTCTATCGGAATGGGTCGGGGCCTCTTCCTCCGCTGATTCCTCTCACCGAGGAAGACAGCTCGGTCGCTGATTCTCGCAGCGTCAACCGGACCTTCCAGGAACCGAGTCGACCCGGGACTGCTTTTGAAACGGCATCGCGTTCATTATTCATGATTCACGATAAGATAGTGGCACCGAAGGAATTCGAGACGACTCACCATAGACCGAGACGTCAGCGGATGACGTTGCACTGCCGACAGTATTCGACACTTCTAGCGTGTATTTGCCGACGTCTGATTTGCTGAATTCCTTCAGGATCAGCTTGTGAACTCCGTTCACCGATGAAATTTCATATTTGGCACTGTCAACGATCTCGACGTGGTTCAGAGTCCACCGAGGAGTCCCCTCCGGATTACTTTTCGTTTCAGCAATCAATTCCACGCGGTCGGATATCCTACAGCAAACGCTCTCTAGTTCTCGGACGAAGACCGGTGCCGTGGATGGAGATCCCGAATCTGCAAAACGGTCGGTATTACATCTGTTTGTGTTGGATTCCTGTCAGGTTAATCTCTTTGGGAATTATGAGACATAGGGGGAAGGGTACGCTCAGGAGTCTGAGCTGCGAGTTCGTACGCTCGGGACCAGGCCGGGTCTCGGAACAATCAGGATTGGAGCAACAAAAAACAGTCAGGATACGAAGGTCAGTATAAACGATGAGGAGCGTCTACATACAAGGAGCGACAAAGGATCCATTCTTCTACGACGTGCCACATTCATATAGAATGAATGATATCTTACCCGAGAAGCAATGAAGAACAGCAGAAGAAAAAAAGTTTGGGACAATGCGACGCAACCTTCTGCACAGAAGAGGTCGTTCCCACAGCTGAGCGTGTTTTAGGTTCGCAGCAGAAAGAAATCGACACAATCAAAGGAGCCCGAGTTGCAAAAGCATTTTATTCTCCTCGAAAGTACATCGAAGCCTATCTAATGCTCTAAGTAGGTACGTGTATCGAATGAGTGAGTTCGATCTTCGATCGAGAGGAGTGCGACGTTTAGCGTTAGTTAAGCGTTTCTCCACCACTTCGGAGATGCATTCGATCTGAAGGAAAGCGTCAAACCACCCATGGTACTCACTGAGGATCTTCAGCGCCGCAGACGATTCGTCCTTTCCGAACTTGTTCTCGACGACACATTTGTATCGACCTTTATCGTCTTCTTTGCACTCCTTTATCACAAGAGTGAACTGAGCCTCGGCCTCCGATACCCGATAGTGTTTCCCATCAACTTGGATCTCGGCGTCGTCCTTCAGCCACTTCGCGTCCGGCTTAGGACTTCCGGCGTATTTGACGGTGAACGTCGCATCGGTGCCGGTAACCACCGACTGATCCTTGAGTCCTTCGGTGATTTTCGGTTTGGCTGAAGATCGAGAGACATGCTCAACAACGCCGATCCGAACGAGAACGATGATCCTACCGTCGATGGTCATGCCCCGAGACTGTAATCGCTTACGTACCATTTACCGTGACTTTCGCTTCGGTTTCAGCCTTCCCGTGTTTGTTTTCCGCCTTGCATTGGATTTTGCCGCCTGCCTCTGCCACGGCCTCTTTGATGATCAGGGTATACTCCCCTTTATCGGTGACTTCTTTCGTGGCATAGAGCTTCGTGTCTTTTATTTGAACGCCATCGTGGAACCAGCTGACATTCGGTTCTGGTTTGCCCTCGACAACGACATTGAGTTGGATGTCGACTTCGCCTTCAATGAGTTCTTTGTCCTCTAAGCCTTTGGCGAATTTAGGCTTGACTGCAAAAACGCAGAACGTCAGCGAGGAGCGCGCTCTCCGTCAAGAGCTCGACGGCTCAACAACGCTCGCCGGGCGAAAATTTGAGGTGGACTCACTCTTGATAGTCAACTCGGCGCTGTCCTCTGCCTTTCCGAATTCATTTTTGACGACCACGGTGTATGCTCCGACGTCGTCAGGCCCACAGCAGTCGACCTTCATCGGAGGAGGAGGGATGAATGACTAAGGAGTCGGAATCCGGAACCGGATATAGTTTCTCACGTACGGGGACTGGACTCACCGTTAGACTGAACATGGTTGCTTCCTCTTCCGCGGCGATATACTTCTTACCGTCGATGACCACTGTCTTGCCGTCCTTGAGCCATTCTACCGTCGGTTTCGGCGTGCCCGAGACCTTAGTGGTGAAAGTGACGGTCTCCGTCAAAGTGGCTTCGTAGGACTCTAATTTCTTGATGATCTTCGGAGCAGCTATAGGAGATGAAAATGAAGTAAATCATTCAAAGGAGAATAGGCGCATCGTCCGAAGTCACGCTCCGTTCTCCCGCTCGAGCGTCGCTTGGGGCTTCTTCGCTAAAATGAGTCACTCAGCAAAATGAGCTACTCACAGTTGACAGTCACAGCCGCGTGACCGCTTTGACTTCCGAGATTGTTGGATATAACGCAAGTGTAACTTCCAGCATCTTCGGTTTTCGCCTTGTCAACCAGCAGAGCATAGCAGGCGGAATCCACTTCGTGCACTAGACGAACGCGTTCAGTGCTCGTAACCTGTTGACCGTCCTTGTACCACTTGACGTCGGGCTCGGGAACACCCTCGACCTCGACGTCGAGTTTCAGAGGAGTCTCGGTCATGACGGCGGCATCCTTGAGCTCCTTCTTGAACTTCGGGGGACCTGAATTTGACTCGATTAAAGACTGTTCTGAACGGAAATTCACGTCGAGGTAGATATACTGTGGAGAGAGACCGTCTATTCCCAATCGGATGAAGACACATGTCGAGGGTGGTAGCATACGATAACTTTCGGGAAAAATTAGAATTTTTCCCGGCGAATGAGTCGGAGCAATCCTCTCGACTGACTCGTTTCGAAAAACTTCGTATGAATGACGATCTTTGGCAATAGCGTGGGTGCCTGTGTACGCGGTGTATCTGAAGTGCAGTGTGGTGTTCGAAGCGCAAGGTGCAAAAACATATACGCATGGAAGTGGCAGAAATAAAGCGAAGCTTCTACCCCTACTCGATTGTACGTTCCGAGTCGAACATACTTTTCACATGGAGATTGCAATGCGTCTTTGCTGAACCGAGCTCGTTCTCTGCCACCACGTCGTATCTCCCTCCGTCTTCTTTGGTGACGCTCCGGATGACCAGCGTCATGCTTTCGTCATCCTCAAAAAGGAATTTGTATTTCCCTCCGTGACCGCTCTCAATTAGTTTCTCGCCTTTCGTCCTGCGCAGGAGAGAGCGATACGTCCTGTGATTGGGTCGGGACCGAACAGAGATCCGAGCGGACAGAGATCGTCATAGCCGCGGAGCGATCCCTCCTCCCGATGCGAATTATTATGATGAGCCGCTTACCAAACGATTCTTGGTTTCGGCCAACCAGTTATCTTGAGTTCCAGCATGGCAGATGCACCTTCGTTGACCTCCACATCTTCCATGTTAGCCTCGATTGTTGGGGCTGCGGGCTCGCGGTAGTTCACCGTACCTGCAACGAAGACCATTTTCAAACTTTCGCGAGTCCAGCGTCGCGGACCCACTCGAAAAATCGATACAAGCGCTCCTAGCAAAAATGGCGGCTCTGCCAAGATGCGGGCTCTGCCAAAGAGGGTCGCGACATCTTAAGCTGGAAGGACGACACGAACAAAAACATAGACAAGAACTTTGTGCGGGAAACGTAGGACGCGCGGAGTGCTCTCCGGAAGAGAGTCGGAGACGGTCTCCCAATGAAGCCGTTTCTGCTATTTCGAGTCGTGAGCGTTGTTTGATGAGGTTGAAGAGTAGGTATTCCGTCTCAAATGCATGCGTCTGTTCCGCGGGCGAATTTTCCGATGCCTTATTTCGATCTACGTATCTTCATTGCATACATCAATTGTTGTGTGACACTCTATACCGCTGAGATGCCAGAACGCTCATTGTCAACGAGCAGTCATTGGACTCTCATCGGTGCACACCATGCCGTCAGTGAAGGAAGCTCTCCGTGCACGCTCGGTGATAGGCTGTGCGTGTATTCGATCACGGGCCGAGTGCCGTCTGAGCTTGATATCGGCAGAACAAGGTCCAACCGACCTTGTACGGTGAGTTCCGCCGAACAGGAGATTTTCCCGCTGAAGGTGGAGGCAACGCAGGTGTAGATACCCGCGTCCTCGGGCTTCACATGCTGGAAGACAAGCGCCAGCGTGTCTTCGTCATCATTGAACGCCACCTGGAATCTCTCCGACGCTTCGAATTCTCTTCCGTCTCTGAACCTGCAACGAGGATGGAACCGTGAGGAAGATTCCAGGAGTTGCGTCCGACCACCGATGATGTACATATGATCAATACGAAGCGTTCCGATCGTCTCACCATGTAAACGCTGGAGAGGCCGTCGGTTGGGGTGTCGTAGACTTATCTCCAGCGTTCCCGTCCTCAGTGAGGCCTTGGAACAACACCTTGTTCTCTGTTCGTTTTCAGAGCAGGCGGGCATCGGTCGGATGCATTGACAATCGGGGTATAGTTGAGAGTTTCGGAGTGGAGCAGAAGACGAGGAGCAGAAGAAGTTAGTTCGCATCTCTGGTTAGTAGCCAAACACTGATCAATGAGCCATTTTCTCCGATGGCCGCTATACTAGTGGCGCGGTTAGCGTCTCCGATTTGGCATGGGCAAAACCTTCGTTTGCAACTTTTGGAGTTGCAACCGCTCGGCTGGATGCCGTACCGTGCTAGCAAAGCGTCCTAAGCCATCTGCGGGCGATGGGTTTTAAGTGTATTGACGAACAACGAGAACCATTGCTCGAATTTCGCTCATACTGCTCAACCAAGCAGAAGATCAGCGAGCTGCTCTTCTTAGGAGGTCGATGCCGTATCGTTAGTTCCTATTGTTGATGTTACCAGAACCGTTTGAAGAGCTCGACGGTCGCAGCGCATCGAGCCCCAACCTCCTGCTCGACATCCTCTTCGCCTAGGGTTGTTCGCCAAGATGAAATTTCACCAATGTGATTAGAAGCAAGGTCAACATGCACATTATTCATCTACGAATTCCACTTGTGGATAAATCATGTGCAAGCTCATTGTGCGATGCGTGATTTACTCATTTCTAAAGCCAGTGCAGTGCGTGTGTAGCGTATCCGTGTCGCTGTCCGAGTGTGCGCGGGTGAGTGTGATTGATCATCGTCGAATTAAAACCCTTCATCGCTCGTCAGATCCGCGAGAAAACGACTTGAGACGTCATCGTCCTCTCGCTCACGCCTTTGCTAGCCAGGAAACGGTCAAGAGGTCGATAAAGAGACAAAATCGAGATACTAGTTCCAGACTATTAGTCGGAAGGAGAAGGAGACTGCACCCACTTGTCACAGTGATGCAGCCGGCCGTGGAGTCACAGCCCTCTGAGTTCATGGCCACGCATGAATACACAGCGGAGTCCGCCTCGGTGACATGATCGATGATCAGCTCAAAAACCTCTTTGTTCTCGTAGTGCACCCGAATGCGCTCATCCATTTGAAGTGGTTCACCGTCTTTGTAGCTGTAAGCAGAAGTCATTCCTAGGTTCACTGAGCTCGCATGTCTTCAGCGCGAATCCGGAAATTCATCAAAAGGTACTTGACCACACTCACAAAGTGACTTCCGGATGGGGGCAACCATGCACCACGAGCTCGAATCGCACCGAAGTGCCCTCGAGCAGCTCGGTGTCCTTCAGCTTGACTTTAAAGACTGGTGCGAACGGCAGCTCGGTTCCACCAGGACTAGTCGGCCGGGAGTCGGGTCTCCCGGAAGCTTTGGATAATGGTCGTTATCAGCACGGACTTTTCATAGATCTGTCGGACCGAATGCGAGCCCTTCCCCCGTATTCCAAAGCCCCTCAACCCGAGAGGTTTGGCGGGGGAGCGCCTCTCACGACCCTTGCCAACTCACCGCTGCGGACATTGAAGGGAGCTGAGCAAGAGGTCGTTCCCGATGGATTGGACGCCACGATTGTATACATCGCGGCATCTTCGAGTTGAGCATTTGTGATGGTCAAAGAATGTCGACCTGTTTTCCCATCACTGACTTGGGTGATGCGAGGGCCTCTGCGAACGGGAACGTTGTTCTTAAGCCATTTCAGAGCCGGAGCGGGCTCCGACTCGATAACGCACTCCAACGTTGCACTCTCGTTCTCTGTGGATTCAACAAGTCGATTGTGGGAACTTTCTCTCTCGTTTCCTCGTTCTACTCTTTTCGCTTCCAATCCGAAACCCCGTATTCCGTTCATTAGGCGGAAATAACTCACGGTGAATTGACACCCCTCTGAGAGTCTGAATGAATTTTGGCTTGTCGCCCTTTACCGGACTTGTACCTCGGGGCTCGAGGTCTGACACTGCGGTAGAACAAACATTGTCAGCTTCAAGTTCGAAGTTCGACGCCACAGAGAGCAACTCCTCTGCAAGCAGAATCGCCACAGGCATTTGGTTAATAGAGAAGTGCCAGGACGAGGTCGTGAGGAGATACGAATTTAATTTCTTTCAGTACTCGGAAATGTTCGGGCGGGTGAGAACATAACGACAGAGTGGACCGTTTCTTCGGGTTCGACGGATAGAAAATCAAATTAAGAGCCTCGCAGCGAAAGCAAGATAAGGTTCTTAAAAACAACCATCGTTGTTGCATTCATTGAGAGCGGGCGGACACAAAGACCATCGGAAAGACAGATTGGTACTTATCACCGTCGACCAACGGCATCGTCATCATGTGACCCACCAAAACAAGTGAGGTGAGGTCTACAAACCGTCGACTGAGGTGATAGAACCCGAACGAAGCGACTCCGTACCTCCGGTGGTCGTTCGGTTAGCCTCGTCCTCCTGTGTCACTTCCATACGAGATGAGTCTTCTTCGTTTACTCGGAGCTCTTCTTCCGCAGACATCTTCTCCGCAACTGAAATTATATGTATATGGCAGAGCCTCTTCGTGGAACGCCTTCAGGACAGGCGAGCGGAGCAATACACAGACACCCCCCCTAATTCTCGAAAATCCTCGCCTGCGATGACTTAATGCAGGACGATCATTCGAAAGTTCATCAATTTATCTATCTATTTATCGTAGTATTACCTTCGGATTTCACGGTCGACGTTTGCAATTGTTTACTCCATTCGTCCTTGTTTTCGGTTTTCATTATGAGTTGCTCCTCAGTTTTCGATTCGAGTTTCAGACTGCCTGCCTCTTCGCTGACGTTGGTTTCGCCAGTCTGTTGGAGAATATTAATTCATGTAGGATACAACAGAAGCCGCTCGCATCGAACTCGGAACTTCAAAGATTCGATTGGGAAAAGCACCCCATCGAAGTCAGGAGGTTTAGGATCGCGAAGCAGCTCTAGAGCGATTTAATTGCGTCACTACCTTGATGATGGTCTTCATGACGTAAACCTTCTTGTTGTTGGAGCGATACTGAACTTCGGTGAGGCATAATCGCCCCCCCCGAAAAAGGAACGCATGTCTCTCCTGCATTCTGCCTTTCGAATCCGTAATCAACACTTTGCCCTGAAGCCAAGCCGGTCATGGTAAGGCTTCCCTCCGGAATACCATGAAAGCCTCTAGTCTCACTTGTTAGAGTTCTAAACAGTCACAGGGTTAGTCATGGATCTACACATAGATTCGGGACTTGGCAGGATTTTCGCATCTTTCCTTCGGAATCAAAATGGCAGACTTTTCCGGAAAAGCGATTGGTCAAAGTTCGAAAGGCAAGAGGACTGTCCGAATCGAGGAGCAAGGATAAAGCTAAAGCCTGTCGCCTGGAGGATGAGGCATCTATGATGACACCTACCTCTTTTAGAATTCGTCCGAATTTCTGGATGTTGCCCGAATACCCCTCCATTTTATTGATGAACTCCAGATCGGTCGATCTTTGGGGAATCGCTTGCATGAAATCAAGCGCCCTCTGCAAATCGGTGAAATCTTCCCCTGCTTTCGCGTTGCATTTTATCAACTCCTGTTCCGAGCAAACGAAGTCAAAGAGGTGAGATAGTCAGTGATCTGTGCTACTGTGAGATAGCTCATCTGACCCTTATGCAGAGTACCTGGGGGCTCACCTTGAGGATCAGCTGGTAATCGTTAATTCTTTGGAGGGGCAATTTCAAATGTTCCTGAATAGTTTTTTCGTCCCCGATCTTTTGCGAGAACTTGTCCAAGTGTTCTTTGAGCTCGGGTTCGTCCTTGAGCAACTGTTGTGCTTTACTTTCGTGCTCGACGTACTTAACGTGCTTGTCGAAATCTCGCTCCATTCGTAACAAGGTTGTTCCCAGTTTCGAGGGTTCCCGGGCGTTATACTTGATGCCGGTTATTAATTGCCTAAGGGAGTCTCCGCTGGTCAACAAAGGTCAGAGCACAGCAGAGGTCGCTATACAGAAGAATCCTGGATCGGCTTGAGGTGGAGGGGACTAGGAGCGTCGAAAAACTCACTCATTATGGAAGTTGCAAATCTCCTTGAAATTGTTGAACAATTGCTCCTTGAAGTCCCTGAGTCGCTTTGGCATTGAGGGATTGTCCATCTCTTTCAAATAGTTTTCAACGACGAACAGCATATCACGAGCGAAATCTTCCTCTGTGTCGACGAGCTCCTTGACCAGAGTCCTGGAGAGGAAATTATGACATAAGCGGAATCTCTTGAAGTCTGGGTTCGACACAAATTCTCTTCGGTGTTACCACGCGAAGGGAAACGCGGCTTGCATACATCCATTGACTTATTCTCTTCGAAGCAAAACGCATCCCTCGACGGTGTACCTAGCGAACGCATGAACGGACTTGAAACGAGGCATGCTCCCTCGTTTCGTGTTTTTTTTCATTCGAAGCAGATAATGCTGTGCTCTGAGTGGATTCGGATTCGACTTGTCATCGCCGAGGAGGTTCCAACGCCGCCCACTCAAACACGACATGCGGAATATCAACACGCAGAGTCCTGAGGCAGTGCTTGCAGAGGACTTAATCAGCGTGAGGGAATGGGACAGCTCATATCTCTCCCTTACGGGGCAGAGCTGTATCATCATGTAAATTCGTGCGGTCGAAGCACTCACTTCGAAAATCGATCATCGTGGAAGCCGCGGATGCCTAATAATCGTTTCCTAATCGACGTCGACTGTGTCTGGTCGTCTTCCGTGTCCGCGATCTCGGTAATCTGGATCGACCTGTGGTTTCCCGGATGATAATTCGTACATATATCCCAAAGATTAGTTCCAGCCAGACGCTGGCATGTGTGTATTCGAAGCCTCCCGCGATTCGCTCAGAGCTGCTCATTTGGGAACATGGTTCCGAGGCGAACTCTTCGCTATGCTGCGTTTCATTGGCACAAATCCAGATCTCACTGAACACAAAGTTGAGGATGAATATGAATAGGAATCATTAAATGTGATCCCTATTTTTGCCGGCGCTGCGCAGAAGCTTTTCCATCTGCTTCTTAATGAGACTGTCTCGTGGAAGCAGCTACCGAATCGTGACCTTTCGGAAGGATAACCAATGAGGTACTCCACCGAGATCGTGCGGAAATTCTCTCGAGGTAGGTGGACAAACAGACGTTTAACCACTGAGCCGGCTAGGTGGCCGTTCGCAGCGTAGCTGTCTCCTTTCAGAGCAAGATAGTCGACGGCACGAAAAAAGATCTCGCACCCGGTGTTGACAAAAACAGCAACCGCTCAAACTGATCTAATGTCAAACAGGGCGACTCCAATCTCCGTCTTCTCCCGGTACCCAAGGAGATGGGCGCTGGTTCAGAGATGACGAATGGAAATAGGCGCACGACGATACATAACCTCAATACATTGTTTGCGATGTCGCGCCCTGCTCGATGTGTGGGTCTTCGGTCGATATTTTTGTATCAAACAAAAAGAAACTTCAAAGTCCCCGAGAGCTGAGCTGATATCCGATCGACTTACTCTTTTTTCGAAAGCGGAATCTCCATCACTTTCTCGTGAGTGGGTGTCGCAGGCTCTTGAGTCGTCACGGCACCAGCAGCTTTCTCCAGACAGTAGCAACCGACCCAGCCAGATTCGCCGGAATCCAACTTGACGACTTTCCACTTCCGAGGCTTACTGGTGTCCAGCACTTTAACCTGCTCTCCTTCTTTCAATGGAAGCCCATCTTCGTCAGTACTGAGAGGCTTGTAGTCCAAAATCGCAACGAAAATTGATCCGACGGGCTGTAAAAAAGAATAAAGGTATCAGCTCCTCCAGAATCCATCGCACCCCGCCGTTGATGCTCCTCCGATCCCTCGCCCTGACACGGACACTCAAAGAACTGAAAAGAGCGTGATCGGGAGGAGGGGCGATGCTGGAGATCATTCGCACGCAGTGACTCCCCCCCTTCCCCGCCAAGGCTCGCAATGACTGATACAGAGCTCAACATGATAATGGAGAACGACCTCTAATGTTGGCCCGTTATTCGTGTTCGCGGGCTTATTATCGATATCTCTGAATGCTGTCACCTTTTCGACTCCGTCACTCAAGCTCTTCCTGAATTACGACTCATTGATTGTCTTTCGAGATCGAGAAATGCAAGAATCATCATTATCGTAGCTGGTATTCTTGTACACAATAGACTCGAATCCCGCAATGTGTTATAATATTAAAAAAATCGATACGTGTCGATACAATGGCTTCGAAGCGGGAATTGTGGATGAGGCATGTATCGGAGTATGGCAGGTGCATTCCTCGCGAGGCGTGTCAGCGACTTGCCATGTTCTTCTTCAAACTTTCATCTGGAAGGATGTATAACTAACACAGCCCTCGTGTCGCCAATCTCTGTCAGAGGGCCCCAGTGCAGCTCACTAAACCCTTCTAAAGTCAGTTCAAGGTTCTTCTCGTTGCGCCAATTGTACGCTCGCGACGAATCGGTGAGTCTGGGCACCGAATTCCGCATATACCTCTGTCTGCGAGCCACCGAAGCAAGAGCTACAGATTGTTTCTCAATGTTTTCTTCGCCTGAAACAACCTTGCGCTCGATGTGGCAACGAAGCGAGTAACGAGAGTCGACTACTTCAAGACAAATGTTTATTCGCCACAGAAAAAAATGAGACGCCCTAGAATCTCCCTTTGTGCGGCCAAGCGCGAAGCGACTCGTTCGACTGCGTTCGTTAGTACAGCCCCTTAGTTTTCTTTGCATATACATACAAGATCTTATATTACATTTCATGAATAGCTCCACAGGAGTTCGTCGAAAAACTCTGACGAGATTCCGGTATCTTCTCCTTCAGTGTTCTCATCACTCTGCTCGCTGATGATGTCGCGCCGGATCTCGTTCAGTGCGTTAGAGGGGATGGGGACTTGCTCTTGGAGCTCGGAGAAATCGGTGGAGACTCGAAGCCTAGTCCCGAATCGCAAGACGGAGCAGTCCCGTAGGATCTCTTGGACTCGAGCGCATAGGGTTCGATGTCGATCTCCGATTCGAAGCTTGTGTCGGATGGTTTTACCGAGTCGAAGCTGGTGTCGGCCGGCTTCTCGGATTCGGGAGGAATCTCTGTTTGTCCCACAGGCTCGGACGGCCTTCCAGCCCACTCCTCGGCGCCCAATTCCCTCTGTTCAACCATGAGCTGACGGTAATCAAGACCGAAATCGCTCACACGACTCTTATTGTTCACGAACTTCGCGAAGTACTGTTCATCATCGATTTTCACTTCGTACTTCTCCAGGAGACCTTCTTCCCGGAGTTTTCCCAGAATCTCGTCTGCTCCCTCCGAGAAGCCGAAGACATTCTTGAGTCGACGAACGGTGGGCACTTCCATACCGGCAATGAAATGTTCGATGACCGAGTCCGCTGAGATGTCGCCCGTGTTTGTTGGCACACAGAACTGGCTTGATGAAGCCATCGCTTCCTGTTTGCCTTGGAATTCTTTCATCTCTTTGCAGGTCACAGCCTTGTTTTTGAGCACGTAGACGAAGCCTTCGGCGTTGGCGAAAACGAAAAGATTGTCGCTCGCGTTTTTTTTATCGTCCGGATGCCTCCAGGTATCATCACTTCAACTTCGTGCGGGATAAAATACTCCAGGAGTGCCTTGTCGTCCCTCGTGATGTCGACCAACTCGGAGAGCTCGAGCAACTTCACGGCAACGTCCATGACCGGGTACACATACTTGTCTCCTAGGAGGGCTTTGTACTTCTTCTGCATCTTGACGTGGAAATCGAACTCGCTGACCATCATTTTGGTCCCGTCTTCCTTGATGAATGGATAGATGTGCTTGCAGTCCTTGAATACATCCGAAGTTCCTGCGACCCGGTCTCGGATCGCTTTGGATTCTCGAGGCGGGATGAAAGGCACGTAGCTATGCTTTCGGGCTAAGCTGTCCCGTCTCTGCAGTAATGACTTCTGGAAGTCACTAAGTTCACCAGTAGATTCGTACGAGAAGCTGTTCTGCCGACTAGCCATCTCCGATAGGTGCCGCTCGTCGCTGTGTGCCTCTGCGGTGCGGCCCTCGTGCTTATGTAACAACATTGGGGAGGAGGGTCAGCTTTGCCTCTGTTTCTGCTGCTGCCGCTGCTGCTACCAACAAGAGGTACCCTTTCTTCTTCAACAAGTAATTGATGTACCGGTCTCCGGTCACGAGTATATTCGCTAAGCAGACAAGGTTTTCTCATCTATCGATAGCAAGTGGCCTGGCAAGCATTTCCTGGTCGCCCTTGACGCCTGCTGATCATCCGGTCGGAGAGACGACGAGCATGCCGTGAGCCGTCGGTGAACCCGATGGTGTCAAGTTCGCCCTCAAAGCTCTAAAGGCTTAGAGTCAGACGGAATGCGGCAATGAGAATGAATAAATGATTCGAGCGCGGTGACAAACACTACATTGGTAGACTTGGCGCGCCACTGCGATCTGGTGGCTCATTGTAGATGCTGGGCATTTCTGAGCTATGACACACGCTGATCACGTTTCCCAGGATAGATCCGTCCGAGAGGTATACGAATTCGCGGTCATGTTAGCTAACGAGCCGATCCATGGTCGCGATAGCCCGCGGCCTTCTCCACGCTAATAGACATCTTGGTTCGGTGACTTCTCTAGCAGTCGATTCGTTCGACTATGGGCATGATGTCATATTCCCTTCCCATATAGCGACTCAAGCCTGTACACGAAAATATCCACATACAATGAGCTCGATTCTATATTGAGCAACTCAAGCTAGAGGCGGAATCTCCATTGAATCAGTCTCAGAGGTCCGTGCAATCAGATTCGAATTTCTCTGGCCAGAACGCAGAAAGTTTCGGTCGATACGGGTCATGTTCCGTCTTCCGGGAAGAATCGCCGTCGAGTACCCCGCGGAGTTCCGTAATTCACGCTCCAGCTTCTCGACGGGAGTCGCACGTGGAGGCCGGTGTCCTTGATTGAGGGATCGCGCGAATCCCCGCGCTCACTGAGAGGATCGGAGCAGCGATGGACGTCGCGGGACCGATCGCGATGCCGCGAACAAGGGAGGGAGAGCCCGCTCGGAATCCAGTGAATCGCGAGGCGCCTGTTCCGGTCCGGGATCTCTCGAGGCTGCTATCAGTGTCAGGCCGTCACGGGACCGATTGGATAAAGTATCAAACCGAAAACGAGTAGTTTATCGTCGCCAAGCGAGCCTCTACGCCTAGATCCATCTCAATCGGTCTTGACTTTGGCCCCGCATGATTCAGTGAGGTGTTAGAACACCTCGTTCAGCCAAGCAGGTACACGCACCCTCTGGTCAAGCTACGATTCTCGCCGTCGCGGCTGCTTCTCGTAATGTTCTTAGATTCGCGGTTAGAGGCAAGGATTGTACGCGTCTGAATAAATCGCAAAGGTTCCCTACTCCCGGTTGTTTTTCTCCCATCGTTGAAAGACCAAGGTCTTCCCGGAGACAGTGGCTTTGCGAAACTCGGTGTCGGAATGGCCATGAGCGAGTTCTCTCTAATTGCAGCAAATACCAAAGCTTTCTACCGAAAATTAAATCTAGACTGGCTCGCGAATCACAGACTACCAGATCACAATGACAGTAAGCGAGACAACTAGTTCCCCGAGCGAATGGGAGAGACTATGGCAAGCTTTGACCCGAGGCGGTTTCTTCTGCTGTCCGCATAGAGCTCTTTCTCTTGCTCTCACGAGAGGAAATAGTCAAATATCAGCTCAATCGCCACCATGGCTGACGGAAGATCGCGCGAATGACCGAACAAGCACCCTATTAGCACCAGGTTTGAACTCGCTTACCGAAGAGTCCTCGAGCATCTGGGTGTCACCGCCACCGAAAGAAGCGCTGTAGTGCTGCTTCGATGAGCTCTCGAAAGATTTCACCTCTCCTGAGGAATCGATGGTAGTTACTTTCGTGGATCTCATCGAATATCCAGACATCCCACCTTCGACTTCCACCTGAAATTTCAACACATTTCGGTGAGTTGGAGTACCACCGTTCATCTCCCTAGAGCCCGCGGGGATCGTCAGCTCCTTCCGATCCCTTGCTCTCTATCTGAGCCTCGAGAGTCAACTCGAACGAATTCTTAGACAGCACCGATCCTCTTGAACACATTATCCATCATCAAGAGATCTCCCGAATCCCCGCAGCGGTGGCTATTCAGATTCATCCATGACGGTTTAGAAGATTACTCGCATCAGAAAAGCCCCATCGATCCTCACCGCAAGCTTCATTGTCGAATGCAGCTATCCGGTTGATTTGATATTCCCGGCATATCGAATGTTCATGCTTCGAGCCCTCGCGGACTACCACAGGTGAGTCAGCCCTATGATTTCTCAAAATCGTCTGCATGTGTTAAGTTAACACGGCTCCAGAGAAATAAACTGGATTCGCGTAAGTGCCGGCCGAGAGAATTTGGCCTCATATTTCCGGGCTCCGCTTCGCCCACAACCGGCGGCTGAGCGGAAGTTGTCTGATTTCCAAGCGAGGGCGATGAGGAACACCCGATTACATGACCAAGGCTTATTATTCTGAGAACTCGACATTCTACTTCGTCTCAACGGGAGATCATTTGCCTCCCCGTTCAGACGAGGCTCGATATCAATGACCCTCGATGAGTTGAAATCTTTGGGCAGGTCGAGGGTCTATGGAGGGGGTCCTGAATCGTGGCCAAGTCTCGACGGGATCGGCACGGCGTATAGCGCGTACATTATCTCTCCAAGCTCTGAGCCGCATTTGGAACCATCGAGCATGAATTGGCCGTGGCGAGCAAGGTACTACCCAGCCAAGGAAGGTACTACCCAGCGCTCATCCCAATCTGATCGAGAACTAAGTAGCTGCAAGATTTGAACAAGCAGCTACCTCTTGATGGAGACACTGTCGATGCGAATAGGCATGCGATTTTGAATACAGTCCCCTCAGACCATTGAACTCTTCATTCGTCTGTGGGTTCGCTCAAGAAGTTTTGGGGAGGCATTGCCAAGAGTGCAACGACCCAGAGGATCAAAGGGAGCGCGCCCGAGCTGAGCCTCGACGCTTCAATGTCGTTCCATTGAGACTCGATGCGTGTCAGGATTCACGGGTGTCTCTTGTGTCTGTTTAGGAGTATTTGTTCCGAAGGGCTGTTAGATGCTTCGATTCAGCAGATCTTTTTTGTTTGACATGCGCACATAGAAGGATAACCTGATAACTTGTATTGCCATTCTTTTCGAGTGAACGAGACAATTCATGCCGTATCCAGCACCCAACCTGCAAATATTTCAGGTAGCTCAAATGTGTCTCGACGGCTCGGAAGTATCCAGGCTCCATCCATGGCTCCGATAGAATCCGTACTTTTGTGTTTTCTGCGAGGAGGTTGGTTGGGCCGGACGACGCTCTCGTCGCGTGGGCTCGCGCTGATTAAAGCGTTATCACCATAGCATCGCTGACCGCCTCTCATCGGCCATCTTGTGATAAGAAGGCTCGACGGTGTCGAACCCGGATGGCAAGGATACGAGCAGTGTGTCAATAGATCATTCACGGCTTGGACTTCACCCTGGGACGCTTCTGAGGCCGTGCCAGGGACCTTGGCCATGAAATATCTGGCCGGTATTCGCGGTGCGGGATCTCGTCTGGGGCGCCCGATGCGCCGGCCTGGTACAAAATGTTATGACGACCGTCGGAGGCTCCGTTGATTCCCCTTCAGCGAGCGAGGCGCGGCGTCAACACGCTATTGCGTGGACTAGCGTGGCTCCGTCGGCGCTCGCGACAGCCGTACTGTGTCTGGCAAGGGCGGCTTGGGGCACGAGATATTCACGGTAATCATGATGAGCACCCATTCTACACCACTACTCCTCCCAATCCCGCTCTCATCAAACGGAAGAACTCCCTGTCCCCTCGAACCCCACTCCGAATGGACACGGTGAGGTGTCGCATAATTTGAACTGAAGGCTGCCTATCACGGAGCAGCATCGCTATTCTTTTCGAAGCCGTCCCCACTTTTCCCGGGCAAGTCGCGTTCCGTCTTGGATCCGCATTTTCCCACACTCGTTCCGGTGAGAGCTCAGAATGGCGAATCAGAGCTCTTGCTCGGGAGACAGGAGGATCTCACGATTTCGCACGGTGCGCTCACGAGAAAATCTGTAATCCAATCTAATCCCTCACCTTGGTCCGTTTGGAGGAGAACGCGTCGTCATCTTCCAGGAGGCGACGGGAGAGCCGAGATGTCGAGTCATCATCTAGGGCCCTGTTTCGGTCAAAGATCGGTTAGCCACAGCGGAACGTATCGACGCGCTTCGGGATTTCTCGAATTCGATTGAAAAGCGCTCCGAAGAGGATTCGAACGCTCGATTGCCTCACCTCCTGGCGACTCCGAAGGCATCGTCCTCGGAAGATAGACGGGTTGAGTGCCTCGTTGTTGAAAATGCTATTTTGGAAGATTCGGTAGTTAGATTCGTATCCATCGGGGGAAACGGTTGCAGGCGCGCAGGAAAGACGCCGCGCTCGGAAATTGAGCTGTTTCGGGGTATGAGAGGGGAGTTTTGGACAACTGAATACTGCTCACTGCTAATTTCAGGTTCGTCATCGCCCATGGTCGTTCGGGTTGTTATTCGAGTGGTGCGAGAGACTGATGAAGATGAGAAGTCAGAGTCGTCCAGACCGCTACGGACTGACGTGCGTCTGGTCGCCGGGCTCGATTCATCTGTGAATCGTTTACAAGATGGATCAATCACCCTCTTTCCAAGGGACCGAGGGGAAGCGTGATGTGTCCAATGTATATGCAAATGTATTTTTGAGCTATCGAACCTTCTCCAGTGCTGCTGTATTTGTAGGATTTGGAAGAATATCGATAGTTCGACATTGTGGTTCTATTTCCCGATGTGGTTTGTCCCGACGACGGAGGCACTCCTTCCTGAAATACGGGATTTTGTTGGATGAGCTCAGACCACAGACCGTCACCAAGATCACACTTGAGCGAGAGAGACGCGTTTAGGCCAACACTGGCCATGTGGGTTATAATCTATTGAGACCGCGTCTTTGTCGTGCTTCGCCACGGCTAACCTCGCCCACAGGGCTGGAGCAGTTCATCAAATATCTACCATATCGTCGCAATCCTCTCATAAACAATTAAGTCCAGCGATCGTGGAAACCCATGATCGTCCGTCTCGGATCTTCGAAGGGAGTAAATCTCGCGCCTCGCCTCCGGGTTCCGAAGCGGTGAGGAGATTTTCAAGCAGAGCCGCACTGAGACATTCCGTGAAACTCTTCCTCTATTTTATTCTCTGTGTCAGGATGCTCTATCATGAGATTACGCTCGCTGAGCTATTCCAAATGCCGAGTCTGCCTTATTAGAGGGGCGCTGGTCGTTTTTTGGATCAGCCCGGGACGCCTCCTCGGAGAAATCGAGAGTCCGGTCTCCGGAGCCACCTGATATCGAGGTTGTCAGCGCAGCGATGAGAATTTATTCTTATAGCTCGCATCGGTTCCAGCTCCCATTCGGATGGACCTAATTATCATTTCGATAAACAACCAGAACTCGAAAATGAGCTCCGGGCGACGTGAGCATGACAGCACGGCTGTGGAAAAGAGGCGTACGCTATCTCACGACGGAGTCCGGTAACTCCTCTCCGCGTTGTCGCGGTGAGATAGATAACCCACCGAGCTCTGAAGCTCCGATCGGGAGCACTCGGCTTCGGTGTGCCCTCATTGGGACGTTTTTGCCACTAGCGCCCCATTCACGGAGTGGGTTTAGACTCCTTTGCATCACATGGAGGGTCTGGACCCTGAGCTCGGAGGCCACAAGTATCGGCACCTCAGGAGATTCGAGCCCGCAACCTCCCAATAGAGCAGCGTCATTCCTCGAAGTCAGGCTTCCAGGTGCGCTAGGACTCTCATCCTTCCCGTGGATTCGCGTCAAATTAATGAGATGAAGATCCCTGATTCCCTATCGATGCTCCCGTTTTCGATCCGGTATTCCAAACACCCGACCTCGCACCTCGTTTGCGCTCCAAACGCGACCACGATGGGAGAGTCCTCTGGGCAGCCTATTCATTTAGTTTCCTGAGGAACTTCCTTCAAGGACAATACAGCGAGCGCGAACACCGTGCCATGTCACGGGTAAGCCACTGCTGGGGTAAGAATTGTCATTCTCTCTGAGAGCCTGGGGAAAGCGCTGCGCAGAGGGCGGCGACAAGAAGATCAAGATATACCCGAGAGCGTGATGGATATCCAGGAGATCCCCGGGTACAGAAATCTGACGGGATATGCCTCTGCGCATCGATACCTTCGCTCACGGATTCAGGAAAACAGCGTTCAAACGTAAGATAGAAAGTTCCGTCGCGACCGTGAATGCCGCGATGGAAGTCTTTCCTCAAATGGGGTTTCCCCAGCCCGCAAACGACCGTCCCCAAGGCACTGAAGAACTCCATGAATACTCCTGTCGCGAAAACATTGTCTGATGCCTGTTCTACACCGGGGATGCAAGCGGGCTCGCAATCCATGTTTTGATTCGGTCAGTTCGTCAGAGAAATTGGTATTTTGTCGCTTATGATAGTATTATCCGAAGCCAAGCACACGCTGCTGGAGCGGAGATTTTGTAGACGGACCCGGGGCCGAAAAATCGTTCCCTCGCATGAAACTTTGCGGCCTGTCGAGCGTGATGGACAACGGGCAACAGCATGGGCGGAGTAATTAGCTCCTAATTACGATCACTTGCCCTCGGTGACAAATCTTCACCATGCAGATCTTTAATCTTGTCACCGAGGTAAACCGTCGCGTCGTCTGCGACGATGAGTTCTGCTAAGAGGCCACAGTCCAAATATGACAGCCGAAGGAGGTGGTAGAACTAGTTTTAGAAACCATGACGTGAACTCCCAAAAATAGAACCATTTCCCCCCGCCCTCTGGCCCCGAGAGCAGCCAGACTCTGCATCTCATCAGGGTTTCAATGTTGCTGCTCTTCACGTGTCCAAGGTTACATCGAACCTTCGCTGAATGGTTCCTCATTCGTGAGTCTGACAGAGCATTTCGCGGATGGCGTGATCGGAGATTACCACCTTCCTCACAATACCGCATCGAATCGGGAGATCATCTGAAGGAGGCAGCCTCGACAGCTACGCGAGCGCCGTCTCTCCTGACGTTTACTCGAATCGTGGCAGTCCAAAGCTAGGAACTAGAGGAAGATTGCTCGGCGAGCGAGGTTTTACTTCATTTTTCCGCATTCGGAAATTCCCGGACCGATTCTCGCGATCGGCCCTCAGCGCCTCTTCGCGACGACGACTAAGGCGATTCGGAAAACCGTATTGGGCCAGAGGCCAAGGACGGTTATGTGGCGTGCACCTAAGAGGGCTTCTCACATATGCTGCAGCGCGCGGAAACCTGAGCGACCGTCCGCGGAGCGGGAACACAATGCTTTCGTCGTTTTTCAGAGTCTCTCGAATCAGCAGATTACACGAACACATCACAAACGATGCACGCTTCTTCGATCGGGCATGTGTTCATCTCTTCGCTGTAGGCAGCCGATCGATTGGAGACTGAGAAATGTCCCAAATGTCGCGATCCAAAACTCGAATACCAATGAATGCTGTCATCATCGTTGCATGAGAAGTACCAGGAAGAAAAGAAACAGCAGCTCGAGACAGCTCGTTGACTCCAAACCGCGATTCCTTGTCTCAATCGGTTTTCAGAAACGATGGTTTCACTAGCTGGCTACAGGGCTCTAATGCCGGGAACGTGACTGGCGTAAAATTTCATCTGAGAGCGGAAATACAACGAGATCGCAAATAGGTCACGGTATATCTATAGTGAAATAGTGAAATGTTTATAAAATTGTAAAGGACACGATGATGCAAAGAGTCAGCGCTGTTCCGCATAAACATGGGCAATGGCTCCCTAGACCGAGCCAGATTTCAAGCCGCAGCTCTGCGACCTTCTCGTAAGGAAGGTGCAGGATGTTCCTGAGCGTGCGGTCGAAATTCGAGTCCCAAGAATGCGATGCTTCCCGTTCGAAGCAATAGAGTCATAATCGGGTCTGATAACTTTCAGATCCGAAGTGATTGAAAGATGAGGATCACATGGCCGCGAGCACCCAATGGTCCCCCGCGCGCGAAATTCGCGGATCATCATCCGTCATCAGTGACGATCTACCGGATCTATCCGGAACAGGGAGTCTAGAAAAGTTCCCCGAGGACCCAGAACAAGCACCGTAATCAACGTCAAATGTAGTGCCCAAACGCTCAGGATTACAACTCCTTAGGCCAGACGCTGCTCTGCGGGGCCAACAAAGATGAAGAAAAACCTGAATGAGGTTTCAGATGTAGCACGTTCCTCCTTCAGCGAGCACGTCATCCAAAGCGACGCCGAGAGCATCCCTCCTTCCGCACAGAAACACAATATCACAACCACCTGCATGGCTGACCTCCAAATATCATTTCACCACTGGGTCCTACCTCCTGTGGACACTTGGACGGTCGACGCTCAGACGTTCGTTAGAGACGCTGAGAACCAATCCACGTCCGCGCCGGCGTGTGAGCCAGGAGATCCTTCAGATCAACCGATGAATGGATGGTTGCTCGGATAGTCCTAGCTAGCTCACCGGACTAGACTTAGCTAGTTCTCGGCTCTCTGCGGGGACAAGCCTGGCCCGGATGCCGACCGAACACCAGGACTGAGCTACGACCAAAACACAGAGAGTACCGCCACCTTGCGGACCCAGAATATAGGCCAGAGCCCGTGGGTCTGCGGGCTGAAGACTTGAGCCCTGAGTGTGGTGCTGCTATGGCTGTTAGATGGTTGCCCGCAGGAAGATGGTCTCTCTATTTTCGGAGGTTCCTCTAGAGGAGAAGCCTGTCGGCAGCCGACCGGGCTGGTTGCCGTTCAAAGAGAAGGTCCGAACCGCAGGGCGACCAATGACCATGCGTAATCGTCGCTACACCTCTCGCTGGCCGGCTATATTGTTCGTTTGTTTTTTCTTGCGTCTATGAATGCACTAATGTTTCTCCATGTAAATCCCAGCATGAGGAAGAGGTTGGATAGATTTGGAGAGGATCTCTCGTTGAACCAGCACAACAAACGAGCTTGTGGTGTTCTATCGAGTGTGAAGCATTGTCAAACGCCGGCGGTTGAGTCATCTTTCTCGGTTGCTTAAACAAAAGACAAATGTGCACGCTCTATCGGCTCAATTGCTCCGTAATCGCGCACGAAAAAAGGACTGCAGTCTCTAAAGCGGAGTCACATCTCGCGGAAGCGCTCCTCTTGTGCTCAATGTGCGGGGAAGGGGTGAAGGAAATGCATCGGGGAGTTCCCTCGGGAAAACGAGGACCACGCCACATTTCAATATTCCACCTACCGCCTGATCCCGTTTCGGCCCTCAATCTTCAATGAGGCCGAAGATGGGCGTCATCCAGAAATAGAGAGTTCCAGTATCAAAACTGAACTCGTGAGCATTTCTGAGGTTTTTGTCGGTCACCTAATGTGTCGCATTTGAGGATAAACGATAGCTCAATGTCTTTCTAGGCTCAGAGTTTTCTCGGGTGAGACGCAACTCAACGGTGTGGTGACTAAGCTCAAGTGGCTCCCACGCGTCCGAATCAAGCGAACCTTAGTATAAGCCCACGGAGGGTCGCGGTCAAGCAGCTCGAATTCTCCCGTTAGGCAGGGCTGATGCAAAGGTGTGGACAGGTGGAATATTCGTTTTGTCGATTACGCTCGATGCCCAGAAGACTTGCAAATCCCTTTTCTAGATAGGACGGATCGGCATTCGGGAATCGGAGCACCCGGAATGTTGATTCATTGACAGAGGAAACGGCTTCCGTGTATCAAAGCTCTAAGATTCAATCGAATTTGGAAGCGCATCGAAACACGCGATCTTTCATGACGGCGGCCAGTTTCTGAGGATTTTTCCGTTGTGGAATCAATTCATTCCATGGGGATGGTGTGCCGCGATCACACAACCGGTCGCGTCTGCGCGACGGCGCTCCCTCCGACACTCAGTGATCGGGAGGACGATTGTCCATTCAGTCCTCCCTCAGTAGTGTAGAGGGAGCCTCTAAGTTATTTCCAGCAATCACCGACACTGACTGAACAGCTAAGCATCTCATGTATGGACTGCACTCACTTCTGTCGGAGGATCAGCTGAAATTTGAAGCGAAGCGATCGTTGAGCTGGAATGTTCTGCTGCCGGAATGTTTGGTACCACCGAGTCTTCGTCGTCCGGAATTTCTTCTGGAAAGGAATCAGTTCGAACAAACGAGTCCTCGGCAAGAGACGAGCAGCTGGCAGATGTCGATGGATTTCCCTTCCGAGCTCACCCATTGTTTCTAAAGGTCCTTGCGCTTCACGAGGGCTAGACGACAATTCTTCATTCATGAGAGTTCCCGTAGATGACTGCGCCGAAGAAATCGTAGATGTCTGTGGTCGAGACGAAGAATCTCACGGTTAGGAGTGCTCTCCGTCGGCCCTTATATTCGCAGGGCGAAAATTTCCCAGAGGGACAACGCGGATCTAGAGGAGCCAAGTGCAGTTCTCCAGACAACCCCCCCCCCTCCGAGAGCTTTTTTGGTGCCGTGCGGCAAAGGATCGCCCAGATCTCTCTTCCTCACGGGGAAAAAACTCATTTTAGCTCACGGGAATGATCTGTTCGAGAGGACCGTTCGCGGAGGGGGAACGGTAAGTCGTAGCGCGACGTCGCTTGAGGGCTAATGTTTGTGAGATCCCCCACTTCACGCGGTGAAGTCCCGCTCGCAAAGATTGGAGAGCTTCCCGTGCATGAAGTGGAGTAATGATTTTCTCTCGGAGCTTCCATTCTTGATGGAAGGCGCGAATATTCCTAGATCGTCCAGAAAGCACCGTGGTAAAGCATAGGCTTTTGCAAGCCTAAGATTCACCGTACAGTCGCAGTCACAAGTACGGTTATCCTTTTCGGTAGTCTGTGACGCCCATCGAGAGAGTTTCGCCCCTCGGGTTGAGTCAGCCCCGGCGACCCCGCGACTTTTCCATAATGGAATTTCCACATCTCTCTTGTGCCGGACCGCAGATTTTCGGGATTGGGAACGGCCCCGGTAGCTAACGGAGCGGTCCCGCCTCGAATTTAGAGCTCGCTCCATGGAACTCACAAAAGACGAATGATGTGTCCCGATCGGAGCCTCGAGGTCTGAGAACGCGTCGCAAATGTTCGGGTGTCGGGTGGAAGAGCCCTGCGAAGTTGAGCTGACTTGGGTGCAATACTGTGGTCTCGTCGGGCTGCCTCCAATCGCTAGCTCCTCGTCGAACTCTTCTTCTTCCAGCGTGAAACTATCTTCATCGTCGTCATCGCCTTTTCGGGAGATCTCGTCGAGGAAGCCCTGAGAGTAAGAAGATACGGAACCTGGCCGAAATGCGAAAACTTTGATTTGCGAAACGTTAATGGCGCAAGAACAAACCTGGAACTGCTCACTGGCGGTGAGCGTTCTCTTGCGGCTCCCAACAGATTCAGCTCCGTTCCCGCTCTGCTCGTCCTCATCGGAGCCGTCATCGATGAGGATGAGCAGACCAGATTCCCTACCTGTTTCGAGAAACGGAACAATGAGCGGGAGGCAGAGCGGGAGGAGCAGATACCTTCCATTCATCCACAAGCGGATATGTTCTCATCGAGTCAGGGGAGTGAAGAATCAGAATAAATACTTAATACCTCGGACATCTGCTTCTGCAGGACCGCTTCCCTCCGATTGGTCTCGGGAACCTGGGGATTGAGTCTCGCGTTAGGGTCACCCACATGGAGCTGAATCCGCTTTCCATGTATCGGGAGTCCTTGATTCGGGGTCATCGAAAGTCCTCGACTTACCGTTGTCATCCTGGACAAAGTAGACATCCGTGAAGCACGAGGCGCTTTGTCCGTCAGAAGCCTCCACCCTGCACTCGTATTCGCCCTCATCCTCTTCGCTCGCGTTGCCTATGACAAGCTCATGCCTGAAACACATGGTAGCGCTCGAATGATGTCATGACAAGCTGTGAAAACTTCGAGACACCATGAGCCAGATCGAGCTTCGATTTACCATCCGTTGGGGTGTGCCGTGACGTGCTTCCTCGCAGAGTTCAGAACAACTTCCCCGCAATGAAGCCAAGCTACTCGATGTGGCTCGCAGTCAACCTGAACCTGGAAATGAGGGTTGAGACTATAAGAATTCATTGAAGCCCGCCCAGGAGTAAATCTACTCGCCAGATCCTCACCTGGAACGTGAGGATATCACCGGGGGCGATCTCCGTGATGACCGGCAGCGAGCGAAGGAATTTCGGCGGCCCGGAAGTGGCCATGGCGACCTTCGAATCAACGTGAACTCAGCATTGCATGGCACACCTGTCAATGGAGATTCGCGGCGAGTCAGACACCCACGAGAGGCTCATCTGGAGTTTTGTCCGAGTCGTCACTCTCCCACATCGCGAAATGTCTCCACCCCGGGTATTCGAATTCATAGGAAGGGGAGTGCCAACAAACTTTCTCATTCCCTCCATTCCCGCACTCACGTGCTCTGATTGTGGAAAATAGTTAGTGAGTCGTGATTATTCACGGAACCGAAAGGCGCGAACTTGATTTTTGCTGACCGCGCACAAGTCGCCCGCTAGAACCGGGGCGCACGTGGAATGAGAATATCAGGCTCTTCAAATTCTCTGAAGAACTCAACCCGTTTGATCGAAGTTCCAAAATGACTACAGCGATGATCGCTTGGACGTCTCGAGGGATCATACGTGTGGTTTGGGAGCGAGTTCTCTGTAGAGCAATTCATTCTGAGAGATGATATAATAGGTGATACGGAGATCGCATGCTCTACCTGGACCACTCGGAAGCTCGCGTCAGCAGAGGGCTGCCACGGTCATCAGCCTCAGCGGGCTTCCGGCTGATCGCACTGAACGAACGAAACACGATGCTTCCTCACAAATCATGTCGAACTCACCGCAAGATCCCCGCAGCGTGAATTCACTCGAACTTGTGTTCACCCGACAGCAGCACGGACATTTCAGTACACTATTTACAATCAACAATGGCCAAAGGGGATACTTCGCACACTCGCTCGAATCGGAGTTCGCTAGGAACTCTGCACGGCGGGTCCGCGCGGCAGATCTGGCAAGAGGTAACGACACAGCAGCCCGCCAGTCAGCTTGCTGGCATCACCGCTAGGACCACAGTGTCTATCTGAGAAAACCTGCCCTGAGCAACAGAGGCACTCCACACCTGACCGCAACGGCATCATTATTTAATAAGAGTCAGCCTTTCGGGCTTTCGCCTCCGTCTTCTCGATTTCTGACGTCACTTCCTCGCAGGAGTACCTTCGCTCGACCTCGACGTCAGCGTTGAGGTTTGAAGACTTGCTCATTATCGCCTCTCAGAATCCGAAGGTGAGACTCGTCACAACACTGTGTGATGGCTCCGATCAGCTTTGACGGGGTGAAGAAAGAAACTCGAAGCTCTATTCATATCTGCGTATACTCCTCTAAATGCCGGGTGGGAGGTTGCGCGAGAACGTAGACCTAATCTTCGAAGTACCGCCGAATACTCAGAATTTATTCAAAGTGCGACCCTCGGTGAATCGACGGATCGTGTTCCAAGCAGGATCCGGGAGTCGACGACTGATCCTAGTCAGCTAGTCATGTCTGGGGGCGAGCGATTGGGCGAGGAACATTTCTTCAATGATTTGTCAAACTCTCCTTGACTCCCGATTGATGTTCACTCCCGCGCCGAAGCAAACGACGCTCTTTCCCGACTCAATGTGCCTAACCGACGTGATCCCCTCATTTTCGTCATTGCTCCACCTTCGTGGTCAGCCTTCCAACAACTGAATGTACGCGAGAATTTCAAGGCGAACGAATGTCCTTCTTCCACATGTCCGGACGTACCACGGCAGAGTTCCTGGGAGTTTGATGAGCGAAACGAATGGAGAAGTTGGAGGTTCACGGTCGTTCCACGGAGCGACGATCCTGAACATTCTTATCTGCAGGTCCAGGATCGAGGATATTCGGTTCGGGTCGAGAGTCCCCTTCCCGACTCAAGGTAGGTACATGAGCTCCGCGTGTGATGATGGTAGAGAAAACCTATGTTAAGGATGAGAAAAGTCACTCGATCTTTCCGATAAATCGGGGCGACGGCCGAGCTCCGAGAGGTTCTCGTCCCCTGCGGTACCTTTACTCCTCGCAGGAGCAGCTCGAGCTCTCTTGCTGGCCCCTTGGTGTCAAAATGATCAAACGGAGCAATCGGGCACTGTCGGAGTAGACGACGACAAACGAAACAGGCGGGACAGGGCGCGTGCTCTGAGCAGCATCGGGAGGCAATAATTGGACAAAGCCAAGGCTCGTAGATCAAATCGGTCTCAAGATATGTATATACATTTCAATTACAGTCGCGGGCTTCGCTCAGTCCAGCGCAATAATCGGAATCATCGATGCATGGAACACTCAAGTGACTGTGTTCAGAGAAAACGACCGCAATGAAGAGAGGATATCTTGGAACAAGCCGAGTTTCCGAGCGCGGCTCGAGGCTGGAATCCGGATTTCCTCTCATAAGAACTCCCTTAGTCGAAATAAAGGAAGTATAGTCACCACCATGGTCGCGGCCAAAGCGAGAGCTTACTATGAAATTGCATGGATCGTTTTGCTGAATCAGTCAGGCGAATAAGTTCTTTCGATTGTAATTTCGCCCTCACCTACGTCGGAGCCGCTGACACTGAGAACAAACGACGAGCAGGAGCGTCTGTGTTATGGGACGGGATCGTGTGTCGGCCGCAGCAGCGGAGCATTGTTTCTGCGATGACTCCCATTCCGAAACGTGGTTACCAGTATTTGAAGAGTGCTGTGCCAAAAACTCAGAAGAAGCTTCATCGAAATGTTCTCGTGGGTGAGTGCAGCTCCGTTGCGGATTCCTCCGCAGATATACGAGCTGTCTAATTGAAAAGAAGCAGGCAGAATATCCCAATCGCGATGTGTTTTCCTCGGAAGTGACAGCTCTGGTCGAGTGAGCTAGAGATCCCCGCGGGAAACCCCTGACCTGTCTCCTGAGATATCCGCCATCCCACCGTCTCCGAAAATTGCAGGCGCTGCTGTGTTCGTCTGCCTGTTTCTCTTCTACGTTTCGGCAGGACCTAGATTTCCGACAAGTCCGCACCGAACACTTTCTGCATACGAAGCGTTCTTCCAACCGATACCGCGCCAGTCGTACTGTGAGCCCGACTTATCCGAGTACGGAGTGGGGCAACATGATGTCAGGTGAGCTATCCATTTACTCAGAACTCCACGCACCGTGTCCTGGGGACCGTCGTCCCTCTATTTTCCCGCGCACGGAACCAGTTATTCTTGAGAAGTCGAAGTGATCCAGCGCCGAGGTACGCTCCCGACGCAGGAGCAAGTCCCACATTCCATGGCGTGGGGATTTCCTCAAGCTGTCAGCGGAGAGTTACGCCGCTTGAATTTTACTATTTGCAAGAAGTCGAATATTCGGAGTGCTCGTTCCAGGGGTTCCTACGGGAGGTTTGTGACAGGTCGCCGAGCTGAGGCTCCGAAAGCAGGTAAGCAGTCAGAATTCGTCCGCAATGAGTCTGCTGGCCAGCTTGAGGTCCTGACATGATTGTCTCTTTTCCCTAGGTCCCACGGCGGCCTTGTATTCGCGAGGTGTGCATACGACAAGAGATTTCGGGAAGTTCCTGCGAGAAGCTCTGCGAGGAAAATTCGATCCTAGTTCGACACTTGCAATGTCGCGTCGCTTCCTCCGCACCATTGAAAATATATTCTCGCAAATGATTCCAAAAGAAATCACCGATCAATCGTCAACGACGCTCGAGGGCTTGAAGAAGAAAATCTTCTCAACCATCGATAATCTCCAGGTACCCCTAGGAAAAATGGATGGATTTTGCCCACCGGGGCGATTGTCGTGGGAGAACCCGGGAGAGTGAAAACCTGCGCATTTCACAGCACCCATCAACCTGTGGGAATGTGATCAACTGTAGGGTAGCGACTCAGAGCGGCGTTTCGAGCGGACTACACGACATACTCTATTGTCTGGTTGTGGGACTCCAACGGAATAAGACAGTCGCACTCGACGTGACCAGATGGGCTAATTTCTCAAAAAATCCTTGGCGGCTTCATTTCCTCGATCTAGGGGCCTGCCCGACCGCTCCTCAAAACGAAGACATACGACTGACCGGCGAGTGTGAGCGTCTCCCGTATCGGAGGGGAAATTATGATTTTTGTATGGACGAGAAACCAACACTTCATTTCCTCAGACAGGAGAAGAATGAAATTCTTACCAACGAATCTTGCGGCACATATCATCGACAACCACGGCGATCCGTACGCTTGGTGGTACGGGGTTTTGATGTCTTACATTCTACGGCCAGGCGGCAACATGGAGTCGACCCTTGATGATTATTCAGAGAGCAAGACTGCAGGACGCCCATACGTCGCGTAGGTTTGATACCTCCCATTTCCGAAGTGCCATTCCCTCGACAGCATTATTTGAAACTCTTCTCACATATCCAGGAATCCTCCCTAAAAGCAGGATGCATATCCGTCGAACCGACAAGGCAGGCGAAGCTCTTTACCGACCGCTGGAGTCGTATGTCGCGGAAGCCGAGGAATACTTTGCTCGGATATCCCTGACTCGAGAAGTTTGTGAAAAGTTAGTCTACGTCGCAACTGACGACCCGCGTGTACTCGACGAGCTCGAGGCGAGGTGAGTCCACACAATCGCGTACCTCCATGACGGATCTTTCGGAGTCGGGATGCCATCGGAATGCAAGGAGGTATCGTAGATAACTCCAGGACACATCTCCGATTCCAGGTTCAAATCTTTCGAGTTCGTCTTCAACGAGAATACTGCCCGAACGGCTTTCAGTTACGGCGGGCGACGGACAGCAGCCGCCGTGATGGGCATCGCGAAGGATTACCATATGCTCTCCCATGCGGATCATCTGGTTTGCACATTATCATCTGGGGTATGGGGCCCCAGGCCATCGCGTTTCTTTTATCCATTAGCTTCCGTCCGGAGATTGGAGTTCTCCGCTCAATATCGGAAGTGAGCAAAAGTCCGTACCTGGGGGTTAGAATATGTCTCCGCGTCCGCGAGTAAATAGGCTTTCCCGGTTCTATTCTCAGTTTTGTCGCGTGGCCTATGAGCTCATGAATGCTGTTCGCCACGATGCTTGGGCTCGGATTAGTTCTTTAGATAACGACTTCTACTACGCTTACGTTCTCCAAGAAGAACGACAAGCGGTGGAACCCTACGAAGACGGCGTTTTCGCTGCGGAGATTCGGAAGGCGCACACGTGAGTGAAGCTCAGTGGAATCGTATAGTACGAGAATGTCATTGCTCGTTAAATGAATTTTTATCGTTTCGAGACTCGCGACTCCATCTCATTGACGTCATTATTACAGATCAGATGTGCCCGAGAGCTTCCAGCAGATGATTACGGTCACGCTCAGTAGATCGTATTCGCCTTTCGGGGCGGATGGTTTCGCATTCACCAACGATGATCGCAAAATGACGGCAAAGTTCAAAACCTCGCTCCCGTACCCCTCGATGTCCTTCGAATCGAATATATCTCGAATAATAGTCTAGCTCGATGCGATGACTTGAATTATTATCCAAAGCGCGACGACTTCTCCTTGGAGAATTCCGACTAGGAATCCGATGCTCTCTTCGATGGTGTTGGCTAAGGGGTCCATCAGAATCAAAAAACCTAGAATCCGCACCATTCGAGTCTTCGATGACGAGTGGTAGTTCTCAATTGGGTAGAAGATCTTAAGAAGCACCGACGGCGAGCCACCTTGAAGGAGGAACTCGAGACAGAGTAGCTGCAGAGCGAAGCTGCGTAACCCGATGCCACATCTAAAGGCCTATCAGTCATATCTACAATCACAATCACCCTATCGAGATTAGTCGATTCACTTGTCGCGGGCGACCTAGAGGAAAGTAAACTGCTTGAACTCCGGCAAACTGACAGCGAATGGATCTTCACGGCTCTGAGATTTCCGACGGTATACCCGCTTTCCCGTATCCCGTGTCCTGGTCGTCTTGGAGAGCGGCGAAAATCTGCAAAAGTGGCAGGCGAGCGTATCGCGCTGTTTTGTTGCCCTTGACGGTTCGTCAGCCCCGTGAGGTGTCTGGTTGCCGATAGAGCAGCGGTGTCGCCATCGTCGTCGAGCTGACGGCGTTCTCGTACATGGCTTCATGCAATTTCTTGATAGTACTCAACCTCCTCGATGACATGGACTATTCTAGTTGGGAAGTCTATTTTATCGCCCTCTCAGTCTTCTTAGAATCTCTTTTGTACTTACTGGCAGAATTCCTCCGCATCCGCATTTTTCATTCAAAGGAGTCGCCGCGGGGCAATCAGTGGATTGTTCTGGATAATAATGAATTTGAAAGGTATGAATATGGCCAGCTGAACATGGCCTTTCCGAGGCATTTGGACCGCATGAGGAGTCCGCTCCTCTAATCGAACTATTCCTTATGGATTGGAGGTCTCCCGGAGGGTACTCACAACATTGGTATAGAGTTCGAGCCGAGATTCCATCTATCAGGAACCTTGGATAATATATGCAACGACTGACCTTTGGATGGAATGTTTCAAAAGCGAAAGATCACCTTTATCCCGTCACGACACCACGATCCTGTGATATATCCTGCACTCTTCGAATTATTCTGGCTAGGCGTTGGTGATCCCGGGCTCGTCTTCTGAGTCTGCGAGAAAAATCGGATGGTGAATGAAAACGAATCTGACCGGTGACGGGTCCTGCATTTACAATTCTCGACGTTCCTGAGAGGAGGAGGGCAACGTCGGGCAGCAATTGTCGAATTTACTGCAAATCGCTCCAGATAGACTCACCAGGGGAGCAGTCCAGCACGCAGCTCGCCCAGAATCCACGGTTTCTCCAAAGTTTCCGAGAATAGCTGAAGGAATGGTGCCCCGAGACATTCCGTCAGGCATTGTAATATTGCTCGCCTTGACGTCGGACGACCGTGGCCTTGTGTTGATATTGTGATGAACTCGACAGCAGTGGCGGCTCTTGCGTCCCAAGCATCTAGCCAGACTGAAGGCTTGATTACGTAGAGCACCAAGTCTCGACGACCTATCTACGAATGTCAAAACACAGTGAAGGTTCAGCTTACGTAATGATCACGGAGACCCTAGCGTGGATCCAGATCCTCCACCTTCGAAAGTCCAGGACTGATTAGGGAAAGCGAAGAACCGGAAATCCGTTACTGAACGAAGCCGATAAACAAGGACAATCCTCACAGCTGACATATATCTTCCCATCCCTAATCGGGACTTCAGTGATCTGTTCCGATAAGCCGAGACTCCGACTGCCTGTGACCCTAGCAGAGTTGGGGGCTCGGCTGACTGGGGTCAGAAGCGGAGCTTCTCGAAAATCCTTCTGGGGGAAAAAACACGCCGCTATGCCGTGATGAGGCAACGGTGTAGAATATGACGTTTCGACGGTGCTCGTACGTACCTCGGTGCTAGATAGACTTCATATCAGCTGGAGATACGGTTAAACTGGGCAGATTTCCTCACTGAGTTCGATTTCTGCCTGGACCTTAATACCCGGGGAAGGACCAGTGCGAGATCAGCTGATTCGGTTCCTAATAAGCTTCTTGTGACATATCATGCTCATCCAGTCGAGACTAGTGACGCGATCCCCAGAGTCTTCTCCGAAGCTTGGTGAGAACGAATGTCAGTTGTTTGATCTTAGAGCGTCGCGGAAAAGTCGATTCTTTTGACAAGGAAATACCGGCCAGGAATGTCTAGCATCGGCGCCGATCAAAACCTAAAAGAACTGTCCCTAGTTTGTGGCAGCAAGGTCCAGTAGCAAGACCGCACAGAATTAGAGTCCAGATATGGATTCACTCACTGCTCACTCGGATCCCTCCTGCCACGCAACCTTCACTTATTACTGCCAATTGGATTCGCGCTAGATCAACCTAGGGCTCATTCGTGACACGGTCTCGAGACGCACTCCGTTTCGAACGTTTCCAGCGTTCCGCATCTCACACAGGAAACGTCTCGCTCCCGACTGGAAATAGCACACACAAGTGGTTATGGCTAGGTATCGCTTTCAGATAGCCGGACACAAATAGCTGTTGCTGCCGATGCAGTTCCCGACGCTCCAAAGTGGTGAGACCATGTCACGCCAGCATGTCCGGAGTACGAGCCCATTCGCCTTCCTATGAGCTGCTCTTTCTGCTTGACAGCGTATCGATCATGAAATTCAAGGTCGATGTAGAATGCCCTTCCTCCGTATCAGCTGGGAAGAATTCATGGCCGAGGGTGAATGTCGGAAGAGGGGTCAGATTTATGGGGCTAGTGAACTCTTCCGTCTAGCTTCAAGCACCACCCTGGACGATTCTCTTCTCGCATCGGACGTGAGAAGCTTCTCCCCGGGCTCTTCAGGTCCGCGTTGGACACCTACTCTGAGTCCTCGCTCGCGGCGCTCTGTTCCTCCTCAAAATTCACGAATTCCATTCGAAGTTCAGGGGACTCTGTGCAGGCAATCCATTCAGGGCTACTGATGTTGACGAGCAATACTCGGAGTACTCGGTGCGAGGATTATCGAGACGTGATCCCTTCGAACGTGCTTGACTCTTTTGGATGGGTGGATGAGGAGGGATGGAGCGGGGGCTCCGAGGGCGGATTCTCTATGGGAGGGAGTCTAGCCGTGCGGGTCCATCTCAGGGAATAATGGGATGAATTTCGGAACCGCCTCGGGATCCCAACAACATTCTCTGTCGAGTTCTGATCCATCGGAATGATGAACTCCCGCGAAACTCTCAAAAATGTGCATGAGTGAGTTTGCTTGCTATGAGCAGAAAAAATGCATCAGAGCGGGAATCCCATCGCGCGACCAGCGTTCGACAGCTGAGTGTCTGCTGGACCTCTAGGAAGGATCCCTCGCAGGACGGCCTTTCCTTCTCATTTCTCGAGGACCGCTGCATTTTTGGAGCAGCGCTTTCCCCTAGACGGAGCCACGCTCGATGAATCAGGCGACGCGCGACATCTCTCGACTATAAAAAGCTCCGGAGACGAAGAATTCTCTACGGTTGGTTGGGAGTTACGTTGACAGATCACTTCGTGAAGTCGTGAATAAGTGCAACGTAGTTCTGTGCTAAATAAGTTCAAGGTATAGAATTTGTTTTTCTTTCCAGCTGTCCCGGAAGTTCCCCTGGTTTTATATTTTTGAGAATTTCCTGACTGAGACTCCCAATGCGACGCAAGTGTTCGATAGAGTCATTTCCGACGCTATGTTCTCAAGGTTCGCGAGCTGCTCGAACAATCCAAGTCTCGCCAATCGAGAATTGTTCGCTCTCCCACGGATGATCAATCTGCTAGCTATCTTCTCAATATCCGCGCAGCTTGTTCCAAAAGAAGCTTCTCTAAATTTGTCTAACGGAGCCGTCTTGGGAGGAGCCTGATGAGCCGAATCCACAAACTAGCTCTGAATTATAGATGCCTTCGAGCGAGACTACCGTAAAAATGAACGGGATGTCGGACCGCCCAAAAATGCCCGCGTGGGATGTGAAAGACGATGTTGTGCTCAGCGGAATATCTGGATACTTCCCCCAGTCCGATGGTATCGAGGAGTTCCAAGAAAAACTGTACAAAGGCGAAGACATGGTACGTAAGACAGCATGGATCTCACGATTCCACAAATGAGGACGGCAGAACACAGAATTCGCTCAGCTAGGTGTCGATGAATGCTGATGATGATGATCGAGAATGAGTGACTTCGACTTGAACACAGGTAACCAACGATGAGATGCGATGGCCGCGCGGAATCCTCGGCTTGCCCGAACGAGCTGGGAAAATCAAAGTAAGAGACCGATAGCTCGGAGATCGAGCGGATTATCTAGCTCGTTCTTGGCCTATGGCATTTTTCCATCTGTCCTGTGTGACCCTCAATGGACTTTCGTCCCGACTCAAGGACCTTTCCCGCTTCGATGCGCAATTCTTCGGCGTCCACCCGAAACAAGCCCACTTGATGGATCCTCAACTCCGGCTCTTCCTTGAAACCGCTTACGAAGCGATCGTGGATGCTGGATACGAGCCGTCGACTCTCAGAGGGTTAATATCATGACTCTGGAAGAAGCGAGCAATTGTGGCCAGTACGCTCTGAGGATCCCGGCAGGAATGACGAAGACTAAAACTAGACCTCCCTCGACAGAAAAAAAATCGGAGTGTTCATCGGAGCCTCGGAGTCCGAATCCGATGAGGCTCTCAACGTTGACACCGATGAAATCAATGGATACTCTCTCGTCGGTTGTTGTCGTGCCATGTTCGCCAATCGAATTTCGTATTCTCTCGATTTCACGGGACCCTCTTACGCCGTGGATACCGCTTGTTCTTCCGCCATGACTGCTTTCACCCAGGTATGCTCTCTTAATTCAAACATGGGATGAGCATCCTATGCGATGATTAGATAGAATGTGCGAGAACTGACTATTCAAGCCATCCATTCAATTCCGTACTCCAATGCCAACCCGGTATAGGTGTCCGTCACCTGTCGGAGAGTTTCCGTTGGGGTGTTTCGTAGGTTTTTACAATTCATACTCGATTTCGATTTATGAGATTTCTTCATGCTTAGGCCGTCATTGCCATCCGATCGAACCAATGCGAGGCTGCTATTGTCGGCGGCTCCACCATTTGCTTGAAACCATCCACGGCACTGAACTTCCATCGGCTCTCCATGTTGAACCCAGACGGGATGTGCAGAGCCTTTGACGCCAACGGAAAGGGTTACGTCAGGTATACTTCTTCCACTCACGCTCAGAGGCGACATGGAATGCTCTGGGTTCTACATAGAGCCTCGACAGACCACTGCAGTCGCTTCAGCTAATCACACATGTCCGTCCCAAAAACGCAGATCCGAGACCGTTGGATGCGTCTTCCTGCAGAAGCGCAGCGACAGCCGACGTATTTATGCCACAGTTGTGCACGCCAAAGCCAATGCTGATGGGTTCAAGGATGAGGGTATCACATTCCCCGGAGGTCATACGCAAGAAATCCTTCTGAGAGAAGTTTACAATGAAGCGAACGTGGACCCGAGCAAGGTGCCCTATGTGGAAAGCCACGGAACAGGAACGAAGGTGAGGTTCTTTTCGATCGACGCCGGCGCTTCGATGTAATTTCGTTTCGAAGTCTACTCTTCCTCTGGGTAATGTCCCGTGATCGTCGTTGATGAAACTCTGATTTCCAGGTCGGAGATCCTCAAGAAGCTGGAGCCCTATACAACGTTTTCTGCAAGGGACGTGAAGGTCCGCTCAAGATCGGATCCGTCAAATCGAACTGTGGTCATTCAGAGGGCGCTTCCGGTATCTGTTCGCTCGCGAAAATCATCACGCTCATGGAGAGGGGTGTCATCCCCGGCAACCTCCACCACGATGTTCCGAACCCCAACATTCCGTCCCTGCTCGATGGCTCGATTCAGGTCGTCACCAAGCCCACACCTTTCGATGGGGGTATCGTTGGCCTGAACTCTTTCGGTTTCGGAGGAGCCAACGCTCACATCATCCTCAAGTCGCACGATGGAGAACATATCGGAGCCGTCGTCCGGGAGAAAGCTAACATCCCACGTCTGGTGCTGACCTGCGGAAGGAGCGAAGAGAGCCTCGGAGCTGTCCTCGAGAAGCTCTCCACCAAGAGGCTTCCCGACGCATCCTATGCCCTCCTGAACGAGGTTGGACGCGCACCCACGCAGGTGATGACTCGTCGAGGTTACGCCATCATTCCCCCGAACGGAGAGGCGATCACATTCCAAGCCCCAGCCGAAGCCCAGAAAAGACCCCTGTTCTTCGTATACGCCGGAATGGGCTCGCAGTGGAACACAATGGGTCGTCAAATGATGGAATTCGACGTGTTCGCCAAGTCCATCAGGAAATCTCACGAGCTGCTCAAGCCGTTCGACATCGATCTCCTCCAAATTCTCACCGGAGATCAAATCGAAAACCCATCGATGGTCGTTCCCTTCGTCTCGATCGCCGCCATGCAAGTCGCTCTAACGGACTGTCTGTTCGCTTGCGGAATTCGACCCGATGGAATCGTCGGTCACTCGGTAGGTTACTCCAATCGCATAAATTCGCGAGAAATGTCAATTCCAGAATTTCATTTGAACCCGAACATCTCGGTCGGCTCCAAGCTCCAACCGGTCACGCTGACTCATTCCCCAGGTCGGAGAGCTCGGATGCTCATACGCTGACGGATGTTTCACCGCGGAGCAGACGGTTCTCGCTGCCTACTGGCGTGGAAAATGCGTCGAAGTCGCCAACCTGCCAAAGGGTGCCATGGCAGCCGTGGGTCTGACGTGGGAACAGGCTAAACAGAGATGCCGAGACGGAGTCGCTCCCGCGTGCCACAACAGCGAGGACTCGGTCACGATCACCGGTCCCGCGGAAGCAGTGTCCAGCATCTGCGCCGAGCTGAAGGCTGAGAACATCTTCGCCAGAGAGGTCAACTCGCATGACGTGGCTTTCCACTCCGTCCAGATGGAACAGATCGCGCCGTCGCTTCTGGCTGCTCTGGAGAAAGTCGTATTGGTGGCCAAACCCCGATCGGCCCGCTGGATCTCGTCGTCGATCCCCGAGAGCCGCTGGGGAGAAGGCATCGCCAAGACCTGTTCTGCCAGTTATCACGTCAACAATCTCGTCTCCCCCGTTCTGTTCAAAGAAGCTCTCGAGCTGGTCCCTGAAAATGCGATCTGCGTCGAAATCGCTCCGCACGCGCTCCTGCAGGCCATTCTGAAGCGAGCGCTCAGCTCCAAGAGCGATACCATCGGTCTGATGAAGCGAAACGCGGACAACTTCGTCACTTTCCTGACAGCCCTCGGAAAACTGCACACTCTGAACGTGGACGTCGACGTTTCGGTGCTCTTCCCCAAGGTTGAGTATCCCGTTCCGAGAGGAACGCCGCATCTCTCGCGGTTCGTCGCGTGGGACCACGCGCTCGAATGGCGAGTGTGCAAATGGGACGAGTTCGAATCGTTCGGGAAATCCGTCGAAGACATCACCGATGTCGACATTTCGAACGAGGAGAGCAACGAAAAATACATCGAAGGACACAGGATCGACGGCCGAGTCTTGTATCCGGCCACCGGTTACATGATCCTGGCTTGGAAGGCGCTGGCCAAACGTCGTGGCGCGCAGTGGCTCGACATGCCGGTCGTGTTCGAGAACGTCAATTTCCACCGAGCGACGATTCTCCCGACAACCGGTAGCGTGAAATTGTGCCTGAACATGATGGGCAACAGCGGTCAGTGGGAAATCACCGAAGGGGGAACCGTGGCCGCCTCCGGTCGCGTCTACGCTCCCGAGAACCCGAACTTCTTGGACTCGAACATTCCCCAAGAGCCCGACACCATTCAATACGAACTGTCCGCCAACGATATCTACAAGGAGCTCAGTCTGCGAGGCTACGAATACCACGGAATGTTCAGAGGTGTCACGAAAGCCGACATCAAAGAACCCTTCGGGAAGCTCAAATGGGAAGGGAACTGGGTGACTTTCCTCGACACCATGCTCCAGTTCACCATCATGGGGAGCAAGTACAGAACCCTCAATCTGCCGGTCCGACTCACCCAGTGCCGCGTCGATCCTCAGCACCACGCCAAGGTCGTCCGGGGCGACATCGATGAACTGACGGTCTACTACGACAAGGATATGAACACCTGCTATTCGGGTGGAGCGGTGATCAAAGGTCTGAAGGCGAACGTCGCTCCCAGACGGAACGCGCAAGCCGCTCCGTTCCTCGAGGAATATCACTTTACGCCGAACAGCGTTGAATCAAAGGACGAAGATACCGAGGAATACGCCGCGGCTTGCAGTACGCTGATGGGTACGCTCGACAAAGCCGGACTAGACAAAACGGCGGTCATGAACGGTTTGGGCGCGGTCGCGTCGTCGATTGTCGAGAAGCACCTCGCCGAGAACGATCAAGGCTCCCTTTTGAAACTCCTGAACGACGTCCTCGGACGGGTGAAGAACGGAGAACCGGCGAAGGAATGCCTCAAGGAGACGCTGGAGGCTCGTCGCACCCAACTCGAGACGGACACTCTCAACTCTGCTCTCTGGAACGAGAAGTATCTCCGGCCCTTGTTGGACCTGGTGATCGAGAACACGAGCGGCAAGAAGCTCCGCGTGGTCGAGATCGGCTCCGACCGAAGCGTCATGGGCGGCAAGGTCGCCGAAAACATAAACCTGAGCCACATCGGGTATTCGATCGATTATACCGCCGTACACCCGAACCCCGCCGATTTCGATGAGGGTGTCCTTCCCGAGGGCGCGAAAACCGCCGCCTGGGACTTCAACTCGGACTTGACCGCGCTGCCCGTGGAGAACGACCTCCTGGTTCTCAAGAACATCGGTGTCGACAGCTCCCGTCTCTCAGGCCATCTGCAAAAAGTCAGCGGTCTTCTGAAATCTCGAGGGTTCCTGCTCGTCAACCAGCGTCTCGCGATCACACCGTCGGAGAAAGCTCTGAACGCGATTGTGGACCTCGGAATCAAAACGCTGAAAGCCGCCGACCTGAAAACCGCCATCAAGAACAGCGGTCTCGAGCTGATCGCATCCCGAGCCAGCAGCCTTTCTATAACACTCCTCGCCAGGAAAATCGAGAAATCAAGCAGCGGCAAGCATGCCGTCATCAAGGTCAAGAGCGGGGACTACAGCTGGGTCGAATCTCTCAAGAACACCCTGCAGGAGTACGAGGGCAAACCCCAAGATGACAACGTCTGGATCGTGGCCGAAGACGTCGGTGACAGTGGAATAGTCGGCCTCGTCAACTGTTTGCGGCATGAAGTCGGCGGGTCACACGTCCGAGCTGTTTTCAACGCTTCTCGAACTTCCGTCAATAAGATCCCGGAGTTCTCTTTCGACAACGCGATCTACAAGGAAATCGTCGCGAAGGACCTCGTCATGAACGTTTTCCAAGACGGAGAATGGGGAACGATGCGTCACTTCTCGTTGAGCTCTCTCGGCAAGGAACTCAACTACGTGTCGACCGAACACGCTTTCCTCAACGTCCAGACCAAAGGAGATCTCAGCTCTCTCAAGTGGTACCAATCGCCCATCAACTACAATCCCCCAACCGCGGACAGTATCCTGTGCAGCGTTTACTTCGCTCCGCTCAATTTCCGTGACATCATGTTGGCGACCGGGAAGCTTCCTCCCGACGCTCTCCCTGGAGATCTCGCCGTTTCGGATTGCGTGCTCGGCCTCGAGTTCTCGGGTCGAGACCCCAAGGGCCGACGGGTCATGGGTCAGATCCCTGCCGAGGGCTTGGCCACTTCGGTTCTCGTGGATCCCGTGTTCTTGTGGGAGGTGCCCGACGCGTGGACTCTCGAACAGGCGTCCACGGTGCCCGTAGCCTATTCGACCGCGTATTACGCTCTGGTGATCCGAGGCAGACTACGCAAGGGCGAAGCGCTCCTGATCCATTCCGGCTCGGGAGGTGTCGGTCAAGCGGCGATCAGCATAGCTCTCAGCATGGGTTGCACAGTTTACACGACTGTGGGGACTCAGGAGAAACGGGAGTTCCTCAAACGTCGTTTCCCTCAACTCAAGGACGAAAACTTCGCGAACTCGAGAGATCTCTCTTTCGAAAAACACATCATGGCTCAAACCTGTGGACGTGGAGTCGATCTCGTGCTGAACTCTCTGGCCGACGAGAAGCTCCAGGCATCGGTCCGCTGTCTGGCGAACCACGGTCGCTTCTTGGAGATCGGAAAGTTCGATCTCAGCAACAATTCCGCCCTGGGCATGGCGATCTTCTTGAAGAACATCACCTTCCACGGAATTCTCCTCGACGCGCTCTTCGGTAACGATCCCTTCGTCGCGCACGAAAAACTGGAAGTCGTCCGACTCGTTACGGAAGGAATTAAGTCCGGAGCGGTTCGACCGCTCGATGCACACGTGTTCGACAAGGACGACACCGAAGAAGCTTTCCGATTCATGGCTTCCGGAAAGCACATGGGCAAAGTCGTCGTCAAGGTGCGAGACGAGGAGAAACAGAAAGTCACCAAGCCCGTCCCGATGACCATCAAGGCGGTCACTCGCACCGGATTCTCAGACAGGAAAGTCTTCATCATCACTGGTGGATTGGGAGGTTTCGGTTTGGAGCTGGCAGACTGGCTCGTGACGCGCGGAGTGCGCTCTCTCGTCCTGACGTCGCGATCGGGTGTCCGAAACGGATATCAGAAATACGCCCTGCACAGGTGGCAGAAAGCCGGCGCCAAGGTCTGGAACCTCTCGCACGATGCTTCGACGCTCGACGGCGCGAAGAAGCTCATCGCCGAATCGATAAAACTCTCGGGTCAACCGGTCGGCGGCGTTTTCAATCTGGCCATGGTTCTCCGCGACGCTCTGATCGAAAACCAAACCACGAAGGACTACGAAGCTGTTTGCGCTCCGAAAGTTGAAGGGACCAAGAATCTCGATGCTGTCTGCCGCAAAGAATGTCCCGAACTCGACCACTTCGTCGTGTTCTCTTCGGTCTCATGCGGACGAGGAAACGCTGGACAGACGAACTACGGTTACGCCAACTCTGTCATGGAGCGCATCTGCGAACGCAGAGCCGCTGAGGGTCTTCCCGGGCTTGCCATCCAATGGGGAGCCATCGGCGATGTCGGAGTTATTCTCGAGACCATGGGCGGCAACGAAACCGTCGTCGGAGGGACCCTCCCGCAGAGGATTCAGTCTTGCTTCGCCGTCATGGACCAGTTCCTTTCTCAGAAACATCCGGTCGTGTCATCAATGGTGAAGGCAGATATCGCTAAGAAGGGTGCCGGAGGCAAATCAGCCGATCTGGTGGGCGCCGTCGCCCACGTTTTGGGTGTCAAGGACGCAACGAAACTCAACCCCAACACGACGCTTGGAGAACTCGGCATGGATTCCCTGATGGGGGTCGAAGTCAAGGTGAGTCTGGGAGAAGCCCACTCTGGATCCGTCCGGAGGATCGTCCTCGGATCTTCTGCCCCCTCCAATCCTTCCGAGGGTGTCGATTCGGCGATGTTGAAGTCATTGACCCGTTTCCTATCGTAGTCGACTGATAATTCTGTTCATTCCAGCAACTCTTGGAGCGCGAGCTCGATCTCAGCTTGTCCATGCAAGAGATTCGAAGCCTGAACATGAACAAGATACAGGAGCTCCAAGGCGGTGCTTCCGCGCCAGAAGCCGCTCCCGCTCCCAGCAAGACGGACAGCGCTCCCGCACAGCAGGAAGGAGCCACAGCTGAAGTTCCCAAGGTCCCCCTGAAGAAGCAACTCGTTGCAAGCGATAGACTCGTCAAGATGAACTCCATCAAAACGAACAGCGAACCGATTTTCATTCTGCATTCCATCGAAGGCGATGTGGACAACCTGACAGAACTGGCCGCAAAACTCAAGAGATCTGCTCTCGGCATTCAGAGAACCAGGGACGTCAAACTCGAGTCGATCGAGCACATCGCTGTTTCCTACCTGCCGGTCAGTTATCCCGCTGCCATCGGAGTCTCGAATGTCCCGTATTCTTATATTCTTTCAATATTCTAAACTCACTCGGTGGTCCATGAACTTGATTATATTTTATTCTCGCAGACGATCATCGAGCAACAGCCCAAGGGACGACCTTTCCACATACTCGGATATTCTTTCGGAGCCTCGGTCGCCTTCGAGATCGCCTGTCTGCTGCAGAAACAAGGCCACAAGGTCCAAACCCTGACCCTTCTCGATGGCGCTCCGACCTACATCGCAGTCCACACAACCATACACAAAGCCAAGTTCGACAAGAACCGAGACATCAATGAAGAGGAAGCCAGCGCTCTCTGTGCTTTCCTCATGCAGTACATGGACATCGACTTCATCAAGGTATGCATTTCGTTAAGGATGATCGGGGTCCGAAGCAGAACTTGCCGTGCCTCCTCCGGCGAGTTCCTTCGTCACGATCACGTTCTCAGGAAGGTATGCTCAAAAGAAGTATTTTTCTCTCCAGTTGAAGTCGGAGCTTGCGCAACTCTCGGGCTGGGAGCCGAGACTGGCGAAAGCCACGAACGTTCTCCTGACGTGTGAGAAATTCAACAACAAGGAAAAGCCTTCCAAGGATCAGGTCAGGATCGCTGCCAGGGCGTTCTACGACTTCCTTCTCTGTGGCAACCATTACAAGCCTAACCACAAATTCGACGGTGACGTCACGCTGGTGAAAGCCTCCAAGCTCAGGAAAATGGCTATGACTCTGCCGGAAGATTACGGTGTTGGGTCATGCATCACCGGAAAAGTGACGATGCATATCGTCGAAGGTGTTCATGAGAGCTTCATTCTCGGAAAGGGAGCCGACGCTTGCGCGAAAATTGTCAATCAAGTTATCAATTGAGTCGGCTCGCTGACTCCCGCAGTCGCTTCAAATCGTTCAGGTAGATAGGAACCCCTCGTTCAAGCCGCTCAAGAACTTCTCAAGAAGCATCCCCGGCGACCGCTCTCTGCCGGGACATCAGGGAGTGGAATTCGAGTCGTTCTCCGAACAACCGACCGACCAGCCAACCAACCAACCAACCAACCAAACAATCTCCAGTGTTCGGGGACATCGAGCTCACCCGTTGGTCTCCCGGCTAATCTCGCCGTCGTTCAGCTTCCAGTGATGCTGTTGTACATGACGGTCAAATAAAAATCTCTTATTTTCGATTATTGTTATTCCGTCGAGCTTTCACTCTCCTCTCGCTGCGTCGGCGTCGTGCGCAAACATACGAATTCCTGCGAACGAAAGTCGAGTCGGTCATTCGTCTCCTTCATGTTCTGGAATGGTGATCAATGTCCGGTGATCCTGTTTCGCCGGGAGAGATGGGTGATTCCCGCTTCCTCAATCGGGATGAGTGATTGAACCTGTTGGGGGAATTCTTCTCGAACCTGACTGAGAATTTTGAGTGTATTCTTGACGGGCAGCGGCAATATGTGGATGGGAGTAAGGACTCCCGGGAAGCCTCCGAGGAGACGAATCCGTAGGTCGATCCAAAAGTCATCACGTAGGTCAGGATTTCGCAAACGGGCTCTGTGACGCCAAGGAGGTTTCACGCAGAGAAGGGACTCTGCGTTGACTCGCGACTCGTTCAGAAAGGACTCTCGTCGCAGAACGTCACTGATCCTTCTCTCCTCCATCTGCTGCCGGTGATGGCGCGGCGTTGTCATTTCCCGTCTGGTTGACAGACGTCGTTCGCAATGAGCTCGCGAACCACTCATCACCCATCACTGGCGATTGGAACTTCAAGCACCAAAAAACAGAGAAAAATTTAGAGCAGGTTTGGCTACGAGCCAAACCGATGTTTGCGTAGAACTACGTCGATTCGTTTGAAGGTACAAAATAACTATAAGCGAACGATGGCTGAAGTTCTTTGAAGAATTTCTAGGTCGACGCGCTAGCAGAAAAAAAGGAGAATTCGGAAGTCCCGAGACCTGGGATATCCGCTTTGATTCTCTCCAGAAATCTGAGAAAGTAACTTAACCGGTTCAAACTGGTTTGTAATGCGGGTCAATTGTGTCGATTCGGAAGCTTCATTGTCCTGGAAGTTCGCTCTCCGAGGCGTTCGTCAACCGTGAGCCCACTGTAGTGGGCCGCTCCTTCCAGTTTCTCGAATGACGGAGGTACGCCGACCGCTGCTTCTGTAGAGTGGATACGTGGCCTCGTGGTCGCTAGATTCTTCCCTCCATCGTCGGTCGATCCTCGCGATGACCTTTCACGTAGAGCGTAGTCGGTGTTGGACTCGTTTTCACTTCATGACTCAGAAACCGACTCGCCACTCGGTCCTGGTCTCTCTTACATTCGCGTCGCGGCCAGTGGACGAGGGGGATCGTATGCAACCGATCCGATTGGCTATGGTGAGATGATCTGACGATGCTCGATTACCGTAAATCCCCCAATAGCAGACGCCCTCCAATGGAAATCCCTCTCTAATAAAGGCCCCCCTGCCGGACCTTTTGAGAAAATAAAAGCACCCCTCCATAAGGAGCCTCTCTTCAATAGAGGCTCCCCTCCAATAGGAGCCCCTCTCTACTAGGAGACCCCGCACTGCCGGAGTCGGCTGAGAACAAGCTGACGTGATAGAATCTGAACTGCGACGCCCAAGGATTTCCACCCAGACCGTGAACACGCTAGGAATCCATCATCAATTCCCCGGAGCAAGATTTCTCTTGGAATATCAGAAGCCCCCCTCCAATAGTAGCCCCCCTCCAATAGTAGCCCCTCTATAATAGAAGCCCCTCGCCGGAGGTATTTGAAAAAACGGGGAGGTAGTAGCGAGCGATTACCGTATGTTCGCGTGAAAACGTCTCTCGCGTATTGCTTGAAGCTGGCGGTAGGTGATCTAACTTTCTGTGTTTTTTCGACTATGAAGATGATTAGACTTATGAGCGGAAGAAATACGGATCTTGCATATAGGCGGAATATTCAATGTTTCCACACTCTGAAACAATGACCGCACAGCTTGAAAAGCGTTTATCCTCGTCCTCGAAATGGCCCCGCAGAAACACCGCCATACTAGGATTCACTGTTTTAAGATCGCGGAAAAACCAGAGGCGATTACGGACGTCGCGTTTATGCCCGAACTCGTTGTCAAGGAATATATTTTTGAATCGCTGTGTCCGCTGTTTCTATTCGTAAACCGTATCCCTCATACATTCGGCACCTCCATCGAAATTCGCAGCATCATTTCTGAGGACACTCGGCTCATTTTGACCATCGCTGTCTTGACGGATGAAATGTACCGATTTTTGCCGACTCACATTGCCATCTTCAGGTATCAAACTCAGCGCACCAAGATCTCCAGTGTTGGCCTCTAGTGACTGGGCAATTGCACAACGACGAGCACGAGTTTCTCGTGCTCTTTCCGTTGATGTTTTCGGCCGTTTCGCAACTGCTTCTGACCGCCCCATATTTTCGGCTACCCCTGCTTTCCGCTTTTCTCGCATGATCGTTCTTGTCTTCGGTCTCATGGCTAACACCAAGAAATGAACCCTTCTTCGGAGACTCAGCTGCACACTTCGTTATAATCTATCGAAGTTCGGCGAAACCACTGATTTTCTTACAATTTCGGTCGGACGAATCAAGCTCAACTCAGAACCCTGTTCGAGATCCTTCTCCGATCAGGATCCTAAATGCAGGGAACTTATTTGATACGCGGTCTGAAAGTAGATGAAGAAAACCTGCATAGCTGCAGCGGTTTTCTCCACCAGAGCAAGGGATAGGTATCCCTACGAGCTAGATTATTCCACGGACAAACAGTCTTGAGTCACTTACACTCCATGTACTCACCGATATACGTCAGAACCATACTTCCTTTCAACTGCTTGAGCCGACCATTCTAACCCCTTATTCTAGAAAACAATCATTCATAGTGCTCAAGAGAGGTTTTCGAGGGCCGACAGAAATCGTCCAATGGAACCTCCTTCTCAGTTCAGTTCCGGACGAAAATTGATCGGGACAATGTCCCGTAAAGCAATCTTTCGACCCAATCCTCGTGATAATCCGATGCCTACCAGCGGAGATTCAGCCCCGCAAAAGCGGGGTAGATTTCGCTGCATGGAGGACGAAGTTTCTTTGACCGGCTACTAGAGACATTTTAAAAACGTTTTCACGTCAAAACTAGAGGCCCGGGTCACCATTGGAGGATTCACGGTAATGTGCTTTCCCCGTGCTGTGATTCCAGTCCCACTGTCGCCACCGGCAACTTCGCGACCTAATGTTTTTTTTCGAATTTTGGCGCGTTTTGGAAGTCGAAGCCTAGGAAGAAATCGCAAGCGTTTCCAAATGGAAGAGCGTTTCTCTTGCTCCCCAATTTTTACGAGAGTGGATTGCAGTGAGGTGAGCTCAATTACGATAGTTTTCCGGGAGAGGAAATGCATTTCGACGCAACAATAGTTTTTACTCCTCTCCGTGACGCTTTTTTTCCGAACCGAGCCGTACGGCGTAGTTCTACGCCAAAATGCAGGCAGAAAGGCGCTGAAAAACTGGGAAAAAGGCAATCGAAAGGCACTGAAAATCAGGGGGAAACGGCGCTTCAAGTAGTATTATTAGGAAAGGAGGTGTTAATTGAGTAGGAAAAGAGGCAAATGAAGGCATCCGGAATGAGAAAACAAGAGGAGCGCCCTCAGTAAAGACTCTCGACTAGGACAATGAAATCGACGTCCATGGGAGTCATCAGCCCGTGAAGGTCGAACACCCCTTCCATTTCGCAGTCCGGCTCACTAAGCTTTGAACTGGGGGTCGCGACTTCTCCATTTACTGCGGAAATCCTATCTCAAAAGAACTTTCTCGACAAAAATGTCTGATAAAGCTCAGAAAAAGGCAAAAAGTTGCAGGAGTTTCGGAATAGGCATAATGCTCGAAGAACCTCGACTTCAGGCATTTTCAGGCACTCATGGCATTTTGCCTGAAGCTCCAATCTCTACTCATCACTCATCACTAAAGCTCGGAAGTTCAGGCACTCAAAAATCTCAGAAATCTCAGCGGAAAGGCACTGAGAACCCTCGAAAAAGGCACCGAAACTAGGCAAAATAGGCGTTATAGGCAGGGAAACAAACGCATCGAAGCGTCCATCAGCGTCGTATTGTGAGAATTTCATGTGTTAACAAGGATTCCCATCGGTGAGTAATCGACGCCGATCTGATACGAGCATTTTACCAGGACGAATTTTTCTCGCCCGCTCTGGCAGAGCATCGGAACTTGTCGAGAGCAAGATGTGCTCCTGGAAACTAGGTTCGCCGACCTCATCTCATCGCCGTTCTCAATAAGAAACCCTCAGTATCCCCCGAAATCCTCGGAATTCGGCTCCTCGGGAGCTCGAGAAGGCACTCTAGGCACGGAAAAATGAAACAGGCATTTTACATCAAAAAATGCAGAAAAAAGCAGATATAGGCATTTAAGGCATAATGCCTGAACCTCCGAGCTCTACACATCATCATCATGGTGTCCACTTGTTCGAGCGAGATCATGAACAACAGGGCTCTCAAGGAATCTAGCGTCTCTCGACGCGCGATTCTATTCGAAGATTGGACCAATCCATGCCTCAATGAATCCGAGAACTTCCGAAGTCATTTTTCGAAAGCTTCCTCTAAGCAGATATGGAACGGTAAGAAATCCGCTCCTAACGGATGATCCAGGATATATATCTCGTTGCATCGAGAGAAGAACCACCATAAGACGGCGACTCGACCACGTCATGGAGCCCTTTATGACTACGATAGTTTTCTCAATCGGTCGATTACTCGATTCCTCGTATACGATAGATGTACCGTCCGTTTGACGCATGCTATAATGATGAATTGTTGAAGGGCTCGCGCAGAGCCACCAGGAATCTTCTCGCCGCTGCTCCGTCGGCTCTGCCGCCTTCAGAGCCATTATGGTATCTCATCTAGAGCACGAGACCAGAGGTATCGCCACCACGAGATTCCTTCCGCTGTGTGTTCACGAAGGATCTATCTCCAACAGGTTGTGGGCCCAGGCCATACTGTAAGGAACAGTCACGACATCGAGGGTGATATGAACGAAAACCGTGCGAGTTCCTTCTCGATAGAATTGCAGCGTGCTGATTTCGACGCAAGGGGTTCCGGCAAGGAAACGTTCCTCGAGGAACGGGGAAGCTCTGCAACCACAGCGCATCTTCGCGTCGGGAATGCGGTCCATGAGAACCGCCGCGGAGCCCGAGTAACCCAAGTCGCTCTCGCTCCCGAGCTCGTCCAGGAGAGATCGCTGAGCACTGCGGTGGTCACAACATTTGTCCGGTTTGGTGCCAAGGTGCTGTCCCGGAGCAAGTCAGAGTTTGGTGCAGAAGTAAGAGTACGTTCAACCCCACGAACAGCGCCAACGAGGCGTTCTATGATGAAAATCTGAATGTTTATTGTTCACAATAGTCCCCCCTATATCCCCCCTATCCCCCTATAGAATAAAAGCGCAAGCGCTTCGCTTGTGAGCCGTTTTTCGGCTCTTTTTCCCCACCAATTTCCGTGCACATGTGCTTCGGCGGTCCTCCATAATCGCGATTTTCCAGCATGTGGTCGCAGGCTAAAGAGCACTGACCTCCTGCTGTCAGTCGCCATTTTTTTGATATATCAAGCTTTGTTCCCTGCCATATGTTCGATGAACGATTCAAGAGTTGATAGAGACAAAGACTCACTGGCGGACCTTATTTCGTTGAAATAGTGGGGTCCAGACGCTGAGGTCTCAAGGCATATTCTATTCAAATTTACAGTTGGGGAAAGGCGGTTCCTACTCAGGTGAAGAAAGCGAGTCTCTCGTTTCCCGTTGTCGTAAGGCATCGTTTCAGTCTCTTCTTGAATAGAGGGAGGGAGTCGGTCGTTCTGATGCTAGACGGTGGATTGTTCCATATTTTCGCTACTCAGTGCGTCAGGCAGTTTTGTGCGGGTCTCGGCTTCACACTCGGGAAAAACTCGGTAGAATCAAGGCGCGGAACAGGTGCGATGAGAAGACGAATCAGAATCCCCGATGACTACATGAGATTCGAATACGCAGTCTCTCATCAGTATTTGCCATTAGTGAGGGGACAGACTGCTCTATAGGTTTCTGGAGTGGTCTTGACTTAGATATAGCATTCCTCCCAGTCAATGATGTCTGACTGGCTCGGACAACTCACCTGGAACCGTAGGCAGGCGTCGAGCTCCGTCTTCTGTGCGGAGCGCGTCTCTCTTTCGGAAACCATTCTTCTGAGCGCCGGTTGAGCCAGAGGGACACGAACGTACTGCACGCGCTAAGCGCCACAATGAGCCCGAGAGCTCGTTCCGTCCTCTCGGGCGGGTGATAGGGAGACGGGCACGATACGCAGCTCCTTATTTCCTTCAAAAGTTCAATTATCTCCTGATTGCACTGAACCATTGCTTCTCTCAACCTCGGATGCACTTCACTTCTCCTTGGCTTCTCCAATCTTTCGTCTCCGCACGGGGACGCCCGTTTCCCCGCCTTCCCGTTTCCCCCTTTCCCGTTTCCCCCTTTCCCGTTGCCCCACTTTCCCGTTTCCCCACTTCGCCCGTTTCCCCCTGTTCGCCCGTTTCCCCACTTCGCCCCGTTTCCCCACTTTCCCGTTTCCCCACATTCCAGTTTCCCCACATTCCCGTTTCCCCACCTTCCCGTTTCCCCACATTCCCGTTCCCCTACTTCCCCGTTCCCCCGCTTTCCCATTTCCCCACTTTGCCGTTTCCCCACTTTGCCGTTTGCCCGCTTTCCCGTTTCTCCGCTTTCAGGCTTAATACGCGACTCCACGTGTTCTCTCTGATTCCCTCTTTCCAACACCTCTACTTCGGCGGTGCCTCACGGTTCGGCGCAAGGGGGGGGGTCGCGCAGAACCTCTGTGAATCTTCGCACCGCTTCTCGGTCGACAATAATAATAAGACGACAGCTGCTGCCGGCACGAGGTTCACTCCGATCTTCCACGTCTTTGTAGAGGGTGACTTTCGAACATTGAGCCTTCCAAAATAGTAGGGTGTCCATTTTCCCATTCAGAATCAGATCTCCCCCTCCGAAACCTCTCGTTCCTTCAGCTCTACTCGGAGCATTGGAGGAAAATTATTGTTCTCGCCGTCATAGAGCCGCATTCGTGGCTGAACAGCTTATCCCTAGCGCTGGAAGAAATGATTCATTCCTCGGGTAGCCACTCATCATCTTTATCTTGAGAATAAAAAATATTAGGTGCTTCTTGTAGCGTTTGAACAATGCGTGTTTCTTGAGACAGGGTGTGGTGGAAAACAGTGCTCACCTCAAGTCTGCGTCGAATCTGCTGGAACGCTGGGCAACTGGAGCTTTTCTCATACGCTAATGATTCTATTCGGAGACCCGTAGACATCTCGTTCGAAGATCATTTCATGACTTCCCACTCACGCGAGCTGTTTACTCTGTCACGGATAAGATACTGCTGTGTGAGATGTTATCTTCCGTCAGGAGACTGATGGAGCATGAAATAAATGATTAGCACTAGGAAGTTATCTTGACAGACCCTCCCTTGTCGGGTAGCCTCACTCCCCTCTGCAGTCCGAGGCATTATAAGGAATCGGCGCAGACGACAGCTATCGAAAGCACGTCTATTCAAACTGTCGAGGGATCGCTAACATTTGAGCTCAGAATCAACGTTTCCTGCGGCACCGAGGTTCGGAAAACTTCCAACACTCCACCCTGGGCAGTTTTTACCATTGGATGATGTCAGTTCGGAAAAGCATAGTGTTCATATCCTCAGATGCCGTTCAATGGATCGAGAGCGGCTCCGAATAGTTTTGGTGAGCGTCCGCGGATGCCCGTTTGGGATAAGACCGAAGATGTTGTCCTCACCGGCATCTCGGGGTATTTTCCGCAATGCGATAGTTTCGACGAGTTCAAAGAGAAACTCTTCCAAGGTGTGGACATGGTGAGTTCGCAGCCAATGTGGGACTGAAATATACGGAGCGGAGGAAATGGGAAAGAAGACAATAGAAGCGCGCCTCGTTAATCGACAGAGATCATTGAAGAAGCTCGATTAAGACGAGTCTCTGTTTTCAGGTTACTGATGATGAGCTCCGTTGGCCTCGAGGCTTGCTCGGTCTACCGGCGAGATCCGGGAAAATCAAGGTGAGCGAATCGAAGAGATCCGCACGGGAGTTGGAGAAGGTCCGCGATTCGTTACACGGATCCTTTCCCCCCAGGATCTTTCTCGATTCGACGCGCGGTTTTTCGGCGTGACGCCCAGGCTGGCCAACCTCATGGACCCCCAACTGAGGATGTTGTTGGAAACAACCTACGAGGCGATAGTAGACGCGGGTTACGAACCCCGCACTCTGAGAGGGTATTCCGATTACAAAAATGAGATGCTCATTCGCTCCTACCACTTCAAGCAGAAATGACGCTCGGATTCACATACTTCAGAAGGAAGATCGGAGTCTACGTCGGAGTCACATACGCGGACTCAGACGATGGCTGTATCGGGGACGTGAAGGAAATCGACGGGTACTCGCTGACTGGTTGCTGCAGAGCCATGTTTGCGAATCGCATTTCCTACTCGTTCGACTTCACCGGACCCTCCCTCGCGATTGACAGCGCTTGTTCCTCCAGCATCTCAGCTCTCACCCAGGTGAGCACGGTCCTCCGACTGCTTCGGGAACTTTTCGAATTTGGTCATCCAGAACAGATCTGGATTTTCCGGAACCACGTCAAGTACCTTGCGATTCGCACCTGAACATTGCAGCATCCGCTTCTCAGGCAATGATTGCGATTCGATCGAATCAGTGCGATGCAGCCATAGTCGGAGGGTCGCAGATAAGCCTCAAACCTCAGACAGCGCTCGGTTTCCACAAATTGTCCTTGCTCGACCCCGAAGGGAAATGTCGTGCTTTTGACAACAAGCCCGGTGGCTATGCGAGGTGTGACCATCGACCGTTGAAATATTGAAATCTTATTCTAAATACATATGTGATGAGCGATTAAGACCGCACCTCTGACGAAATCATTGCCCCAGGTCGGAAGCTGTGGGCTGCGTCTTCTTGCAACGACGTTCCGATGCGCGTCGAATTTACGCGACGGTGGTTCATGCGAAGGCAAATGTCGACGGCTTCAAGGAGCAGGGTATCCTTTGCCCGAGCGGCCGAACGCAAGAAATGCTCCTCCGTGAAATATATTCTGAAACAGAGGTCGACCCCACTGAAGTTGAGTACGTCGAGGCGCATGGCACAGGAACAAAGGTGGGCATAGATCGAAATCGGTGGATGTGATGCCTCACAGTGACTGGAGTTCTATGGAGAGTTTCGTGTTCAGGCGTCATTGACCAGAACATCTATTCTGCCGAAATGGAAAAGTCGTTCCTGTCTGCCTAAGCTCTCGAGCTCTACTTTTCCGGCACACGATGCTCTCTTAGGAAACCCCATGAATATTTCTATTCCGAAGCTCATGAGAGAGAAATTCTCCGCAGGCTGGAGACCCTCAGGAACTCTCTGCTCTCTACAACGTGCTCTGTCCGGGTCGCGATGGAGCGCTCCATATCGGGTCGGTCAAGTCGAATTGCGGTCACGCAGAGGGTGAGTAGCTGGAAACTCGCCCTAGCCCGGGGAGAAATGCTTGAATTTCGTTAATGAGCCTCCCCGAACAGCTGCATCGGGTATCTGCTCGCTCGCCAAAGCGGTAGCCCTCATGGAAACCGGCGTCATTCCGGGGAACCTCCACTTCGAGTCTCCGAACCAGAGCATCAGGGGGCTGGTCGATGGTTCGATGAAAGTCATCACGGAACCCACAGCTTTCCACGGGGGTTACGTAGCAATGAACTCTTTCGGATTCGGGGGCGCGAACGCTCACCTGCTTCTCAAGCCCCACGGGGGACGGAATGTTTCTGACTTCGATCGAGAATCGCCCGAACTACCGAGATTGGTTCTTCTATGCAGTCGGACGGAGCATGGCCTCCTCGAAGTAAGAGCTGAGCAGTAATCTACTGATTGATCTCGGAAGTCTCGTCTCCCGTGGCGAGGTTTCATTTGGTATTTTTTTTCTCGTTCCACTAGAGCATACAACGAGTGAAGACGGAAGCCCTTCCAGACCATGCTCTGAAGATGTTGAATGTGGTCGGCCGAGCTCCGACTCAATCGATGCCGAGAAGAGGTTTCGTGGTTCTGCCGACGAACGGAGAGGCCTTCGACTCGCAAACGCTCGCCGAGGAGCGCAAAAGGCCCCTATATTTCATCTATCCTGGGATGGGCTGCCAATGGCAAGCTATGGGTCGAGAGATGATGCACTTCAAGCTGTTCGCTGATTCCATACACAGATCTCACGAGATCTTGAAACCGTTGGGCATCGATCTGCTACGAATTCTCACCGGAGAAACTGTCGAAGACTCCTCACTGGTAGTTCCATTCGTTTCGATATGCGCGATGCAGATGGCTCTGACCGACTGTCTGTCAGCATGCGGCATCCACCCTGACGGAATCGTCGGACATTCGGTAAAAGTCTCAGAGAGAATGGGCGAGAGCTTCGTCTCCGGACGTCGTCTGGCTAATTTCTCCGATATAATGCCCCTGGTTGTTCTTTCCTCATCCCGGTTGTAAAACGCTCCTCCAGAAACATCGAGCTTGTCTTCATATTCCAGACAGGTGAACTCGCTTGTTCCTTCGCGGACGGATGCCTCAACCAGAAACAGACGCTCCTGGCAGCTTATTGGCGAGGAAAATGCGTCGAAATGGCAGACTTGCCCAAGGGCGCGATGGCAGCGGTGGGTCTGTCCTGGGAAGAAACTCTCAAGAGATGCAGAGACGGCGTTGCTCCAGCGTGCAATAACAGTTCCGACTCGGTCACCATAAGCGGTCCAGCAGACGCGGTATCCAGGATGTGCGCGGAACTCAGAGCTGAGAACATCTTCGCCAAAGAAGTCGACGTACAGAACGTCGCGTACCATTCGGTTCAGATGGAGAAGATAGCTCCCGCTCTCCAGGCGGCCCTGACCAATGTGATTCCAATCGCCCGGGCTCGCTCGGCGCGCTGGATTTCTTCGTCCGTGCCCCATGATCGCTGGGGAGAGCCGCTCGCCAAGTTCTGTTCGCCCGCATACTTGTCGAATAATCTAGTTTCAGCCGTCCGATTCAAAGAAGCCCTCGAGTTTGTGCCAGACGATGCGATCTGCCTCGAAATTGCCCCCCACGCTCTGCTCCAGTCGATCCTGAAGAGAGGACTCAGCCTGCATTGCGAAACGATCGGTCTGATGAAGAAAAACGCACCGAACCTCGTCACGTTCCTCTCAGCACTGGGACGATTGCACACTCTGAACGTGGACGTGGATGTTTCGGCGCTGTACCCTAAACTCGAGTATCCAGTTCCTCGAGGAACCCCCAACCTTTCGCGGTTCGTCGCGTGGGAACACGCGGAGGAGTGGCGGGTATGCAAATGGAACGAATTTGGATCGTTAGCGAACTCGGCGGAAGACGTGACTACGACAGTCGACATTTCGAATCAAGATTCCGAGTTCTTCTATCTCAGAGGTCACAGGATCGACGGCAGGATCCTCTTCCCCGCCACAGGGTACATGGTCATGGCTTGGAAAGCTTTGGCGAAAAGACTCGAGAAACAGTGGGAGAAGATGCCGATCGTGTTCGAGAATCTGAATTTCCATCGAGCCGTGATCCTCCACGAGACGGAGGGTGCGGAACTTCGCCTCGACTTGATGGGGACGAGCGGTGGATTCGAAATAAGCGAGGGAAATGCAGTCGTTGCGTCCGGTCGCGTGTACAGTCCCGAAAACGCCGAAAAAATCCTAAACTCTGCCATTCCGGCGATTACCGATGACACGGAATTCGAACTGGGCCTCGACGACATCTACAAGGAGTTCCGTTTACGTGGTTACGAATATGAGGGGAAATTCCGCGGAATCAAGCAGGCGTGTACGAACAAACCTTTTGGCAAGCTGACAGGTCAGAACGATTGGATTGCATTCTTGGACACCTTACTACAGTTCTCCCTTCTCCGCAGCAAACATAGGTCTCTTGAAGTACCGACTCGGATAAGCGAATGTCGAATCGACCCCGCTCAACACTATCTGCTGCTCGGCGAGGAGCTCAATGACCTCACGGTTTTCTTCGACAGCTCCACAAGAACCTGTTCCAGTGGAGGGGTGGTTTTCAAAGGTCTGGAAAGCTCTCCAGCGCCTCGGAGACCTGTCCAGCAGAAGACTTTGCTGGAGACCTTTGAATTTACGCCAAACGTGCTTGAGAGCACCGATGAGACACTGACCGGATACATCGAAACTTGCAGAAGTCTCTTGAAGGATATCCTCGAAGGGGATCGTCGATCACTCGCCCCTCGTCGCTCCGACGAAACTTACAAGGAGCGTCATCATGCTGAAGGTGGTTCCGATGTGATTTTGTCGATCCTCAAGGATGTCCCGGAAGAGGTCAGAGAGGGCCAACCAGTCGAGATCTGTCTCAAGAGAGCCTTCGAGGCTCGCATCGCGGACCTCGAGAGAGATCGTCTGTCCGTATCGTTGCGCGGAGAACTATGTCTGAGACCACTGGTGGATCTCGCGATTGAAAACACGCCTCGTAGACGACTCCGGATGGCGGGAATCGCTTTTACCAGGACTCCCATGGACGGGGATATCCTCGAATGCATCTCGAGGACCCAGAAGAGCTTTTCAGTAGATTATACCAGCTTCCATGCCCGGCCGGAACTCGTGGAGGGAGATTCTGTTTCGGAACTATGGGAGCCGAACGTCGACCACAGGCCTTCAGGCTACGACTTGATCGTGTCGGGGAATCTCGCTAGCGAGCTTCCGAATTTGACGACTCATCTCCAGAGAATGCGCTCTAGGCTTAAGAACGGAGGTTTTATCCTCATCGATCAACGTCATTCCATGACTACGCTGGAGAAGGATCTGAGCACTTTCGCAGATCTCCCGATGAGCTTTCTGCCGACAGAAAAGTTGGAGAAGGCTCTAATAGATGCCGGCTTCGACATCATCGCATCGCGGTCGAACGATATCGCTGTGCTCCTGCTCGCCAGGAAGCTGGAAAGGAAGAGCTGCAAGCATGCGCTTGTGAGAATCGAAAATCAAAATTACTCCTGGGTCGACACCTTGAAGAGAACATTGCACGAGTACGAGGAGCGACCCGAAGGTGAAAACATTTGGCTCGTCGCGGGAGACGTCGACGAAGGCGGAATCGTTGGCTTGGTGAACTGTCTGCGCCATGAAAGCGGAGGCTCTCGAATTAGGTCGATTTTCAATGCATCTCTTTCCTCGAAAGAAGCGCTTCCAGACTTCGTCCCGGATGATCCATTCTACCGCGAGATCGTCAAGCGTGATCTGGTGATGAACGTATTCCGCGGTGGCGAATGGGGAACGATGCGGCACTTCACGCTGGACTCACCAGGTAGTGATTTCGGCATCGTGAGAACGGAACACGCGTTTCTGAACAATCGCACGAGGGGCGACCTGAGTTCGTTAGCATGGTACCAGTCACAGATCAATTTCGATCGTCCAGCCGCTGATCGGGTGTTATGCAGTGTGTATTACGCCCCTCTCAACTTCCATGACGTCATGCTAGCGACTGGGAAGCTACCAACGGATACCATGCCCGGAGATGTAGCCCTTGCGGAGTGTGTGCTGGGAATCGAATTCTGCGGTCGTGATCCTCGGGGCCGCCGTGTCATGGGTCTGGTCCATGCTGAGGGCCTGGCGACGTCGGTGGTCGCAGATCCGGAGTTCATGTGGGAAGTTCCGCAAAAGTGGACTCTAGAGGAAGCCTCAACCGTCCCTGTCGTGTATTCTACTGCCTACTACGCTTTGATAATGAGGGGCCGGATGCGAGAGGGAGAGACGATCCTGATCCATTCCGGGTCCGGAGGCGTTGGCCAAGCGGCTATAACCATCGCTCTCAGCATGAATTGTACCGTATTCACAACAGTCGGAACTTCTGAGAAGCGACAGTTCCTCAAAGAGCGTTTCCCTTCGTTGAGAGATGAGAATATCGCCTCCTCCCGTAATACGGATTTCGAAGCACTGATTATGCAGCGGACAGAGGGACGAGGAGTGGATTTGGTACTGAATTCTCTCTCCGAAGAAAAGCTACAAGCATCTGTTCGGTGCGTAGCGTTCAACGGACGTTTCGTGGAAATCGGGAAATTCGATCTGAGCAAGAACGCGGCTCTCGGAATGGCCGTGTTCCTGAAGAATGTCTCTTTCTACGGAACCGATCTGAATGGGCTGATCGGCAACGATCCGTCGATCGTACCCGAAAAACGGGAACTTGTCGGTCTCGTGACGAGAGGAATCGAGTCCGGTGTCGTGCAGCCACTGAAGAGGCACGTTTTCAACCTCGAACAGGCGGAAGAGGCTTTTCGTCTCATGGCCGCCGGCAAGCATCTCGGTAAGGTGATCATCAAGGTCAAAGATGAAGAACCTCGGACGCAGATGACACCATCGTTGAAGACGGTTCCGGCGAGGTCACGCATCGGATTCTCCAGCCGGAAAATCTTCATCATCATCGGCGGGTTGGGTGGTTTCGGACTCGAGCTCTCCGACTGGCTAGTGAGACGTGGAGTTCGGAACCTCGTACTCACCTCTCGGTCGGGAGTTCGTGATGGATATCAGAAGCTCTGCCTGCTCCGATGGCGAACGGCCGGTGTCAGAGTCTGGATTTCAGATCGCGACGTATCGATTGCTGAACAAGCTGAGGCGCTCGTTCTCGAGGCAGAGTCCTCATCGGGTTTGCCCGTCGGCGGAATTTTCAACCTTGCCGTGGTGCTCAGAGACGCTCTCATTGAGAATCAAACACCAGAGTATTTCGAGCTCGTATGTGCTCCAAAAGTCGGGGGCACAATCAATCTGGATCGCGTGAGTCGAGAGCGCTGTCCTCAATTAGATCATTTCGTCGTTTTCTCATCTGTGGTTTCGGGACGCGGCAACGCTGGACAAACGAGCTACGCCTACGCGAATTCCGCCATGGAGCGAGTCTGCGAGAAACGAGCTCACGACGGGCTGCCCGGTGTCGCAATCCAATATGGAGTGGTTGGCGATGTGGGAATCGTTCATCGATCGTTGGGGTTGAGGGGCAACGAGCTCTCCATACCAGGAGCTCTGCCACAGACGATCACCTCTTGCCTGTCATTACTGGACCAGTTCCTATCAATGAATTATCCGGTGGTGGGTACGTGGGTGAAAGCTAATCCCATCGAAGAACGAACGAAGAGAACAGCGAGCCTTGGTGCCGCCGTCGCCCACGTATTCGGTATAGACGACATCTCCAAACTCGATATGGACGTGTCCCTCGCAGACCTCGGAATGGACTCTCTAATGAGCGTGGAAGTCAAGGTATGAACGGCGTCCCCTATTCAAAACTCGAAGTATAGTCTTCAGTGGATTTGTCTTGTCTCAATCAAAATTCTCTTCCCCTTGCTCGTGTTTTCAGCAACTCTTCGAGAGGGAGCTCGACCTCACTCTGTCCAACCGAGAGATCCGAGCTCTGACTCTGAGGAAGATCCGGCAGCTCGAATCCCAGCATGATACCGCTGCTCTCCAATCCATGACCCGTTCCTTGGGGGGTATCCCGGTAAACTCCGGTATCGTGGAGCCTGATGTTCGGAAGGCCAAATTGAAATCTGAGCTCATCCCACGACGAACTGTCATCCGGATGAACTCGCCGGCGCTCAGTGGGGATCCCATTTTCTTCGTGCACTCCATTGATGGAAGTGTGAATAGGCTTTTCGATATCGCTCGACTCATGAAACATCCAGTCTACGGCCTACAGCGGACAGCCCACTTGCCCCTGGACTCGATCGCGAAACTTGCCGAAGCTTTCATCGCCGTGAGTTTTCCGTATCATTGACGGCTGAAGATGTACAACGTTGGATATCCATGAACGGTGTTCGTTGTAAGAGAACTGCTCATTCGCGAATACGCAATTCTCCGAGAACCTGCTCTCTTCAATTCCACAGGAGATTGTGGCGGTGCAACCGAGAGGCCCCTACAATTTAGTGGGTTACTCATTCGGCGCTCTTGTGGCTTTCGAAATTGCTTGCCTTCTACAGCATCGAGGACATCTCGTAAAATCTCTGGTTCTTCTCGATGGTTCGCCATTCTACATCGCAGCTCACACTTCCACCCACAAGGCTCGCCTCGGTCGAAAGGCAAAAGGCGACGAAGAAGAAGCCCTCTGGCTCTGTTTCTTCCTCATGGAGTACATCGACACCGACTTCATCAAGGTGAGCACGTCACAAATCGGAATGAGAGTTTCCGAGTTCGAGCTTTGTTAGCCTGAATTCCGTATTCTCGGCTGAGGAAACTTCTCTCCGAATTCCAGCTAAGAACGAGCCTGCAACAGATTCCCGGTTGGGCTGCCAAAGCCAGGAGAGCCGGTGAACTCTTGATCGAGAACTCGAAGTTCCAAGGAGGACTGAAACCGACCCTGGACGAGGTAATCCGAGCGAGTAAGGCTTTCCATGAATTCATCCAGGCCGGAAGCGACTACAAACCCAGGAGGAAATTCGAAGGCGATGTTTGCCTGGTCAAGGCCTCGAAGCTTCGGGAAATGGCAATGAACCTCCCCGATGACTACCGCCTATCCGAATGCATAAACGGCAAGGTCAACATCAGTGTCGTGGAGGGAAGTCATGAGGGTTTCGTCCAAGAACGCGGGGCCGACCAGTGCGCGGAAATAATACAGTCCACGATACTATAGGACTCGCTGGACAGTGAAATCATTCAGCCAGTAAATTCGGTCCTTCCGTAATGCTTCAAGAACTGAAATTGAACGATTCTTCATTCATTGCTATTCGCTAGCGGACATCAGGCAGCTTCGCTCATTGGAACTTCACGGAGAATACCGCCTCTCCTCCCGCGTCGCAATGCCAAACTGTGGGCGCGTTTTTTCCTGTGAGGGGCGCGTAGGTGCGCGCCCGGTGAAAGCGATATCAGACGCTGCTACTATTCTCACGGAGAGAAAATTTCTCTCCATCAATCTTTCCGATTCATCCCACCTGGAGTCGATAAGTATTCATCAGATCATTGCTAGAATCATCTCCGACTCGCCTAAGGGCCAGGGGGAGTTGGAAACGGCGGGTATCTCCATTCGAGAAGCCAAGGATCCGACGGGGCATACAAGCGACGGATATTCGCCACGAGATTAGGAGTCGGGCCGTTTGACAATAGCCCAGCAACGTGACCGTCCGAAGTTTTGAAGCATATGGTATCCGAAGGAGAGGAGCTCTCATGGGGCGCTACATCCGTAGCAGGCTCTCAGATCTTCGGAGGTTTTGAGTATAGGGGCTCTGAAGAGCAGGAGGGAACTCAGTCAGCGCCGAGTGTGACCATGATTGTGAGGAGCGCCTCTCCCCTCCGGCATCGCTTTGGAAGTTCAGATGGCAGTTAGTCCCAAAAGCTATTCACAAACATCTACCAGCGCTCCAAGAGGGATTTTACGACAACGCAGGAGCTCTGAGATGACGGGTGCGAGCTGGGAACGGGAATCAGTCGACTTATGGGACTTTCTCCTCTCCGAGCTTCGAGGACTCCAAGGCCCTCGAGACGTGGGAATCAAGTTTAGACTTGGGGAAAGAGGCCTCGCTTTCAAAGTGCTCGTACGGGGATACATCCGAATCGGATCAATATTTCTGGAAACCCGATGTCTCTATCAATACTGATGGCTAGGTATGGGAACGATGAAATGCTATGTCACCTCAGGACGCGACGGGCACGGAGTCGGGCGCCAACGCAGTCACGATGAAGAATGAAGTTCACGTTCGAGATTCCATGATTTTGGTGACGATCGCAATCAGAACCATTCAGTAAGGTCAGAAACCATTAACGGAATATGCTCTCTCGTGGAAGGAACGAGGTCCGTGTGCGGGTTCCAGGGTAAGGCACGGCTTCGGAGTTAGTGTGATGAGAGCTGTGAGGGATGCTATCCTTCCACTCTAGGGACAGAACTCGAGTATCATCGCTCCTTCCTCGGCGACTCGTCATGGTCTGAATGCGAGCTCCCAGCTAGTGCTATTCGTCTCTGTTCCTGATTTTTTGATATGCTCACACACAATGCCGCTGTGATGATCACTGATCCTTTAACATTCACTGGTCGGCAACACGATCCAGACGATGCCATCGGGAAGTGGGACCTTATTCTTGGGTCATTCCGGCCGAACTGCAATAGCGATAGGTTGTAACTTTTGTCTGGATTGATCTCCGTCAGAAGGGCTGATGACTGTAGTTGAAGCGTGACCACCGTCGAGAACACCGCTTCCAACCCAGCGGGGAGGTAGGCAGGGATCATCGGAAGCATTCGCTCTCTCCGGTCAGACTGTCTGTGGACAGACAGAACATTCAGTGAATCGCGATCCCTTTGAAAGTGCCATATCTCGAAGGAGGCCTTTCCAAACTTGCCGCCGTGGAAGACAGAATCCGCATTTACCGAACCTTAGCACCGGCCGTCGTCAAGGGTTTCTTCCTGGAGGTCCTATAGAGCTCATTCCAACGATGTTAGACCGGTAGCGAATCTCGAATGAACACATGGAAGCTCTCGTAACGTCGAATGCTATCGAAAACTTCATGCAGTTCGTCGTGTACCCTTCTTCCGACCTGATAATTAGTGCTCTGGACTTCTCTATACAGTATTTTGTGCTTGGCGGAATACAGAGATCTCTCGACGACCGAGTCATCGTTTGGAACAGGGATCAAACGTATTTCGCACGGATTATGCGGACTGGTCGGACCTGTAGAAACTGCGTACACTACCGCACTTTGTGGTCAGATGAAGAATGACGCGCACACGAAGGTGGGTCTATTCGATTCCCAAGGATATTCACAGAAATTCAGTCAAGACACCAGTATGTCTTCACGAAAGGCTTTCTTAGGTCGGATGATCCTATCGCTCAGAACCTGCGGAGCCGCAGCGGAGTTCTCGATCAAAATCCAATTTAGGTACCACGGAATCATGGGACCATGATGACCACGGTTAAGCTGATTGCCTCGCTCTAATTATTGCTGACCATGATGGATTTCTTCTCTTTCAGCCCTTCCCAGCCATGCGTGGTGCGCGAGCAGATCGTGGAGCAGATGATTTTTTCTGGCGAGGAGGAAGGTGATGAACTTTCGCGGAAAGTCATCGATAGGGAAGCGCCTAACGCTCAATACAACGTCAGCAAATGTTCCCGACTCTCCTCAACCGTGCGCCCTATAAGTGCCAAGCGTTCGAAGTTTGTGTATCGTTTCCTCGGCCGCAATGTCGGCCCCGAAGCTCGTGCTGGTCTTCAGCGGCAAGCGAAAATCTGGAAAAGATCATCTCACAGATGTACTGCTCAAATTAGCCCCCGAGAGCTCTTCGGTGATCGTCAGACTCTCTGGACCGTTAAAGGAAGCTTACGCCAAAGAGCACGGACTCGACTTCTCACGGCTTCTAGATGCCTCGGAGTACAAAGAAAAGTTTCGTTCCGATATGGTCGTGTGGGGTGAGAGACAGCGGAACATGAACCCGGCATTTTTCTGTGAATTGGCCGTAAAGAAATATCAAGCTGAGAAAATCCCAATCTGGATCGTGAGCGACGCCAGACGACCGACCGACATCGAGTATTTTGTGAAAAAATTTCCTGGACGAACGGCGCTTTGTAGAATCTTCGCGGACGATTCTGTGCGGAAACACAGAGGTTGGGAATATGTTAGTGGAGTAGATGATCAGGACACTGAATGCGCTTTGGATGAGTTCAAAAGCTGGGATATAACCTTGAATAACGACGGCAAGGTGCCGCTGGAGGAGCTTCTGAAGCCCTGTCTCGATCTCATTAGGCAAGCTGTAGAGTAACCAATTGAGAGACAGATTCTTGACGACGATATCAGTCACGTCAGTCAGTGTTAGTGTTTGTATCAATGTGTTAGAGAGCGATTATTGGAAAGATTCATATACAAGTTAATTTGTACCGTACCGTGCTGCTCTAATGACCGTGCGTTCAGCGTGAGCGATTATTCCGTTTGGAAATAATCATGTGTTATCGTGATCGAGGTCCGAGGGGGCCTTGGTGGGGGTCGGCCATACCCTACTCTCAACAACGGACCGTCCGATTGGAAAAGCGAAAGGTTCCCTTTTCAGTGGTGGAAGGCTCGCCACGGGAAGAAATGAAAGTGTCTCGAAACACCCGCGGTTCCCCCTCTTAGACTTCTCCGACTGTTCTGCGCACATCGAACGAGAGAGAAGGACTCGCGGTCTACGTGCAATGGGAAGCAAAGCTGTCGCTCATCAGAAAACTTATTTCTGTTGATAGGTCAAATACAAGATTCTAAGGTAAGAAGATGATGGTAAGGTAGTGATTAGCGAAACGAGTTTTCCGTCGGTGCTTGTTTGGCAGTCATTGTTACAGGAAAGGAGACGAATAAATTGAGTACAGCGTCGCATATGCATACATGGTCGTGAATTCGGGATCTTCGAGCTTCCACCAGACGGACCATTACTCAGAGGAATCCTCTCATTGTGATCCTTCGTTCACATTTATTGACTTTGGTTGGCGGGAACTCGATCAACAGACGCAAAACAATTATCCGTAGTAGCCGAGACCGTAACCGAGGCCGTATCCTCCGAGCTTTCCGTAACCCACCCCGTGTTGAATCTTGGAACCGTACGAGAAAGCTCTTCCGACAGGGTAACCGTATCCGCCGTAGTGTCCTCCATATCCGAGACCGTAGCCTCCGTATCCGAGACCGTAGCCACCATGTCCGACTCCGTAGCCACCGTATCCGAGTCCGTAGCCTCCGTACCCTGCGAGTGCCACGGTAGCGATGGCGGCGCACACAATGAGAGCGATCTGAAATCGGCGGAGAGTTCTCAGCAAAAGTTCACTGTTCTCAATGTGTACACCAATCTTGCAGGCGACCTGGCTCAAGTTTCTTCTGTCCTCGCACTTACTGTGGATTTCATATTCCTTGCCGTTTGAAGAACACGCGGTTTCGTGGGTGGAGTCAGTCCTTTTATTAGACGCAGCCGACAAAGGGAACGGGACGCAACGAAGGACGCATTTTTTGCTTCTCCGTAAGACTCATGCGGACTCACGCCGTTAGCCCCTTTTCTGGCCAGAAAATAACAGAGTGAAAGGCGCTCGCCAGGCCGGAATTCGAAAATTGTCTTAGTAATTTCAGGAGGTAAAGCTAAGCTTTTTTTCGCTGTTTTTGCTTCTCACGGGGGCCTCACCCGTCAACGCTCGGAATCATTGTCGTTCACGTGAGACCGACAATCAATGGCTTATGGAAAACTTGTAGATGCCCCAGAAGATCTATAGCTCGGTGGACGTACATGACTCCAGTGATTTGACGCTCTCTGTGTACTCTCGAAGACCGGTGTGTATTTCGTGGGAGGCTGATCCGATTTGTGTCACCCTTGAGACCTTCGCACCATGGAGTATTTGGGGCTCATTTTCTGAGACCCTCTCTGTGGTAAGTCTCGCACCCAGTCGTCCCATCTGACGACCCACCGTACATGAAAACTACTTCGCGCGTATATCTCGTATGCTCCTCATCCTCCTGCGAGAGCGTCTTCCCGAAAATCGAAGAAACACTTGTCGGGGTTCTTCGTGGTAGCCTTCTCCGCCTCGATGATGGCTCCACATCTCTTGCGCTCTTTGCTTCTCAAATGACGGGACACTCGTAAATCCGTCTCTGATCGGAGTCTCAAGTGAAGAGGCTCCAGCTCGGGCGATAGGTGGTCGAATGTCGAATTTTGCTCTACTCGTGCGGAGTGAAGTTCAGCTCCTGTAAGATTTTGCAGGTTCCGGACCATGACCATACGGAGTTCATCCAGATCCTGGGTCTGTCCACTTAATTGGTTGGCTGATTTCTGTTCGGTTTCTTCTGTTCAGTTTCTGATGATTCTTCCCTCCGTTCCCCGCGATCAGGAATCCTAGGGATCGCCATCAGGAAATGCGGATGTCCGTCATTTCATACGTAATCGATTCATTCGAGTAGATAAAGTCGGAACTCAGGATCCTACGAAACCGTAGCTCCCGCCAGATCTCCACCGGAGGCTTCATTAACTCGCTTTCTTGCAAGAAGGTTATGCCTGGGTCCTCCGCAGGGCTTTCCATGACTCATTCGTTTCTCGCATTTATTCCGGCTTTAGCTCTTTCCGCGATAGCGGAAGAGTTTCGATAAGATTCCATATGAGAATTCTGTGAAGGCTCTAAATGCTTCTCTTAATCGTCGACTCTCAACACTTCTGTGCGGTTGAAGGATTTTCCCTGATTGTCAGACGCATATTTTTGTCGGACGCGCTGCTTTCTTCGTTTCTAGATTTCAATCTCGGAGTTCCCGGTCGCCACGAGTCACTCAATTGCATATGTATATGGTGGAATGATTGCTTATCATTTCATCAGACGAGGCTCAGAAGCGGCAAAGCCCCCCAGTTTAAACGTCCGAAAGATCCGGGATATCAGAAGATGGACACATTGCAGTCAGAAGTGAAGATTGGGAGGAAAGAACGTGAAGTTCGGAATGCCACAGGAGAGTACGTAGTTCATGGAACTTTTACTTCAAGTTTAGGCTTGGAGGTATGGGAGTTTGTCGCATCTTCCCCATTCCCAGCTGATGAAGGCTCCGCGCTTCCTTGATGATACTCTCGATTTTCCGCTCGGGTCGACATCCCCCTCAGAAATTGCGATGCTAGAAACTCCGCTCCCTAAAAAACGACGCCCCCAGTGTGAGTGGCGATCCCAGCTTTCGGAAACGGATGATGACTCCGACAATCATTCTGATACAGCGCATGTTCCGGCTCTTTGGAGGCGGACGACGGAAACTACAGGGACGTCGCTGGAGCGCTGCGTGCGTGATGTGGAAATCGAATGGATGCCAATAATTTTTCGCATTGGTTCCCGATTACGAAATCGGTCCGTCGAGAGGATACCACCAAAAGGTCTCCGAAGCCACGAGTACACCCACCCGTAAAGGTGCAGGACGAGCGGGATGGCCATCGGGCGAATCAATCATTCGAGCATCGAGATCATGCTGAAGGTGGCGGATGGGGCCGGCTAAGACGACCGGCTCACACGACCGGGTACTACGACGAAGACGGCGATTCCATGATTCCGATGTCTTCTCCGTGTGAGCGTCCGGTTCGCTCGTGAAGGTTCATGCTTCCCCGACCCTGTATCCGAAAATCTCGAAGCTAATTCGATCCCCTACTATTCTGATACCCGCAGCGATACCCGGTGACGTCAATGGGATGTCCCATCAAACGGACGCGACGAAAGGTTTTATTCTTCTGTTCATGAAGTTTTTAAATAGAACAAAAAGACAGGAAGCTGGGTGTAGCCTTGACTGTGACCAAAAACAAAGCGTTGGAATTAACTCAAACGGAGAAAATTCGTAATTCTCCTTTCTCAAAAGAGGTTCACCCAAGAGTGACGTTCGGTCGACGGCCCGACTCACGCTCATAACAGGGCTGCGGCTCAGGGAACGTCGTTGGTCTTGGAGCCGTGAAGAGTTCGCGCCGATCAGGAACGTTCCCCATTATTCGATTTTGCCGAGCACGTCTATGACCATCTTGGCGTTCGATTCCCCGTAGTTGCTCCGTTCGACATAGCCGCCAATCCTTTCGACCGGCACAGTCCATGGCTCGTGTGGAGGAGACCATCGATGGTGCCTAATTTGAGCATCAGCGAGGGGGTCTACGCGAGCAACAGGGAGGACTGCGAGTAACAGCTTCAGGTTTACTTCAGCTCCCTCGCCTGTCTCCCCTCCATGGAAATCCTGCGAGCCGACTCCGGATACAGATTCGCGATAGGCAAAAAGGATTCCGTTCACTATATGTAGTCGAATAGATCAGAGCCATAGACTTTGGAAACCAGGAAGCTCCTCGCAACACGGAGCAGGCGGCGTGATTCCACTCATGTCCCCGCCTTCTAAATGGCACCGGCGTCTCTGCCGGAGAGGATATCCAAAACGACAGTAGCGATTTAGCCAACGGGAAATCGTTCATACCTTGCCCCCTTCTCGAGCTGACGCCAAAGCTCCCGGCGACGAGCTATTCCAACCTGACCAATCGAGCACCCCCGCGACGATCCGAAGGCTGACATAATGTTCGGCATGGCCACTCGAACCTGTAAGGTAAGATGGCCATATACCAGGGCGGCAATAACCGGGGACAGTCGACGGTCGAATTAATGCTGAGACCGCGAAAGCTGCACAATGAACAGCTCGTTGCATACCGAGAACACGAGCAAGCCAAGGAGCTAGCGAGTAAGCATCCGGCCGACAGGCGGGAGACGCGGAGCACCCCAGCATCCGATCAATACGTCGCGTCAGGCCGGTCCCTGTCTGATGAGATTCCAATGAACTCGTTACGAAGACTCCGTATTTCTCCCCTTGCTCGCTCGTCTTCATCCCCTCCGTTTTCCGCTACGTTCTTTCTCCATTCCGATGGAAGACAGAGCCACCAACGCAGATTTCTCCCTCCAGCGTGGCTGGCGTGCCGGCACTCGGTCTGTGCTGAATTCTCCGTATCGTCCCGGATCGGTCGGTATCAATGGATGCGTCAATCTCACCGATGCCGAAGCGATATACGAAAATACGAATCAGCAGGTGAGCTCCGGCGAATGCCGCTCGTCAGCAAACAAGACATCGAGTACTTGAATTGCTTCGAATGATCACGCGTCAGACCGCAAGGAATGTGTAAGAGAGATTAAACTGCTTTTTCTTTTGATGGGGCTCAACCGAATGGTGAAACTATGCGGAACCTCAAATAGAATGATTTACTGAGTTGATGGTGCGTGGTGGAAGATTTGGGACCACTAACAATCATCCGTATTAGTAGCTTGTAACAAAAGTCGGCGTGAAAACATCGTAAAATGGCACAGCGCTCTTGCATAGACGTGTTTCAGTTGTCTGTTTAATTGCCACCGGGCGAATAGAGTTCAGTCGAGCAGAGCAGAATACAAATGAACAAATCATTTTATTCACAAGCGACGAGAGCTTTGTTTTGGACGATGCAGGACCGTTTCGGAGGGGGAATACATCTGAAATAGACATAGGCCATCGGGATTGAATTTGGAAAATTGGAGAACATCAATCTGAGAGCTTGACTTACGCTGCTTGGACGCCTCATCTAATTTTCGATAAGCATCGTCGCTCATCGGAGAGCGATTCTGGCTGAGATGTGCTCCTGTCCCCAGCTGGATTTTCAGTAGAGTAATCCATGGCCGCCATTGAACCCGTAAGCGGCCACGCCATTGCCGTATCCCAATCCATGTCCGTAACCGTGTACCAAAGCATGGCCGTATACGGGACCGTGGCTCACGGGATGTACCTGATGGCGGTAAACATGACTCGATCCGTGGTACGGATGACGGACGTGCGAGCCATAGGAACTTATTCGAGCCCCGTATCCGGCGAAAGTTGTCGCGGCGAGAAAGCTGACCAGAATCCCGATTGTTGCCTGCAAATACGTTTTTCGAGTCAATGGAGCGACTCACGGGGGAAAGGAGCTCGGGAATGACATGGAACAACCCGGGAGACGTGATATCCGAGTCTTCCCTCGAATCCGCGGATAAACAGTCAGAACACCGACAGGTTCCGCTACTCACCGTGAAATTCATGCTGAGGCCGCCAAGCTCGGGTTTCCGAGAGATTTCGTTCCTCGAGTGTCTGATAAGTGAATGAATTCCGCTCAAGGGGTGTGTCCATTTTAAGCGGGAACCGAGGAGGGTCTCGGAGAGAAAGTGAACAAAAATTGCGAGGTCAGAAGCGGCGGACTTGACATTCATTTTTTCCCTTCGGCAGCCCAACGACCTCACCCGCCGACAACGCTTTCTGGTCCATGGCTCGTTGTTCTGCAACTACCCTCATCTCCATTGCCACTGCTTTCTCCGTTTGAGTAGTCAGAAGAACGTCAGCATTGTCAGAAGAACGCAGCCGGATCCAGCCACGGTTCCTGCTGCTGACTTACATAAGC